TATATATATATATATATATATATATATATATATACTTAATTCATAAATTTAATCAAATCGAATCTCGAGAATCTGAAAAGTTTTTTAATGTAAAAAATATTAAATTTTTCTTCATTCATATAAATATAAAACCTAGTATATGCAAAATCCTAACGTTAACAGTATGTTGCAAAATTTAAGTTGAGGGTTTCTCTTGTCATCAATGGAGGTAATCTTAATTTATCACTGTTTTTTACTTTAAATGATTATTCTAGATATAAGTTTATCTTAATTTATCATTGTTTTCGACTTGCAATGAGTATTTTTAATTTATCATAGTATAAGTTTTTTTTTTTTTTTTTTTAACATGTTCGGTTACAAATGTAATTTATATATTGCCCGATAAAAGCCCGATATAAACCCGAAGCCCGAAAAAATAAGTGAGCCGAGTTTGAGCCTATAGGTATGAGGCCCGATGGTATTTGAGCTTGAGCCTCTAAAAACGAGGCCCGATGGTATATGAGCTTGAGCCGACCCAAGCTCGGCTCACATGGCCCGATTGCCAGCCCTACTTTTTACAGATATTAATTTTTGCAAGTTTTTGTGTTATAAATTGGGTGATGAAAAAAGTATTATATTAGAAAATAAGTAGAGCGGAAGACCAAGTTATATTGCCAAACAGGAGCGACTATTTTAAAAACGGTTTTTTCTCACTTCAATACCAAAAAAAAAATTAGATAATAAATAGGTAATGGCATAAATACCTCTAATGAAAATTATTATAAAAATCTCATTTTTCTTTCTTCAATACCACACACACACCAAAACCTCTCATACCCCTCTCCTCATCCCCCTTCTTTCCTTCTCCCCCTCCTCATTCACAACTGCTCCAAAAAAACCTACAAAACTAAAGAAATTAAAATCTCACAAAACATACAACATGAAGCCGCAAGACAACAAAATAGTAGTTTACATGAACGGAGAATCCATTGAATTTGTATTCATGTCTTTTTTTAACTTGGAAGTCGATTTTCAAGTTTTTTTTGTTTAAACCCGTCCTCATTTTTCAACACATGTTGAATATTTGTTTTCTTTGACACTTGCATGTCGAAAAATGTGAAGAAAAAAAACTGTTAAAATTCTACACCAATGTGTCAAAATTTGGACAAAATTCTACCCATTGGTGTGGAAAATGTGGAGAAAAAAAATAGTTAAATACGTGTCGAATTTTGTGACAAAATTTGTACACCTTGGTGTCGAATTTTAACTGGTTTTTTCTTCACATGGTTCGACACATATACGTCGAAAAAGCACAAAAAATCGACCTGCATTTTGTTGAGGACGGGTTTCAAAAAAAACAAAAACATGAAAATTGGTTTCCAAGCTTAAAATAAACATGAAATGCATAATTCAATGAGTTCTCCGTTCACGTTAACTACCATTTTGTTGTCTTGTAATTCCATTTCGCAAGTTTTGTGAGAATCTTCATTTCTTTGGATTTGGAATTTTTTTTGGATGGTTTGTGAATAAGAAAAAGGAGAAGGTTTGCGAAGATAAAGGAGATGGATGGTCTTCCGACGTTTGTATGGCAAGAGAAGGACGGCTAATGACGGCGGTGGTTGAACGGTGGCCAACAGTGGCAATGTCAGCAACGGCTACGGTGGTGAGCGTCGGTCTGGGAGGGAGGGTTTTGCTTTTCTTTTTTTTTGGTATTGAAAATATCAATTTTGTATGAAAATGTGGTTTGAAATTTGAATAAGTGAAATATATGATGAGAGGTATTACTTTGCTAATAGTTTTTTTTTTTTTTTTTTTTTTTGGATTTATCTAAGAAAAAAATGAATTTTGTTAAGATATGGTATTCAACTTGATGGTATTGAAATGAGAAAAATCCGGTATTTGTTTTAGCTGCCCCTTGCGAAACACGTGAAAATGAAAGATATAATGTCAACTCAAATCTCCGACTTGGGATGGTAAACGAGCTGAGGCGCTTGTGAGCTCGATGAGCCGACTCGAAAAAAGCTCGAACTCGAACTCGAGTTTTTCAATCTCGATCTTGAGCTTGTTTTTAGTTGTTTGTGAGCTCACGAGCCTTTTTATTATTAATTTTTTTTTTTTTGCTTTTATATAATATTTTATTTAAATAATATATAATAATATAAAATATTACAGAAATAATATAAAAAGAACATATAAATATTAAAAAATATATATAATTACAGCTTATTGTTTATTTTGAATTAGTTTTATTATAATCTAAATATTTTTTAATAATAAAATTTAATAATTAAAAAAACAACAACATGAGTTTGGGCTCGAGCTCGAGCCAAAAAAATGAGCTCGAGCTCGAGTCTGCCAAAACGGACAGTTGGGCTCGTTCACACCCCTAGCTCCGACAACCAAAATGACCTCAAACGAAAGTATAGGGGTCAAAATGAAAACGAGAGTGTTTTTTGACAACACTCGATATGCAATTCAACTGTTTCATTATTTTCCACAGAATTCCTTCACCGCGTTCCGCTCCCTCTTGAAAATTTCAAACTACACATCCGCGTACACCCATTCCCTACTGTGGTCCCCACTACAGTTCTCACCGATTTGAGCCAAAGTCGCTACTCACCAAGTCTTTTGTTCTTCCTTGCCTGTAACGTTTTTGCAGAGGAAAAGTTTTTTCGCGGTCCCATCCTAGATTCGTGCCCCCACTCTCTTAGCTCAACCCCAATCCCGAACCCCCTTTCCCAGTCATCTTCTTCTTCTTTATTGCTGGTTTAATTACATACTTTTTCGTCTCTGTAATTGCTGTTAATTTGAAAGCGCGACGATCTATTTGCCGAGACTTGACTTCACATTTCTAGGGTTTATCAATTTCTTCGTCTCCACCGAAGCGTGTGCACAGAGTGTTTGTTGACATTTCGGCGGGCGCCGGTCGAGATCTCCTTTTCCGGTGAGGAGGATTTCGTGGTTTGTTTTTATTTCTGGTTGTGTTTCTTTTGATTTTGTGGCCTTCTGTTTTGTTTTTTGTTTGTTGTTTGTCTACACTGTGTTCGCCTTTCCTTGGTTATATGGTTTTAGAGTTCGGAACTAATCTATATTTGATTGATTCTGTTAATGAATGTGGATAATCTGTTTCGTATCGGAATAGCAACTATGATGTTTCCCACATTTATGTCAGAAAAGTATGCAGGAGAAAATGTCTATATTCTTGTCAATGCTTGTTTATGGCATTGGTAATTGATCTGGTTTATTTGTTTTATATTCTTAGCTATGAGTCGCCGATTCCATTTATGTATTTTTTATATTTGAATAGTGTATTCAATACAGGAAGATGCAATATGATTCCTATAATAGCTGGTACTCACTTTTAATACCAAATTTTTGGACTCTGAGTTCTTCATCCAGCATTAAAATTGCTTAACTGAAACTCTCCTTAACAATTCAACTTTCTTCAATGAGTGGGTCGACTTTTGGTGTGCATATGTAGATTGAGATTTATATTGGGATGGTTTATGACGTGTACTTTAACACCTTTTAGGAGATGTCTCGAGTGGAGGACTTGTGGGAGCGGTTAGTGCGTGCAGCACTAAGAGGCCGAAGAGCAGGTGGGGATTTGTATGGGCGGCCCGAGACTGGCCTTGCTACAAATGTTCCTTCTTCACTTGGAAATCGGAATATAGATGACATTCTGAGGGCTGCGGATGAGATTCAAGATGACGATCCTAATGTTTCCAGAATTTGTATGTCCTTTTCCTTGTTTTCTTTGCATTTTAATGTTTCGCTTATTTTATTTTATTATATGGTGTTTGATGCTTTTAGTAAAAAGATAGAGAGTCACTGTGTGTCATGAGCTTTTTTTTTTAGAGTACATGGGGATTTTATTGGTTTTCTTCAGAACACAAATTCAGTTATAGAAAGGACAGCTTTATCAGCCTATGTGGAATTGAAACATGGAGTGTTATACTACTTAAAAATGTGATTACCTTGAGGTGAAGTCCATATCCCAATTCACAAATCTAAGCCCACTCTGTAGTATTACTCTAAGGACTGAAGACAGACTACTAGTCTGGTTAATATGCTATCACACAGTCAACTAGATTTATGCTACGTTCACGTATACACATCTTAGCTGCCTAAGTGATGCCAAGTCCACTCAATCGGTGTAATTGGGAAATCATGCAACACAACTGCTTGCAATTTTATTGTGTGCTCACGAGTCATGTTTTAGAAGCATACATAGCCCTTTGCGGAGATTATTATCCTAGTGCAGGGATGGAATGGTTTTCTAATTTTTTCTCAATTTTCTCTGATATAAACTTATATGGAAAATTTGAATTACAAGACCATTCAGATAGAGTCAAACTTAGGGTATGGTAAGATCAGCTATTTGGAAAGTTGAGAGTGCCTTATTGACTATGGAGGCTTCCCTTTAAAGTGTAGAGGAAATGGATTATGTACAACGAGAGCTCTGAAGTTCTTTTTTGTGGTGAAATGTTCAACATCATGTAGTCTAAGCTTTTTGGCAAGCGGGCATTTGGGTTTAGGCAAATAAATTTTTACTTGGCAAAAGTAGTTCGTGAAAATGGTTTATAATTTAAGTTTTTCATCGAAATTATTTTCTTATTTAGAAAATGATTCTTATACTAGATGGATATATGGCGGTGGAGACTGGTCATAAGATGACTTGCTTTGTGCCCCCTTGACGACTGTAACTAGAAACTATACGTGGAAGAGAAGCACTAAAAACTCAACATATCAATGGCCGCCTCTCCATTTATATCAAGCTTGCTGATGTATAATAATAAGGGATCTCCTTTATTTTCTCGGTGTGTGAAATTGAGCAAATTCTTGCAAATAATGTTAGCTAGTGGGAAGTGAATGCAATTTAAGGGATGTATGAATAACAGTAAAACAAGCACGCATACCCGAAGTGTTTTTAGATTGTTGTGGGATGGTGTTTGCTGTAATGATTGTTGCATGTGGCCTTTTCTCCTATCCTTACTTTCTAGTCTTTTGGTTTCTTTGTAATTGCAGTGTGTGAGCATGCTTATTCGTTGTCACAAAATCTGGATCCAAATAGTGAAGGAAGGGGTGTATTACAGTTCAAGACTGGTTTGATGTCCGTTATTAAGGTACTGTTCTAACTTCCCCATGAAATATCCTGTTACTTTCGAACCAGTCATGAACCCATTTTATCTGCTTTGCAATGTTCAGAAGAAATAATTTTTTTCTACATATTCATTTTACAATTTTTATGTCTTTGTTTGAGATAATGTTTGGTGTATAACATGACCAAAGTATTTCGTTTGATGTCTCCTTGAAATTTAGCTTGTCCAAGTTTCATTGAAATCCTTACTTATGCAAATGATTCTCTTGTGCTCTGTGTAATATCCTTACAGCAAAAGTTAGCGAAGAGGGAGGGTGGAGGCATAGACAGAAGCCAGGATATTGCTCGCCTACGGGAGTTCTATAAACTATACAGAGAGACGAATAATGTGGACAAGCTGCGAGAAGAGGAAATAAAGTTGAGGGAGTCCGGTGTTTTTAGTGGTAACCTTGGGGAGTATGTTCCTAAACTAGGTCCTTGTATTTCATAACAAACAAGATATATACTTGCTTGCTGTTTATGAGTGACTGATCTTGTCATCCGTGTCCTTTCCCAAATTTGGCAGCACATTTTCTTCTTTCTAGTTTTTTTTTTTTATTATTGTCACTAGGCTGTTCTTAAAATACATTATGTTAATTCTTGTGGTTGACAATTTTTTATCCTACTCTTATCAGATTGGAGCGTAAAACAGTGAAAAGGAAAAGAGTCTTGGCTACACTTAAGGTTCTTGGAAATGTCTTAGAGCAGCTTAGCAAGGATGTTTCCCCTGAAGAAGCTGAAAGATTAATTCCTGAGGAGGTTTGATATTATTTCCATATCATTTTACTGCTTGTTTACATGTGATTTTCCTTCCGAATTGAGTTCTTGTGTAATATTATTTTCAAGCATGGTTTAAATTTTTTGATATGTTCTGGGATAAAGATGTTACCTTTTACCTACATACCCCATGTAACATTTTTTTAGTTGTGGTACGAAAACGAGGCGAAGTTGAACTCTTACTTCTAATCCTTTCTATGGCCAGTTGTTAAGGCCTGGCATCTAAATGGAGTAAACTGCAAATACTACCCCTGTGTTATCTCGAAATAGCAAAAACCCCCCTGTGATAAATAAACTAGCAAAAACCCCCCTGTGAAATTTATTCAAAGGCAGAATCCCCCCTAGCTGATTTTTTAGACTTGAAATGACAAAATTGTCCCTCAAAATGTATTTATATATATACATATTATATGTATATTTATTCTTTTTAATTTATTTGTTTAGAAATTAAAAAAATAGTAAACAACTAAATTGATTATTTTTTAAATAAAATAATTAAAATATTTATAAAATATAAGAATTTATTAATTGCAAGACTTCAGGGGTATTTGTGTCTTTTTATATCAAGTCAACCCTCAAATAGTTCCACAGGGGGGTTTTTGCTATTTAAATAATTTCACAGGGGAGGTTTTTGCTAGTTTATTTATCACAGGGGGGTTTTTGCTATTTCGAGATTATACAGGGGTAGTTTTTGCAGTTTACTCCATCTAAATGAGATATCTGATGAACCAAATAATTGAAGCATGTACCAGTATGTGATGGTAGTTCAGCATTTTTAGTATTTCTGATATTTTCCCTTTTTATCCAACTTTGTATGTGTATAGTACATTTCTTTCTCTGCTCTGAGCTTGTGCATCTGTGACCCTGAACTTGGTGTTTGTGGGGGTGGGGGGGCGAATCTTTTGAATTCGAAATTACTCTTCAACCTCATTTTACTGGCCTTAAATCAATTTCATATGGTTATTTTCATTTTCAGCTGAAGCGTGTGATGGAGTCGGATGCAGCAATGACAGAAGATCTAATTCCCTATAATATAATTCCTCTGGATGGTCCTAATATAACCAATCCGATTGTATCTTTTCCAGAGGTGATCGGATTCTATATCTAATTTAGAACTGTTACTTCTCTTAAAATTGCTATGGTCTTGACTGGTTAATTTAAATGTCAGGTAAGAGCAGCTGCTTCGTCTTTGAAGTACTTCAGGGGCCTTCCAAAATTACCGGCAACTTTTTCAGTTCCGGCGTCAAGAAGTTTAGATATCTTTGATTTTTTGCAATATACTTTTGGCTTTCAGGTTAGTTGGCAGTCACCGTTAATTTTAGCGAGGCTGGTTTTGTCCTTTCCTTTCTTATTGAACTGGTCTTCACCGTAACCTTTTTTCTCGTTTTGTTCTTTTTTGTTTGTTTTGTACTCTGCCTTACGTTAACTGCGCGTATCATACATGAATATCAATTTTTGTATGTAGATAACCTCAAATATTGCTTTTTAAGAGGAAAATGAATTGATAAATCTTGTTGTAGTTAATTGCATAGTTATATATGCCTGCAAGACACCAGACTAGTCTTGTAATAATTTGAGAACCATACGGTTCAGCTATCTATTTGTTTATACCATATTTTGTTTTGGCATCTCTACTTCTCTTTCATATTTTATATCTATTACTTTGTAGTATGTTATCTATTTTTTGTTTAGACTAGTAATATTATTTTGTATCGTTTAAAATATTAAACTCGATGTATGCTCCAGTTGCTGACCCAGAATATGTGAGCACCTTATTCTTCTAAAACACTTGCGCCAAATATATGTGCATATAAGATATCATTACTTAGGTTATGTTTGGTGTCACTGGTATGATATTTGATTTATTTATGTTTAGTTTATTTGATGTAATATCAGTCTCTTACTTCTAAGGAAAATTTCTGTTCTTGTAGTTTTAGTACTAGAGGATGACTTTACTTAGCATTTTGGTTCTTGAGGTGTCAAGAATGTCTTTCCTTCTAAGAAATCATATGTATTCAAGAATTCTTCTTGTTTATGCCTTATTTTCTTTAGCATCTGAAATGCTCCTCAATAATTCTATTTGTAGTTATAACCTCATAACTTCTAAATTTTCAGTATTATTTGTTTTTCGAAATTTTAAACATGAAAACACAATTTCATTCTAAGAATATTCTATGACTGCGCCATTTGAAGAAATAGAGCAAAGAAAATAGCAAATATAAACTTCTGGTTTCACGTGATTCATCTTCATTTATCAGAAAGGGATACCGGTTAGCAAAGTAGAAGATATTCTTGTCTGTTTCTGTCTTTCTCTCATTTCCAAAATGACATCTTGGAAATTTCATAATGTTTACTGTGAAAATTGCTTTGACATCTTAGTTATTCCTTCTCTATTTGTTTTGGACTGCTATCCACTGATCCAAACATAGTTCTCAATGTAGGAAAAAATCGAAAGGGTTCTACTTTTTAATCATCAAAGTTTCTTAGTGTATATATTCAAATACAATTACCACAACTTCTAGTAATCGAGTCATCAATGTTAATGGATGGACAGAGATGTAAGAGTAAGACCTCATACTGGGTTATACAATAGCTGACCAATCCTACCACTTAGCCATATCTGCCAGTTTATCATAAATATTGCATGACAGTGTAGCGGAAATGTTTCTTCCCTCACATGGTTTTACCTTATGCATTAGGGTGTACTGTAGTTTGTTGGTGTAGCTACTAAACATCTGCCATATCTGTTGCTTTGTAACATCTATTTTTTGAGTTACTGGCTGTTCAACCTTGGATTTCAAGTTCACCTCTTTTTATATGTTTTGTTTGACAGAAAGATAACATTTCAAATCAGCGAGAAGATGTTGTTCACCTCCTTGCTAATGAGCAGAGTCGGCTTCGAATTCTCGAGGAACTTGAGCCGGTATGTCTCACATTATCTCTTGAGATGATTTTATTGGAACATACTTAAGGTAGTAATGTATATTAGTTTCTTAGTGGGACAATAAGTTAGTTATAAAAGTTCGATTGGGCACAGAAATCATCATATATCTCTTGCACCATGTTGCTAAAAGGCATAAACTGACTATTAATTGTTTTGTGTCATTTTGATTTTTCTTGTGTAAATGTGGTAAATAAATTATTTATGAATGTGCTTGGTAATATGAAATATAGTATTACAGAGCTGAGTATTTAGCTGTATTGTCCTTTTCCCTCCGATTTTATTTGGTACTTTCCGTGATACCTTTTCGTACAAGGCTGCACTATAAAATTTAGTTGGAACTTTCTCTTTGTTTCTCTCTTGTGTTGGAGGGATAAATCAATTATCAACTTGTATTGCTTGGATGTGGATGGATACCACAATTCTAAATCCCTAGTGTGTGGTATTGGAAATACTGAGATTGGGAGTCCAAATTATTATTTCTTTGGCTTTCCTATCTTTCCTTTAATCCGTGATATTTCTTGCAATGAAAAATAGTCCAAACAAGGGATTTTGATTATGCTCTCATCATTTCCCCGGGATAATAGCAGCTATGCTTTGTTTGGTTGCTTCCTTTTCCTTTTCCTTTCCCTCGCACTCTTCGTTTCCAGCATGGGAAATACTTAGAATGCTAACTCATTCATGTGTTTACTGCTGAGCTTGTCATTCTGATATTACAATTTTAAGATCTTAAAGATCTGTGTTGTTGAGGAAATTCATACCTAAGTTGCTTATGCTTGGCTTCAGATATTGGACGAGGCTGCTGTGCAGAAAGTATTTTTGAAGTCCCTTGACAACTACATCAAGTGGTGTAACTATTTGGGAATCTTACCAGTGTGGAGCAAGTATGTTTTATTTCATGCAAATTATCCTTCACACCAGTAACTGAAATTATGATATGAAATGACTATCTTGTCTGTGCAAAGTTGTTTGCATGAAATGGAAAGACTATTTCTATTGATAGTCCGTTCATGTTTGCAGTTTGGATGCTGTAAGTAAAGAGAAGAAGTTGTTGTTCATTTCGTTGTACTTCTTAATATGGGGTGAAGCAGCAAATGTTCGATTTCTTCCAGAATGCTTATGCTACATATTTCATCATGTAAGTGATTGGCTAGTTGTTATTGACAATTGGTATTTGTTCGGTTGACTTGCAATTACAGTAGCTGAATGATCTTAGATACTAAATTTTCTTGTATTGGAGGATCCCTCAAAATGCTCTTCATATCCTTATTTATTGTTTTAACTCTTCGTTTTGCCTTTTAAGAAGATTTTGAATCACAAAACCTTTGAATTTGGTTTGTTATTGGAACTTCAATTTTTTTTTCCTTGAGCGAAAATTTGAACTGAACTGAACCTGTAACTTGTATTTTCCCCTTTTGACCATGTTTTAACTAAGACTCCAAGACCCTGGTTTCCTTCTCTGGAATAACGAAATGTTAATGAACAGATGGCAAGGGAGCTGGAAGAAATACTACGAGAGCAGGTTGCACAGCCAGCTGACAGTTGTGTTTCTGAGTCTGGTGTATCATTTATCGACCAAGTTATACGTCCTCTTTATGATGTTATTTGTGCGGTATGTCCAAGTATTGAATTCCTTTTTCTTTTATTTACATAATCTAGAAGTAAAAAGTTGTGATATTTATATTCCAAATTAGTTTGTACTTCTACAAAGGAGAATATGTTAACAGATCTTATTGATAGAGTTTCATTTTTCGTTCCTAAGGAAGCTGGAAACAATAATAATGGCGCAGCACCTCATTCAGCATGGAGAAATTACGACGATTTCAATGAATATTTTTGGTGAGCTTTTGTTTGGGCAACATTTCCTAAATTTAGTATTACCATCATATTTATGTTAAGCATGAATACTTCTCATTTTTTTGTTTTATTAATATGTAATGCATACAACCTAATTATAGAATTTACAAAGGATTCTAGTTTCAGCAGAAGACAAGAAAACATATCATAAATTATTCCTTTTATCATGGAATAAGTTTCCCTGAATTGCGGTCTGTATGTTCTCATACTACCAAAATAGTACATAAAAACACACAATGAAATCCTTATTCCCTCTCAAGCTGGCAAGTACATTTCAATCATTCCCGACTTGGTCATATTAGACTTGAATCCTGATCCTTATAGTGCCTTTATTAGTAAATAAGCCTCCTGTAGACTTGTGGGAACATTATAAAGACTGATGTAGGGGTCATGATATTCCTTCTCAAAATACTTTTATTTCATCATGCAAGATCTTCGTTAGGCAGCAGGGGTCATAAAATCTTATATTTGATTCAATATATTTATTTCTTTTATCAGGTCGCTGCATTGCTTTGAGCTTAGTTGGCCATGGCGCAAGAGTTCAATTTTTTTCCTAAAGCCAACACCGAGGTCAAAGGTAGGGAGATTTGTTCCACTGTTATGAGGAGCGAATGTAGTAACATAGACTTTCTTTTACAGTATTCTCACATTTACTATGCACATGCTTTTTATGTTATTGTGCATTAGGCTCTTTTTTAATTGTAGACCTGTAGTATTAAACATTGAGCTGGTATGATTTAGCATCTCAACCGTCTCTGGTAGCTTCTTGTTGAGCATCTCTGAATTAAATCATGGACATTTCAGTAATTTACTGTATGCCCAGTAAACAAGTTAACTCACGGGTCACCGGTTATGAGACAACTTGTGGATTACTCAGAAGAGGAAGGACCATAATTGAATCTTGATTAATTTGCTCTCTTTTTGTTTCAGTGAAGATTATTTGTTGAGGTCCTCATTTGGAGTAGGAGTTCTTCTACTTCATTTTATTTAACAGTAACTTTTCCCTCTCTTTTTATATCATTCCCAAGTCCCATAGGTTTGATAATGTAGAATGTGACCATTGAACGAAGGTATGAAATCAATCTGATTGATTTTTTGATCAAAGTACTATGTGAAATCTGCGGTTTTTTCTAATCCTCTATCCATATCCCGTAGGTAATAAACAAATTTCAGAAACATGTTTGCTTATTGCTGATAAGATATCAAAGTTGTGGATTATTTGGGAGAATGAATATACTTCAACATTTAGCAGCTACTTTGTGCATACTTTTTCGATTTAAGCTTACGGTTACGATATATCTTTAAGAAAAGCTAGAGACGTGTTAATCTGGTACAAACTTCTTACATAATCAAGATGAGGAAATTTTGTGATCTGGTTTCATGTTGTTGAATTCAGGAAGCATGCCTGATAACTGGGGCTACTAGTTACGAAATTAGGTAATAATAGCATGGCTCCTCGCGAGCTCGAGCTCGAAAATCTCGAGTTCGAGTTCGAGCTTTTTACGAGCCGGCTCTTCGAGCTCACGAGTCGGCTCGGCTTGTTTACACCCCTAGCATGGCAAATGTGCAAATCTCACATTGGGTGTTCTGGACCTTAACTGGATTTTCACTTATCGATGTCAATTTTTTTTTTTTAACGGCGTGTCATCTCAGTAATAGACTTGCTTTTCATGGTCGTTTTTGTACAAAATCAGTCATTCATTTTCTGCTTCTCCAAAATATGCAACGGTATTTGTGAAAGCAAAACAGCACATTATGAAAAAATATTGGTTGGTGATTGCATTCAATGAACCCACGGAAATTTTCTATTTGTCAATGTTATGGGTGTTGTCATGCTTATTTCAATTCACACTTCACTTCATGGTAAAATTTATCAAGTGATTTCAATTCTTTTACGGTTGCTGAAGTTCTTGCAAGGAAGATGCCATAACTTTGTTCAAAGCTCTAATTCTACTGCTTGTAAGCGTTAGTCATATTGGAGGAGAAATAAAACCTTCTACTGTTTTGATAACGAGTTAATTAATGTTATGGTCTCTTTTGTAAGTAGGCATCTGTTTCCCGCAACATAATGATTTTTGTTGTAGACTCGTTAAATGCGCATTTTTGCTACCTATAACTTGATCTCACTTGAAAACACCCTCTAAATTTTATTTCCTACAATTTAGTTGACAACAAGTTGGAACCGAAGTATTGATGAGAACTAATATCTAGGAATTCTACACATTACCATTGGTTTTTTTTAACTGTTTTTGTTATTCAAAATTGATGTTGCAACTTTTATGGACTAGCTAGCAACTTGACATCAAGTTCCTCTATGTTCTCTTGTATATATTTTTCAACCATTGAAGTTACTTTGATGTAACTTATGTTGCCTTGATCGATGTCATTAATGTATATGTTACGTCCTGGTCTGCAGAATTTTTTGAAGTCTAGTGGAGGCAAACGTTGTGGGAAAACATCTTTTGTTGAACACAGGACGTTTCTACATCTCTATCATAGTTTTCATCGTCTGTGGATATTCCTTGCGATGATGTTTCAGGTTTGCAAGTTGCATCAAATACATTTGGTTTTATCTTACAGCTCCTAATTATTGTAGAATGCTTAATTATGTATCCGTTCAGTTGAAAATGAAACCAAGTTATGATACAAGGTTAGTAAGCCAAGGTCAAATATAAGATGTTCTGCAACTGATCAATACAGGAGTATCTAATTAGTTGCCAGTTAAAAATGCTTTGTAGACGTATTGGGAGGTTCCAGAAAAAGGATATAACTTAAGCGTGATAGTTTCTCTATTTTTGTTGCCTTTATCAAGAACTTTGAAATGAACATGCAATGGAGTCATTCATTTAGATGAGTGATAGATCCTTTGTTGATATTAACAATCCTGTATACATGACTAAATCGTGTTATACATAAAACAAAGCTACATCAAAGTACCACTTCTCATGCATAAGATTATCATGGTATTTTGGTCCAATGAATAAGTAGCCTAGACATTCGATTAGATCAACTTAGATTATTTTGGCAGAATTTTTCTGTGAATTTGTTTCCTAATAACCATTTATGTATGTGCATTTACATCCCTTTTTAAAACATGTGTTATATGTTCTAGTCTATCTCAATCGTTGCTCATATTACTGAATTTTTCTTCACCCTGAGGCACATAAATGCAATAACTTCTAACATTGTTTATTAGTGTCTTGGTTTAGTAATAAGTATACATGCGGTTTTCTTAACTGACCTTATTTTGTAAAACCTCTAACCGAAACAGAGTTCTTAACTTTTACCTTTTTGTTTCTTCTACGTGTGCAGTTTGGAGTTCATTATGTTTGTTTTTTGTCGAAATCTAAAACTCTGCAGTTGTTATGTAGCTGCATATTTTCTCTGTTCATGAAATTCAATTTTAAATCAGTTGATTTAGTGAATATTTCATTCTACAGGACAAGTTAGTTCTTCATTGCTTATCTTTCTTAAAAGTGTTTTTTGAACTTTTTTTCCTTTCTTCAGGGACTTACATTAATTGCCTTCAATAACGGGCAGTTAAACACCAAGACCATGCGTGAAATTCTTAGTGTTGGACCAACATATTTTGTGATGAAGTTCTTCAAGAGTAATATAGACTTGCGATTTTTATTCTTTTTTTTTTTGGTTTCATTTTTTTGCTTATTTATTTCAATTATAAATTTTTATTGATCTTCTAGGTGTGCTGGACATCATAATGATGTATGGAGCATACTCTACCTCAAGGCGCCTAGCTGTCACCAGAGTTTTTCTCCGCTTTCTTAGCTATAGTTTGGCTTCGGTTGTCATATGTTTCCTTTATGCGTAAGTTCATGCCAGTCTTCTTTTGTTTCTTCCTTCGCCTTTTTGTTTGTTTTTAAGCTTCTCCTGTGTGCTATTTATGGAACTCTTTAGTCCTGTACTTTTGGAAATTTCAGGAGAGCCCTTGAAGAGCAGAGTAACGCCAACAACAATTCAATCACGTATAAACTGTATGTCATAATTATTTCCAGCTATGCGGGTGCAAAGTTCTTTTTGAGTTTCTTGCAGCACATACCAGCATGTCACCGTCTGTCGGATCGGGGTGATAGTTGGCGTCTGGTTCGTTTTATGAAGTGGATGCACCAGGTGTACCTATTGTATTGAGTATTTGTAAATATGAAAAAATTCAGTTATTTTTCTTGAAGTTGGTTTTTTTTTCTTTCTCTATTAACTTTCAATTCATGTTTGTTAGGAACATTACTATGTCGGCCGGGGCATGTATGAAAGAGCTTCAGATTTCATGAAGTAATTAGCTGACTCTTGGTCTTTTTGAAAATTTCCTCCAATTTTTCATTGGACTTACTCTTTATGACTCAACTGATGAGAGCTATTGTATAACATGTGATTGTAATGCAAATTGTAACTTCTCTAGTTGTTATCCATGCAATGCAGATACATGATCTTCTGGTTTGTTGTGCTCGGAGGAAAATTTTCTTTTGCTTATTTCCTACTGGTAAGTTTCGATGTTTTTTATTAATTATGTTTGAACATTACAAATCAGTTGCCTGGAGAATGAGCTAATTGGGTTTTTGTATTAATATGGATTTTGTGCTCATGTTGCAGATTAGACCCTTGGTGGGCCCAACAAGGCTAATTGTTAACATCCCAGTCACGCGGTATTCTTGGCACGATTTTGTGTCAAAAAGTGAGTGACAACTTTATTGCTACTGATGCATTTGGGTGTTCCCCATTGTCTGGTTATAGTTGCATATTTATTAAATTTGAATGAGCTGCCTATTGTCAAGTGGCATGGAACTATGAACTCTGGTGCTTCTTATGCATATCACCTTTTGTTAAGGCAGATACTCAGAAAGATTGTGACACTCCTTGACCTTTTATGTGACTTATGAGTGGTTTAGTACGAATAGTTGTGTGCCTTTACTGGTGACTTTTAGTGGTAATATTTCCTGGACAGTTTTTTTTTATAATTTTCAATTTGTCTTCTATGAGGTTGAAGTCTTGAATTTATATGTTTAGGAACTTTTGTGTATAGATCCTCCACTTTTCCCTATATGATGTTTACTTGCTTCGGTTTGTGCGAAAGGAAAATGTAATCTTGCAAAAACATTTTGTAGTATCATTTATATTTCTCATGCTTCTTCCTTTCCTATTATAATTGATAATTGATTAATTTTATTTTCTTTTTTAGATAATCATAATGCTATGACTGTAGCAAGCTTATGGACGCCTGTGGTGGCTGTGAGTATACTTTTCATTGCTCTTGTAGTTGTTGACATATATATATATATCCTGTTATCCCCTTTTCCTACTTTTGGCTCTCGGCATTTAGTATTTGGACATGTAGATTCCAGTTAGTTTGGGTTAATAAATTTTGTTGACATTTTGGTAATTATGTTCCTTCCCAAGCATATTCCAGTTAATAGATTTCGTTGTTTCTTTTCTCCTTTACTTTGTGCTGCAGATTTATCTCTTGGATATCCATATTTTCTACACAGTTATATCTGCTGTATGGGGTTTTCTGCTGGGTGCTCGAGATCGTCTTGGGGAGGTAACTTTTTTTTTTGACTCATTGACTGTCAACTATCTCCTTTTCTCTAGAAATAGTCATGAGCATTTTGTTCTGTACATATGCACGTACCTGTTATGCATTGTTTTATGCTGCAAGTAGTTATAAGAATGTCCTGATGTATTTACATTTTCATCATGTACGTTCCATCAGTTACTTTTGGCACTCCGTGTTTTAACTCTTAAATAACTAGAATTATTTTCCTTGAATCTCAGATTAGGTCTCTAGATGCCGTTCATCAACTTTTTGAGAAGTTTCCTGCAGCTTTCATGAATAATCTTCATGTACCACTCCCTAACAGGTTCGTTTTTCTTCACCTGAGTGCAAACACTAATAATAATTAAATCGTAGAAGTACTAATTCTATCCACAAATTTTTTATTGTTATTAAATTAGATTCTTTTTTGGTTTGCAGGGATTCACTGCATTCATCTAGTCAGGTTAGTTAAACTTACTTTATAGAATTCTAGTGGTCACTATTATGTTCTGTATTTTTAGGGTGGTAAATATAATGATTAGTCTTTCAAATATGTAAAATGAATAAACATGGATCAAAACATTATAGATGACTGTCTCCATGAAGTGTGGAATTCACATCATAGATCGATCTACTGTTGCTTTTAGATATTGAAGAATATGGATACAAGTGTGAAACTCAACCTGAAATAATTTCAAATCCTTTCCCCTTGGAAGTTGGAATCATTAGTTTAAATTCCAGTTGCCTTGAAACTGGAGATTTAATAATGATAAAAAGCTTGAAAGTTGTTTCAAAATTTATGCTGGAGATTTTTAGATCAGATGGTTGTTGTATTATTTCTAGATTGGTTTGCCTTCATGGCCCATCAGTGTTTGCCTTTTGTGTCAACAACCATGTTAATGTTACCTTCTTCTTTCTCAACCCAAGAGAAAAGTCCATCACAAGTGTGATCTGTTTTAAAGTATAATGTACTTACATATCATCCAGAGGGGAAATTAAAGAAGTTAAGGAAATCAAACAAATCAAATATATATGTCATAGTTCAAATAATGCTTTATGAATAAGCAGACTGAAATAAGTGGACTTTCTGAAATTTCTCTCCTTGTTGAACAACAAATATGCGTTCAACAATTTCCTCCTTTTGATCCTACTCATTTCAGCCCACTTTTAAGCATTTCAGTTGTATTCCAAGATTTTAATGTGTGTTTCGTGTCCTGAAGTCCCTGGAGAAAAACAAAATTGATGCTGCTCGGTTTGCTCCCTTTTGGAATGAAATCATAAAGAATCTGAGGGAGGAAGATTACATCAGCAATTTGTGAGTTCTACTTTTGTGGTGTTGCATCATCTGTAACTGAATTTTTTAATGCCCTTTATAGACTGTTCGGATCCCATCCTAAATGTTTCACTGATTTTTCTGGTGTAGGGAAATGGAGTTGCTTCAAATGCCTAAAAATTCAGGGAGTCTTCAACTTGTCCAGTGGCCACTTTTTCTTCTAGCTAGCAAGGTCTTCTTTCCATGTACATTAAAATAGTTTCTTCTTTTTTCTGGCTTCTGGCATTTATCTGATGTACCTTTGTTGCGTGCTTCATACCAATTGGTGTAGCTATTCCTTGCAAAAGATATTGCTGTAGAAAATAAAGACTCGCAAGAAGAACTTTGGGATAGGATTTCAAGGGATGATTACATGAAATATGCCGTTGAGGAATGCTTTTATAGTGTAAAATTTATCCTTACAGCGATACTAGACGATGAAGGAAATAATGAAGGAAAGAAGTGGTCAGTCATAATATTCCTCTGTAACTGATATACTCAGATATCATCATGTAATTGTTATAACGTCTCTTCGAAATATTTCAGGGTTGAAAGAATATATGAAGACATCCAGGGGAGCATAGCAAACGGGTGTATTCATGTTGACTTTCGGCTGAATAAACTGCCACTTGTTATTCAAAAAGTTACAGCACTCCTTGGAATACTGGTTTGTATTTTCTTCTGTTACTTATTTGATATTTGTAAAAGCGAGGTAGTTGGAGTTGGTTGTAGGTTTTGCATCATTTTAAAGTTTAGATAATGTAGCATATGGCCAACTTTTTCTTAACTGACAAACAATGCCCATTACGGTTTTACAGCTTACTTGTTTGAGAACATGTATTACTTGTTTGAGAACATGATGTACGGTGACATGTTGATGACTGGAATAAATATGATTTAAAAAACGAGTACATGAAAAATAGTATTTGGGAGTTTGATGATGGTCCGTAGTGCTCAATCACCAGTCGTTCCGTGAGTCCTAAATCAGGCCATAATGTTGTTTTCATTAAAGTTTCCTCAAGGTAAACAATTTATTTCTAAAACATTCAATAAGATTTGGCTTATGATTCAGAGGGTTAGAAACGGCTGTGGTGGTGTGTGGGTCTTTTTCTTGCAGGGTCTTTTGTCCTGCAATCAGTTTCTCTGTTGGTACTTGCAGAAATCTGTAGCCAGTTGATTGAAAAAATAGTTTAACATGGTCAATTATTTTCTACAGAGTAGGACTGAAAGTTATAGGTCGATTATTAGTCCTTTCATACATACAACAGCATAACAAGATCCTAAGTAAATTAGCAGAATATGTAATTCATTTCAGGCATGGTATTAATTTATGTAAGCAAAGTTTAGTTCACCCTCATCCTTTTGGAGGTATGCAATATATGCCCTTCTTTGTAGTGACTTTATAGGTTTTTACTGCATGTTCTGTTTTCTACTTACATGGATGGTCCATATCTGTTCTGTATGCAGAAAAAAGATCACACACCTGAACTCGAAACTGGCGCTGTTAAAGCTATTTTGGATCTCTATGATGTTATGCGACATGATATCTTATCTATCAATATGAGGTTTGGATATATGCTTGATCTTTTTTTTGCCTTCGCTTCTCTAAATTTTACATCAAACCCATTCAATGTGTGCAGAGATAATTATGAGACATGGAATATGCTGTCAAAGGCAAGGACTGAAGGTCGCCTCTTTCAAAAGTTGAAGTGGCCTCAAGATGCAGAGTTGGTAAATCTTTTACATCTATTTATTTGTTTCTATGTCTGTTTATAGATCATTTAATAGAAGGAGAGTTAAACTACTTTAAATATGTCTAGAAAGCACAAGTTGGTAGATTGTATTCACTTCTTACTATCAAAGATTCCGCTGCAAATGTCCCCAAGAATCTTGAAGCTAGGCGGCGGCTAGAGTTTTTCACTAATTCCCTTTTCATGGAGATGCCTGAAGCTAAACCTGTTCGAGAGATGCTATCTTTTTGGTAGTTGGTTCATTTTGAGTTTAATCATTTTTGGTCTATAACTTAAAAGTTAAATATGTATTGATGCTCCTAGTTTTGTTGTGCAGTGTTTTCACTCCATATTACTCTGAGATTGTGCTTTATCGCATGTCTGATCTCCTTAAGAAAAATGAAGATGGTATTTCAACTTTGTTTTACCTCCAAAAGATATATCCAGGTACCTTAACCTTTATTTTTTATTTATGCTGCTGCAGCTTTTCCATCTACCACTTAAGAAATACTTTTTTCATGTTTCTCCGGCATGTTTAAAAACCTTCCTTGGTGACTTCTTAAGCCTATCATTTGCAGAAAGTATTGCAGTTACAGAATTTTTTTTACATGAATTTATATGTTTGTGGTATTTATGGTTGCTCAGTACCAGTATGCAAATCGTCAGAGGCTCCGGAGATTACTTGTATTAAGATTTTCTGTGTTTTTGTTAGTATATACATTGTAATGGGAGTTTTTGCTTTCTCTGGTTCTTCTGTGGCAAATTATGGTTATGGCCTAGTCTTGGCTATTGGTTTTAACATTGTCAAGCATGCACTAGAGTTGATTTTTCTCCTGACTTAAAAGTGGTCATATATGCTTTCTAACATCTATAACTGTAGTGGCTGGTGCCCAACATTCTCTTTATAATGTAATTTCCTAAAACATGTTGCAAATTTTAGTTTCGTGAATTTCTGGTAATTCGATAATTTAGTCTCTAGTTCTGTCCTATTCGCTGAAGTCGTGTTTTGTCCTCAAACCGGGGGTTCTATTTGTAAACGTCTTCTTTCAGTCGAGTGGATTGACTATTAGCTCTCGAATGGGTCTTGTGTCTTAATGTGATAGTACAAACTTTTGTCCATCGAATCCTTGCTGAAATTTTGACAAATTTAACTCTTCCATTGCAATGAGAGATTATGTAATGTTTTACCGTATTTGCTCACCAATGAATGCTTGCTATTGCTGGGGTTCCTTTATTGGAGACAATTTTCTTTTTGTAATACAGATGAATGGAAAAATTTCCTTGCTCGGATTGGACGTGATGAAAACGCATCAGAGTCGGAGCTTAGTGATAATCCTAATCATATCCTTGAATTGCGGTTTTGGGCTTCGTATCGAGGACAAACGTTGGCCAGAACAGGTGAATCTTACTTCCTTGACTGTTTTCGGCTTCATATTACATGCAGTCTTGCACGATGTTGGCGGTATTAGTAAGCATGTGCTGTTTTCGTTTGTCAGCATCATTGCTAACATGGTTTGCGATTTGTATGTAACAAAGATATAGGTTGTTGATGTAATATATAGTTAGCATTGAGGTTATTACCTCAGTTGAAATTTTGAGTTTGGTTTACAAGAAAGGTGACGGTAGTGACTATATTTTTCTATTTCCGAGTCATAACATGCATTGTCAGTCTTAAAAACCACAATATTGAAACATTCTGATCAGTCCCACCATTCGCTCCGGATGATGGATACAAGTGGTAGTGCAGGTTAGGTAGTTTTGGTTAGCATATTTATGAAGTTTATATTACATACTGAAACAATGCTGCCAAAGGAAGACGACGAAAGTTTCTGTAACTTGCTCTCTGGTGGTTGTTTTAGTGTCGCTATTGTGCTTTTTTATTTTGGATGCATATGGCATGAGTGTTGTTGAAGCACCTAACTGTTTTTGGCTGCATACTGTTACATTTTGAAGCATTGCTTTCCTTCATATCCTATTTATGATTTTCTCCTTACTTCATTACTTCCCTGGAAACAGTTCGGGGAATGATGTACTACAGGAAAGCTCTAATGCTTCAAGCATATCTGGAAAGGATGTCAGCTGGAGGTTTGCATTTCCGATAACTAGTACATCTTTTGCCATATCTTTTCACGACTGTTCTGAAAAGTAACTGTTAGTTTCAGATGTCGAAGCTGGTATTACTGGAAAGGATTCAACTGATGTTCAAGGTTTTGAGTTGTCTCCGGAAGCAAGAGCTCAAGCAGATCTTAAATTCACATATGTTGTGACATGTCAGATATATGGAAAGCAGAGAGAAGAGCAGAAACCTGAAGCTGCAGATATTGCTCTGTTAATGCAAAGGTTCTGTAATTTTATGCAGTCTTCCATTTCAAATTGAGTGCCATGCTTTATCTCCCATGTATCAGTGATGGGTTTCAAAATGTTAGATTAGATGCTAAGTAATTCTAATTTAAAGAATATAATTGTTTCAATAATAACCACATAATAAAAATATCTTTGTAATCTTCTGGACTACAGTGAATAAATCATTCTATCTGCTCCGCTTTAATTCTGCTAGTTTTATAACAAAAAGTGAACCAGTCCATTTAGTTCGACACACGTGTTGTTTTATGAATATTTTAGTTGCTATAATTTTCTATAACTGAAATTTTCTCTCTTGTAACTCTCTTTCTACATATCTATATTTCACGTATAGAAATGAAGCTCTCCGAGTTGCTTTCATCGATGTGGTTGAAACTCTGAAGGACGGGAAAGTGCACTCAGAATATTTTTCAAAACTTGTGAAGGCTGATATCAATGGAAAAGACAAGGTTTATTCTTTTATTCCTTTCAGTGTCAAGTTTGTCAAGCAAAATCTCTGAGTGGTGATTTGTAATGCTTGTGAGGGTTGATAGTCACTATTTTTACCATTCTTAATTAAACTTGTTTCAATCTATATTTATGAAGTGAAAGGAAGTAAGAGGGTTAATTTATTCAAATGGAAAACTAGGAAGTCGAGGATGTATGTATTTGCTGACAGAACTTTGAAATATATTCTGTCTGAGAATATCCTTAAACTTGCATATAGGTACATGTATTTATAAGTGTCGACCTGATCTCTCATTGCAAAGGAGTTGATTATTTAAATTTATTCTCTAACTTTATTGAATCTGCTAGGACTCACTATGTAAACTGAAGCTTATTGTTTGTTTGAATGGTATGTTGTTGATAAGTTCAGCTTTTTTCTTCCAGTCTTTTTAGCTGTGTAATCTCCTAAGTTTTTTGATTTATTATACTACAGTTGCCAACCAAAAAAGCTTGTAGTTGCACTTTATGTCTAGGTTGCCACTCTTTGGTGCTCATATCCGTTATATTTAATCGCTTTTCACTCTGTATATGAATATCTGTCTGATAATATATGTAGGATCTTTGTGTTTTCTACAATAATATATATTGGGAGAACCGATTCATATACAAGCTTTTGTTCTCTTCGTTCGGTTTATCTATTATTCCTACTTCGCTTGTCATTTAACTCAAGCTATACCAAGTACTGAAAGTTAACCTGAATTACAGGAAGTCTATTCAATAAAGCTACCAGGAAATCCTAAACTTGGTGAAGGCAAACCTGAAAATCAGAATCATGCTGTAGTCTTCACTCGTGGTAATGCTATGCAGACAATTGACATGAATCAGGTTTGTATTCTAGGACTCAGCTATTGATTTTCCGTTGTACTATCTTTTTTTATCACATATTCCCAAACTAAAGTTCCTTTGCCAATGTAGTGCTGATAGTTTTCTTCAGGTTTAGATGTATACTGATATTATGTGATGCATTCCTGTTGATGATGAGAATAAAGATTTGAACTTGGTTTTCAGTTACTCAGTTCTTCTTCTTGATGGGCTTGTTTTTTTTTTTTTTTTTTTTTGTTATTTAAAAGAGCGATAGATAAATTTGAGGAGCGGTAATGAATTTATTGATCTCATTCTTTTGAGTTGTAATAATTTTTCTAACCCCTGTTTTCTATCAATCGGGCTTTCTTCAACCTGGTTTCAAGCCTATTATTTCTGCTATGTGACTTACATAAAACCATGTCATGTAATTTGTGATTTGGTATTGCTCTTTACATCCACCATTCAACTTGCCTTTGTTTTTTAGAACATACATCGTATGCACTTTCTGCTTCTTGGATATGAAGCAGAAGTCCATCCATTGTGCATCTTATGAGAAACTGTGGATATGCTAAATCGTTGGCATCTAGGAGTGCATCTTATGTATTTTTTCTCCTTCTGTATTAAGTAGCTAATTACTGTGGATTCCCTTATTTGATAACATGCTATCATAAAAAGCACACCAAGTTCTGTTTTACTTTTTCATCATTGCCGATTTCCGATTCGCTCAGGATAACTACTTCGAGGAAGCCTTGAAGATGAGAAATCTTCTTGAAGAGTTTCACTGTGATCATGGATTACGCCCGCCTACTATTCTAGGTGTCAGGGAACATGTTTTTACTGGAAGGTGCTTTGAAGTGATATATATGCATCTTTTAATGTCCTTGTGTTTCATAGTGCATAACTTCTTTCCTTACTATGGCAGTGTTTCTTCTTTGGCATCCTTCATGTCCAACCAAGAAGCTAGCTTTGTTACACTTGGTCAGCGTGTTCTGTCAAATCCTTTGAAGTAAGTCATGCTTTCTATTCAATGATTTTCTAGTGAAAAATAGATACACTGTTAATGCTTATACTTGGGTCATCGTCAGGGTTCGTATGCATTATGGGCATCCGGATGTATTTGATAGAGTTTTCCATATCACAAGGGGTGGGATCAGCAAGTCATCTCGTATAATCAATATTAGTGAAGATATCTTTTCAGGTTTTACTCTTGATTACCCCTGATTCTCTTGTGATTTTGTATGCTTCACGAATAGTTCGTACACAATTTAGTGAGCATAATTTGGAACATATATATTGCTTTGAACCAGTCTCTTGCTTTCAAGCTTCACTCCTTTTGTTATGGAGAAAGGAAACCCCCATTTGTGAATAAAAAGAAAAGAATGATACTTTTTTTTTTTTTTTCTTGCTGTCACTGTTTTTGCACAATGTGTTGTTCATTACTACCAAGAAGCAGCAAAGCTTTTATATAGTAAGAACTCGCTAGTTCGTACGAGATCTAATATTTTATAGCACCAGAATATCCAATTTATCAACCCTACCTTAGAGGCATGTATCAGATCCACGCCTTCGTTGTGTCAGAGCTTGTCATTGTTTGACTGTTTGTTGATCTGAAAAGAAGTCCAGTCATTAATTTAAGGGCCCGTAATCTAAAGTTGGAAAAATGCAGGTTTTAATTCAACTTTACGCCAAGGAAATGTGACTCACCATGAATACATTCAGGTATACTTCCTCTTTCTTCGAAGCACAGAAATCTATGGGATGAACGCTAACTAAATTTTGTACAGGTTGGCAAGGGGCGAGATGTCGGACTAAATCAGATTGCTGTTTTTGAGGGAAAAGTTGCTGGGGGCAACGGTGAACAAGTTCTTAGTAGGGATGTTTACAGGCTTGGTCAGCTCTTTGATTTCTTCAGGATGATGTCATTCTACTTCACGACAGTTGGATACTACTTTTGTACCATGGTTAGCTTTTCATGTCCTATATAATGGTGTCCAGCAATTTAGTTTGGTTATATGTTTCGGGCCATGTGCCAATTTTGGTTGTCCAAAACATATCCTTGTTAATATCCCGTGTTACCATGCGTTTATGGGAGCTTCATAATAACTTTTAACAAAATCCAATTAATATATGTGCAGTTGACAGTGCTGACAGTCTACGCCTTTCTCTATGGTAGGGTGTATTTGGTAAGTTATATTTTACATAATTAAGAATTTCATTTTTTTATAACTTTGTTCTCATTTGTTAGCATCTACGCTGGATTCAAATTGGTTCCAAGGTTGCGAATTCATCTTAGTTTATTACTTCAAGAAGGTGGGGACATGAGAAAGGAAATGGTTTTAATCCTTTCCTTTCTGTATCCCACCCCCTAACCCAACTCTTCTCTTCTGTTCTCTTCAAACTTCCTACCAAGCTTTTTCTCAAAGAATAATTTTACATCGCGGGTTCTGCGGAACTCTTTGAGATGATTTTATTGGGGAAAGTACTTATGTTTTTATCTTGTATCGGGTTGTCAGTGAACTTCTGCAGCTAGTTTCTCTGATACGTGCATTAATCTTTTTCAAGGCATTATCTGGGGTCGGTGAATCCATACAAGACATAGCAGATGTATTGGGGAATACTGCTCTTAGTGCGGCTCTAAACGCACAGTTTCTGTTCCAGATTGGTGTCTTTACAGCAGTGCCAATGATTTTGGGTTTCATCTTGGAGCAGGGATTTCTTAGGGTATGTCTCATCTCTTCTTCCTTTTTTGTTTGTAGAAGTTCTTTTTTAGTAATGTAGTGTTAGCAGTTTAATCAGATAATATTCCACTTTATAATATAACATTTACTTCTGTTGTTTGCATAAGGCAATAAGAGACGTCCTTGATGCAGTTATATGCTATTTCATGTTTGCATTACTATATTTGTTCATGAAATATGTCAAAGATTTCTGAATCATGAGTAACATTTTGTTTCTTCTTGGTACAAATACATGTTTAACATGCATTTTTTGGGGTTCTCATATCGGCGCAATCAGATCCAGTGTACCCAATACATGGATTGAAAGTGGATAAAACTAACATTAACCATCTCATGTTCTTACATTCTTATGTCTGTATATCTGTCCTCGTTATTTTTGCATAAAATAAGAAACATAAAATGAGGGTTGGCTTCTTCAAAATTGATCGGGTGAGCAAAATATTCATTTTGGTTACTCTCTTTCTTCTTTTTTGTTTCAATCAGGAATTTCTATGATCAATATATCGTCATTGCATTTTTTTTTGGATACCCAAGTTTCTCCAAATCCACAAGCCTTCCTCACTATTATTTGAAATCCAATGCGATGTGTAGTGCAAAAATATTTATCTCAAAACGTGATTATGAGTGAGATGGAATTAGTTATTTAATATATCAAGTTCTGATTTGTTTCTTGTATTCTTTGTCTTTCTTTACCATACAGGCTGTGGTTAGTTTTGTCACAATGCAGTTTCAGCTCTGTACCGTCTTCTTCACATTTTCGTTGGGCACAAGAACACATTACTTTGGCCGGACTATTCTTCATGGTGGTGCAAGGGTACGCTTCAGTTTTTTTTTTTTTTTTCCTTTACCATCTAGATGAATCTAACAATTGGAATTACTTAGAAGTTTGAGTTTTTTTGCAGTATCAAGCAACCGGTAGAGGATTTGTGGTGCAACACATCAAGTTTACTGAAAATTACCGGCTTTATGCACGAAGTCATTTTGTGAAGGGGTCTCTCTCTCTCTCTGTCTCTCTCTCTCACACACACACACACACACACACAAACACAGCTAGAGTATGTGTGTCTGTGTCTATGTCCATCTGCATCTGAGTATTCATGCAGCGGTATGTTCTAATTTTTTTCAGGATGGAAATTTGTCTGTTGTTGATTGTATACCTTGCATATGGATACAATGAGGGTGGTGCTTTAGCATATATTCTTCTCACTGTAAGCAGTTGGTTTCTAGCTGGTTCTTGGTTGTTTGCTCCGTATTTGTTTAATCCATCTGGATTTGAGTGGCAAAAGTAAGTTTTTCTTTTTTACATTTTCATATTTCCTGCCTCTTGGTCGTCCTTGTTCAAGAATAAAACTTCTTTGCATCACCAGGACTGTAGAGGACTTCCGGGATTGGACAAATTGGCTTCTCTACAGAGGTGGAATTGGAGTTAAAGGAGGAGAAAGCTGGGAGGCTTGGTGGGATGAAGAATTGGTATGGCCCTTCATATTCGCGTCTGTTTTTTTGTGTCTTGACCTTGACAGTGGTCCCTTGTCGATTCATTAAAAAGAACCTAACCGTTTCATTTTATTGGATGTTTGAAGGTTTAGAGGCAGGTTAAAAAAACTAATCAAAAAACCTTTACTTTCATAAGGAAGTCCAAAATTACCCATACAAGATAATTTTAACCTTGCTTAATATGATACTGTTCTCTTTAATCTCATGCCTATTCATCTCTCTCGATAATTAATGAAAAAGGGTAAACTGGTAATATGTAATTAATTGTGCATTAGACTCCTGAACTGAGAGAGATAATATGACACAGTGGGCATACTAATTATTTTTTACAAAGATGCACTGCATGAACATAATTTTGTTGTGTGTTTAATTTTAAATTTTAGATTTTCTTTTAGTTTATTCTTTAACAGTTCCACTAAGATGAAAATCATAAAGAACAAATATTTAGTTACTTAGCTGTAAGTAGTTATTCATATGTTATTAATTTGCTAAGTAATTAATCAGTCAGAGAACGGAGATATAGTTTGGGACAAGGATTCATTTTCTTCTTATATATATATATATATATATATATATATATATATATATATATATATATATATATATATATATATATATATATATATATATATATATATATATATATATATATATATATATATATATATATATATATATATATATATATATATATATATATATATATATATATATATATGATTGATTTAAATATTTTCATATATATGTATATAATTAGTTGAATATTTTGAGGGAAATTCTAATTTAGTTTTTTACATGTTTCCCGTTTTACTACTTTTTAACTTTATTTTCTGATTACCGTGTCTACGGAACCTGCCCACCCCAACTCCCCCCAGCAGCCCCCCAACCCAACCTAGCCTGAATCCATCCCTGCCTAAGCGAGACCCGGACAAATCAACTCCTTCCTCCCACTATTACATGCAGGTGTATTATATGTTTTAGAATCTTCAGAGAGAGAAGATAGGTATATCGTGTGTGTATAGGTCGAGAAATAAAGCTACAAGTTTAGACAAGACATCATTGAATAACCCGTCATCTTTTTTCAATTTTTGTTCCACTCATTAGTTAATTTGTTCTAATTGTTTTGCTGCTTTAGTTTGAAAGTATTTTTGGGCACTAGTAAGTAAGCATGCACAATTCTTATTTGAGCTCCCATATTAATGTATAACATTTTACATTTGGTGCAGTCTCATATTCGAACTTTCAGTGGAAGAGTGATGGAAACCATTCTAAGCCTACGATTCTTCATCTTCCAGTATGGTATTGTCTACAAGTTAGATGTACAAGGAACAGATACATCACTAACGGTACAAGCTTTATCTTGAGTGTGGATTACCTTATCTTTTCCTCATTATTTGCTTGTCGGAACATAAAATTTGAAGATCATGGTTCTGGACCACAATTTTTGGATTATTATTCATTCTACTCATAAACAGAACTGCCGACTTTTAGTGCTATATTACATGATCGACAAGGTTTATGGCTCAGGTTAATTTTTATTGACAATTTTAACGCTCCACCAAATACATTTGTGTGTATAAATGTGTTTTGTATATATGTGCTAGGAATGCAGTTCTGTATAATAAGATTTTAAGGCATTATGTGAATATCTGCTTTTGTTGTACCAGGCAGGTACTGGATAAATGAGAGAACTCATCCATATTTGCTGTAATCGTTTATTTTTTCCAGGTGTACGGGTTTTCATGGATAGTACTCGCCGTGCTTATTATTCTTTTCAAGGTATGGTTTCGAAGTATTATAATTGCTAGGCTCCTTCCTTGCTTCATAAGTTAATTTAAGTTCCATTCTGGTTTGGACAGGTATTCACCTTTAGCCAGAAGATATCAGTCAATTTTCAGCTACTGCTGCGTTTTATCCAAGGTGTCTCGTTTTTATTCGCATTGGCGGGTATTGTTGTGGCTGTTGCAATTACTAATCTGACAATCGCCGACATATTTGCTTGTATCTTGGCTTTTCTACCCACTGGGTGGGGAATTCTCTGTGTAAGTTCGCAAATTAAATATTTTTTCTTCATCCTAACCAGATGTTTTTAAATTTAATTTTGTTCTTGTTTGAGCATCTTGAGAATCGTTGATTGTCGGTATTAGCACGAGAAAAGTTGTGGGATCACAAAACATTCATTTCTAATATGCAGAAGTTCGCTTTCGTTTTTATTGTGAATTTTAAATAACTCGTAATCAATTTTTTTTTTTCTTTTTCTCTGCATTTACATTTGTTTCATGCGTTATCTTTCTGTTTGCAGATTGCTTGCGCATGGAAACCTGTGATGAAGAAAGTTGGACTGTGGAAGTCGATTCGATCCATTGCTCGATTATATGATGCTGCGATGGGTATTCTTATTTTCATCCCGATTGCCTTATGTTCGTGGTTCCCGTTTGTTTCCACCTTCCAAACACGGCTCATGTACAATCAGGCCTTCAGTCGGGGACTGGAAATCTCGCTTATCCTTGCTGGAAACAACCCTAATACTGGCATCTAATCAAATTTTGTGGCTATTTAAAAAACTCTCTGTATAGAACAACTCTCTCTTCTGTTTCTTTATTTGCACCTGGAGACTTTAGATCCTTAATTTTTTTTCTTTAGTCACATGTGTTGGTGACTATCGAAAGTTTTGGTATTTATATATTTTTTGAATATGTATGTACATCACTAACATTTGTAGATTTGTACGTTGGTTATTGTGCCATAATATGGGAATTCATTGCAATTTATAGTTCTCTAATTAGAAGATGATTAGAGAATTTAAAACTTTAATGAGTTAAATTTTGAATTTTCTAAATCTATGGATGAATTCCAGAATTATACTTACATATAAAAAAAACAAAGAAAGATCTGACTTGTGTGAGACGTGCTTTTAAGAATGTTATATAATTGTAATATTGAGAAAGCAAATAAAGAAAACCAATTATGAAATATTTTTGAATTGGCCTAAAGCAAGCCAAGTTTTATAATGAAAACTCAAAAATTACTATGCGTAATCGTGATTTGCCTTTGCCAAAATGGCTCTTTATTATAATTTGTATATGCTTATGTTCTCTTTGTCGTCAGAAATTTTCAAGGTTGCTGATGATGAAACCTAAAAATTATCGTCTCATAAAAAATGGGTGGGCGCAGCTCTTTGCAGGAAACGGAAGAGAAAATGAAAAGCAAATGAGGGAGTTTTCGCAAATAACTCCAGTTAATTTTTTTTGTGTGAATATTTTTGAACATTGTTCTGGGAACAATTTATTTAATAGGGTTTTTTTAATATAGCTTTAAATTATTATAATTTACCCAATTAATTATTTAATTAATTGACTTCCAATCGATCAATAAGGCAATAACAACTCTACAAGGAATCTACCATCATCACTCAACCTAAACCGACTCATATTAAAAAAGACTAATCCTTGTTCCGCACGTCTCCTCAATCGAAACCACGGATGATCTCGACCGTTGATTTTTTCCCAAGTCTCCTATAAATACCCCTTTATCATCATTCCCTCTCCTCATTCAAGCCTACCAAAACCAGCAACGGGAAGAAGAAGCAGCTGCTGCTACAGACTTTTAGAGAGAGAAAGCGAAATCTTAACAATTAATCAAATACTGATTACTGATTCAAAGAAAATTTTCCTTTCCTTTTTTCAATTATTTTGTTAATCGTATCGATGATGAACGAACAACACCCAACGATGATGAATCAATACCAGCAAAAACCACAGCAAAATTTTATGAACACAATGAATCAGAGTTTAATACATCAGCAACACTCGATGAACACGATGAATCAGAATTCAATGCACCAGCATCAACAATTGATGAATCAAATCAACCCACAGGTGGTTAATTTCAACAATGTACCCTCCTCGCATGTTAATCGGCCGATTTATCACCCGTATATTATTCAGATGAATCGCAGCTACGGGGATTGGGCGGCGCCGCCGCCGCACTACCAAAACCCTAACCTTTACCACCCCACTGCTTTCAATAATTCACTTGCTCAAAGGAGGATCAATCGGAAGGAGAGAAGGATAATTAGTTATAAGGAGCAGCAGCGGAAATTGATCAAATTAGGGCACCAGAATCGGCCGAAGACTCGAAAATTTCTCCACAGGAAGAAATTCAATAAGAACAATATGAGCAGCCGATATCCCCCACTTGCGCCGAGGAACACGAGTTCGTTTCTAATTAGAGCGAAGAAAAACGGCGGCATTGCGCCTCCAACTCCTATTGAATCTCCTGCGAGAGAGATCTCGGTGGAATTTGCCGAGCGAGAATTGGAATTGGATGATGCATATGGCTCAAACTCAATGAATGAGTTCTTTCCATTCTCTCCTTTCTATCAATTGGAGGTGGCGAATGAAGAACAAAAAGTCGAAGAAGAAGAACAAGAAGTCGAAGTAGAGGAAGATGTGGAAGAAGAAGATGAAGATGACGAAGAAGATGAAGGCGGCTCGATCGTGGAATTGGAAAATAGAATGGACAATGATTTGAGTAGGTTCGAGACGATTTGCGATCCGAATAGCATCGATCAAGATTCGAAAGATGCGTCGAATGTTGTAGAATTGGAGGAGGAGAATATGAGTTTGAAGGAAAAGTTGTTGTTGATGGAGATTGAGTTGAGGAGTTTAAGAAAGAGAATGTTGATTCTAGAGAGAAGTGAAAACAGAGGAGATGATCATCTTGTTGTTTTTAATGATGATGTGTCTGAAAATGAAAGCGATAATAATAGTATTGTTGATTTGGATGATGAATTTATTGAAGGTGATAATTGTCAAGTTCTTGAATCAACTAACTCTTGTTAATGTTTTGGCAAATTCTTTTTTTTTTTTTTTTTTTAATTTAATTTAATTTTTTGTTTCAATATGGATTCATAAAGAGGTGTATAGTGAAGTCCTAAGCTTCTTGTTCTTGACTTTAACTAGAGTAGACAACTAACTAGGGGTTGGTGTTTCTAAAGTAGTTAATTTGGTTGAAGTGGTACACTTCATTATATGTAATCTATATAGTTTATACTCCTTCCATTTTAAATGAATTTATCAAATTATGGTTTTGAAAGAAAATATTTATTCCCTATTATCTATTAGTACTTTATAAGAATTATGAATGGTTTTATTTTCTTCTATTGTTACCCTTGAATTGTTAAAAAATATTGTTAAATTCACTCTCGGTTACTAGTCAATTGTACTTTTAAAGCTATGCATAAGTATTAAGCATGCCAATAAACGTGTCTTGATTTCAAGAAAAATACAGTAAAAAGACTAAAATAACCTTGATCAATTAATAATGTGATACAAGAGAGTTAATACCATGGTAGTTAATCTCGCGATATACCGCGATATATATCGCGATACGGTATGGTTCCAATCAAAACGATACAACTCGGGTTATGTATCGCCGATTGATAAATACCGTTAAATATCGCGAGATATCGTATCGTATCGTTGTATCACGATACGATACGATATTGACGATATTAGTCAACCTTTAAAAAAATGAAAAAAACGAAGAAAAAAAAGATGAAATGCAGTCAACTACTCTGAAAAACGATTTAGAACATATTTCTTCAATATTCCAACCCTAATTCACATTTTTCTCTTCAATTTCTTCACCAACCCTCACAATATTACAACCCTAATTCAATATCTATAGATTCTTGCGATTCAAGACCAATTCGAGGCTTTTTTTTGTTGGATTTTGCGATTGATGATGATGAATGCAATCGTTTAAAATTGGTAGATGACGACGATTTAAGTAACATTGATCTTCAAAATTATGAGATATCGAATATTTTAGAAATTAGGTATTCGGATTTGAACTTAGGGACCATTTGGCTAAGTTTATTTTACACAGTTCATAAACTCTTACATCTGATAAGTTGTTTTAAGAGCTGATAAGTTGTTACGTCTTACTTTTAAAATAATTTTTTTCAAGTGTTTGGATACTGATCTTACAAGCTATTTTACTCATTATATGATCTTAAATAAATAAGTGGAGTAAAGGTACTTTTAAAAAAAAATCTTATTGCTCTCCAGTAGCCTATAATATTTTGACTTTGTAAGATCTTTTAAAAAAATTACCTAGCACACTAGAATAGCTCTTAAACATCTTATAAGCCTACTAGAATAGCTCTTAAACATCTTATAAGCCTAGCCAAACACCCTATTAGATGATGTTATTTGATATTTTTGTCATTTTTTATAATATGATGTTGAAACTTGAATTTATGCCTATTTTGAAATAAGTAGTTATATTAAATTTTACATATTTATAATATTTTATAATCTAGATATATATTTTTTACTATTTTAATAGTTGGTTAAATATCTTACGATACGGTACGATAACGATACGATACGAGACATGGAGAAAAACGATACGAGATATTTTTACGGTTCGATAACCATGGTTAATACATATAGTTGCATTAATACAATTAAAATAAGAAATAATGCATTTGATGCGGTATTAAAAATATAAAGTGAGAGATATAATAAAAATATTTTCAAAAAGAGAAAATTATTAAAAAAAATAGAGAGATTATATCCTTGAATTGACTCAAATATTAAATTTATAAACAACCCTATTCAATTTGAAGTTTAATTTCATCCAACCTGAATCCTATTTGAATTTTTCGTTTTTTTTTTTTTTTTTTTTTTTTTTGGGTTTTGATAGGAAAACGATCATTGTTCGTGTTATGACAATCGTAAAGCACGTATTCTGAGTTGATATATCTTTTAACAACGTCAAGAGTCGTTTATTATCACAACATAAATTTGTTCAACGAAAATAAATTAGTTTCATTATGACTTTTTCATTGTTTGTAAATATCGAATTCAAATATCACGAGTTTCTTTCTGTTGGATATTTTAATAAAACATTGACCAAAATTAATCATTTTTTTAAAACTTATTTTGACGCTTCTTTAATTGTTATTTATACATTTGTAACCTACAAATTATTTTTATGATTTCCATAACTTCGTCTATTAAATGCATTATAACGACTATATTTTGATACTATATAAAGAAGACGATATCTTATGCTTTTATATGGAAGATTAGAAAAAAGTGAAAAAAATATTTTTATTAAGTTTTTTCTGTATACTTGTACGTAATATATTAAGCTCTTAATGAGTATTGGACATAATTTATACTTCACCAATAGTGCAGTATTGGTTGAAGAAACTATTTGTGGGTATGTTGTGTTGTATTCGATAAGCGATACGACAGTTCCTTGCTGCACAAATATAATCAAAAGTGTACGTGCAATTCGTCTTAAAAAGAACGAAATCTTTTACGTATCCCAACCATCAAACTTTGTGATCAAATCATCAAGATTGCAGTAGTGGAATTTCAATACTTTCAAATGATAAATGTGTTGATTAAATAGATGAAAGTTCACTATAACTTTTCACTATCTAATTGATATGGAATTACTTATGCTTTACTAGATAATTCAAGGATTAACCAATTGAGTTTTTATTCACTTAGTGACTTTATTTGGGCCCTAATTAGGTTTGTAGAACCACGTAGGCTAATTAATTTGAATTTGAACCCATCAATATGTAATTATACATAACCAAAGGGACACACAATGCAATTTAATATTAATTTTAAAAAATCAAAATTAATTGGCTAATTCGAAACCTAAACAGTCAAGAGAATATTGTCTGTTTAACACGACTCTCCTTGTTTACGACTCTTTTAATTTAGCACCATTCTTCAATCGAAGCCGTTCAATACTCACCTCACCCATAGATAGATCTGCACCGTTGATTTTCCCCAAACACAATTATAAATAGCCCTCGCATCGTTTATTCTCTGCCAAAATACTTTCACGATATTGGAAACTTGAAGTTAGAGAGAGAAAGAGAGAGAATTTAACGGAGGATAAAAATATCCGGTAGCTAATTCTTAGGGTTTGGAATTTAATTTTTCTGAAATTCGATTTTTTCTTTGAATATTGGGAAATTTGATTACAACATTGGCTTAATTTTTTCGTTGATCGTTGTAGATAATGAGCGATCAGGCAACGGCGATGAATCGAAACCAGCAAACACAGGAGCAACAATTGGCGAGCATGAACCAGAGTTTGAAACAGCAGCAACAATTGTTGATTATGAACCAGAGTTTGATAAGTATGATGACTACGAACCAGGGTTTGATGACTACGGTGAACCAGAGTTTAATCAGTATGATGAGTCAAATGAATCTGCCCGAGCAGCCTCCGATTCAGGTAATCGAATTCGAAAAACTTATCTTTCTCCCATTTATTTCACGAAATTTGGAAAGGTGTAGTGTCAGTGACAAAATTATTAACGTTTGTGAGATCAATTCGTTCGTCGTTTCTCGGATTACAACTTGAAATATTCCGGTCTGCTAATTTATTAGGGTTTTGTACCTATTTTATATTTCTGTTTCCGAATTTTGTTAATCGTCTGGATAATGAACTGAGTCCGTCTTCTGTTTTCGAATTTTGTTAATGATGTTAGCTGCCGATGATGAATCAGTACCAGCAAAAAATGCAGCAACAAGTTGCAAGCGTGAATCAGAGTTTAAGAAAGCAGCAACAATTGCTGTGTACGGATCAGACTTTCAAACGGTCACAGCAACCGGCCTTCATGCGCGCGGTGCAAGCGCAGCAGGTGCAACCGGTGGCTCAGCAGGTGCAACCGGTGGCTCAGCAGGTGCAACCGGTGGCTCAGCAGGGGCAGTTCTTCGCTCATCAGGGGCAGTCCTTTGCTCAGCAGTTGGCTCAGTGGTCGGCTCAGCAGGTGCAGCCCTTGGCTCAGCAGGTGCAGCCCTTGGCTCAGCAGGTGCAGCCCGTGGCTCAGCCGTTACTGTCGATGCGGCTGCAACCACAGCAGCAGCTTCAGGTAATAGAATTCAACATTCGTCTTTAATCTTGGATTACGATTTAAGGGAAGATAAATATGTCAAAATCTTTTGGTCTACTATCTCTTAGGATTGGAGTCTGATTTTTGTATTTGACAACTGTGAAATTTGATTACAACTGGCCTGGAAATCTTTTGGTTCTCACTTCCTGTTACTGTTTACGAACTGAGGGTTTAATATGTCTGTCCCCTTTTTATTTGTTTCTGTAGATCAATCAGTGTTTAAACCAACAAGCGGCAAGCATGAATCAGAGTTTAAACCAGCAAGAGCAATTGCCGAGCAGGTATCAGAGTTTAAACGAGCAGCAACAAGTGTCTAACATTAATCAGGGTTTAAACCAGCAGCAACAGCAAATGACGAGCGTTAATCAGGGTTTAAACCAAAAGCCACAAGTGCCGGGTTTAAACCAGCAGCAACAACAAATGACGAGCGTTAATCAGGGTTTTAACCAGAAGCCACAAGTGCCGAGCGTTAGTCAGGGTTTAAACCAGCAACAACAAGTGCCGAGCAAGAATCAGGTTTTAGAACGGCAGCAATATTTGGTGGGCATGCATGAGCGTATGAAAAAGAGGGCTGCGGATCTGCTTTTAAAACAGCAGCAGAAGTATTTGATGAATAACGACGGTGGTGGTGCTATGAAACAAGCACCATTTTCAGCTTTTGATAACTCACTGCCACTGGTGGGTCTGTCACTGGGTACAGGGAGCAATACGATGGGAAAAGGGGATAATAACGATGAGCACCACAAGTCCTTATTTCACCCTAGTGGAATTCTTGGTGGCAAAATGTTCAATGGTGGTTGGAATTTGAATTCAACCAACAATGTGTTGCGAAATCGTATGGCACAACTGGAGAAGGAGATTCTATCTTTGAAAAAAAAGGTGGTCTTGATGGAGAAGGAATTTGGGGGATTAAAGACGAGGATGGAGAAGGAGTTGGGGGATTTTAGGAGGATGATGGAAGCTCATTTGGTAGAGGATTCGGATGATGATAATGAGGATTCAGATGGGGAATTAAACGATGAGGATGATGATAATGAGGATTCGGATGCTGAAACTATTCGAAGTGTTGAAGAGAAAGACGATGATAATAGTGAGGATTCGGATGCTGAAACTATTCGAAGTTACGATGATAATAATGAGGATTCAGATGCTGATAATAGTGAGGATTCGGATGCTGAAACTATTCGAAGTTACGATGATAATAATGAGGATTCGGATGCTGAAACTATTCTAAGTGTTGAAGAGAAAGACGATGATAATAATGAGGATTCGGATGCTGAAACTATTCGAAGCGTTGAAGAGAAAGACGATGATGGTACCGTTTCCGACGGTTCTAAAGCAGCAGGAGAAAATGTTGAATTACTTGTTGAAGGGTACAAGAGTAATAATGACACCGTTACTAAACATGTGAACGGTAAGCAAGGTAAAAGCTACAGTGACGAGCCACTTGAGGAGTCAAATAATGATGTGGATGCAGAAATCAAGGTAAATGATGACGAGGATGCTGAGCTTTATGGATATGTGATGGTAGGATGAGAAGGTAGTGCCCGATTCGGTGCAATGATGCCCCGTTAATTCTCATCTGTATTCGTAAGCATATAGGTATATAGTCGGCCCTCACCATTTCTGCAGTCCTTACTCCTTAGCATTATTCTTAGCATTTCTACTACTTTATGTCTATTAGGACCTTTAATTTTAGTTCTTCGCTTAATGGTTTGAACAGTGAAGTGATAAAATATTTTTCTTTAATTTTTTTTGTGGTTTCTGTAGTTTTATTATTGTTGTGTATTTTTTGTTTATGCCTGTGTGTATATATCTATGTGTGTCTTTTATGTATGTGAAACATGTGTGTTTACTTTAAACATTAATGCGTGTGTGAGTGTGTGTCTGTGTGTGTGTTTTAGGGTAAGCTGCTAGTTTGTTTTGACCTGGAAGACTTTTGTAATTTTGACCAGCTGTGGAGGTAGAGGTGCAATACTGTGTAGGACTGTATGCATTAGATTTTGTTTTGGTTTTCCTTCTATTAATTAATTTTAATTTATGCATTTTTAGTTCACTTTTAGGTTTGATTTTCATTGTGGCAAGAATGAATGATTATGTGTTTGGCTAAATTTATAAGTTATGAAAATTTGTTTGGTATTTTTTTTCAAGACAGATCTTAATTTTTTTTTTAAATAAATTGTTAAAAAGCTTATAAAATATTTAAGAAAAAAAGTACTAACCCCCATTCTTTTTATTTATCTTGAGCTTATACTGCATCACTGTCGAAATAGAAACGAATAGGATAGTATTATTAATGGAAAATTGATTAAGAGTCCCTTTAATTTTATTTTTTTTATAGCTCTAACAGTTCGTTCGGATATTTAGAATTTGATAACAGTCCATCGGGACAGTTTAGTTAGACAACTTAGATTGAAAGTAGACAATTTAAAATACACAATTTGGACTGAAAATTGACAGTTTAGTTGGATAATTTGTATTTAGAATAGACATCTTAGATAAAAATAACCTCTTTCCAATGATGTTATTGTGGCATATTTAGGCGATCAACGACCGATGACTAGTAGGGAGAAGCGAAAGAGTAGGAGAAACGTCATTTTTTGGAGTGGGTGTGGTTATGAGGACGGATGGATTGGAGAATAATAATGTATTTTCAGTCTAAGATGACTATTTAGTATTTTCTATCTAAGTTGCCCAAGAAACTTTTCGCAAAATGCTAAAGTATTATTGCCCTGATTGAAAAGGGTATTAGTGACAAGGGTGTTCAGTAAATTGCCATTATAATTAATAATGTGTTGGAAAACTGAAATGATTATTACAATATGCGACCGGTAGAGCCGGGGGCACAGGCGGATCCATCGCATGATGAGGATGATGATGTATCTCTGTAAGTTTCCGGTCTCAATATATTTATTCGGAGCCAAATTTTAGACCAGATGGCGATGACGATTCAGCACCCCTGACTCTTTGACTAGTGCTACTACTTCGTCTGGTGCTGCTACGTGACAGAAATTGTAATTTTAAAAATTGGAACGAAAAATACTTGTTCCAAAGTAAAAAAAACACCGGTTTGGAATTCGAAATCTAATTTGCATTTCAATTTTGTTCCATTAAAAATCGAGAAAATCATAAATCAGAGTAAAAAATTTATACAGTTCCAAAATCGAAAATAATCAGATTAAAATTGGCAGAATTTAGAAATCTCTGTTCCAATTTCCATCCCCAAGTGGAATCACTTAAATAGTGGAACTAAATAAAGTAGAAACGTGAGTAGTTTGTGCTCTCTGTTAGCACTAAACCCATTAATAGCGAACACTAATTCATCTACTTAAAAGCAATAATCTGGAATTCCATTATCTTCAAACATATATAATGCTATCTATATATCATGTGATAATTTTGTTTAATTTACCACTACGTACGTACTTTAAATTCTTATCTCTCCGTTATGATGCACATGCGCAAATAAGAAAAATTATTATAATCAAGTCCCAACACTTAATTAATTGCCGCCAAATCAATAGTTAATTAACTAGTTAATGCATGCAGTCGCCATACATCATTTAAGAATTAAATTGTTCATTAATCCCCAACGTGGAATATCTTGTCAATCTCCATTTTCTATATAATTTCCTAATTAATCACACTATAAATAAACCAGCTTAGTCAGTCGTTAAACTCACCTAATTAGAGTTGGAGTAATTAGCTTAATTATAAATTAACTCATATCATTTTAGCTCAAAATAATTAAATTAATTAAACATGCAGAAGTCATACAATTATAATTACTCTAGGGTTTTGATGTTTTTAATGTTGTGTGTAGTGGTGAGGTCTCAACTTAGTGCAGATTTTTACGCTAGAAGCTGTCCGAATCTGCTTAATATTGTTCGAAAAGAGGTTAAAAACGCGATAAAGAATGAGATGAGGATGGCTGCTTCTTTGCTTCGACTTCACTTCCATGATTGCTTCGTCAATGTGATGAGTAAACTAAATAATTCTACCATTAATATTTCTTTTAATTTTATACGAATATTGTAATTTATTTTTCTTTTTTTGTTTAATTAGGGATGCGATGCATCGGTGTTGTTGGATGGAAGTGACGGCGAAAAGTTTGCGCTTCCGAATTTAAACTCAGCAAGAGGATACGAAGTGATCGACACCATAAAAAATGCAGTGGAGACCTCTTGCAGCGGTGTCGTTTCGTGTGCCGATATTCTCACACTAGCTGCTCGAGACTCCGTGCTCTTGGTATGTAATTACAATAAATTAATTATTTTTTTTTTAATTATTATTATTTTATTTTTTTGAAAAAGAATAAATTAATTTATGACCCAATATTGCATATATACTGTTAAAATCTCTATAGATTAACACAATCGGTACTAGCAAAATTCTATTAATTTAGTGCAATATTAAAGTATCGAACTAATAGTAGGTTTTTATCACTATTATTTAAGAATGGTTATTAATTTATCGAGTATTAATTTATATACGTTGGAATGCATGCATGCAGAGTGGAGGGCCATCATGGAAGGTAGTGTTGGGGAGAAGAGATGGATTAGTGGGTAACCAAACGGGAGCAAATTCAGCACTTCCTTCTCCGTTTGAATCTCTTGATAATATCATTGCCAAATTTGCTGCCGTTGGTTTAAACGTTACTGACGTCGTTGCTTTATCAGGTATTTAATATATTAAATTAAATTACGGCCAACTCCCTAAGGTAATTTTAAATTACGAAAAACCCCTTCATATTTGGGTAATTACAACCACCTCCCTCAAATATAAATCTCATTACACGTCCACCCTTTCAGTGTCAAATTCTACATAATCTTCTAGATTTCGTGGAAATCTTCTCTAGTTTGTACTCGTTTTGTGCAAAAATACAGTTTCTAATACAAATCTAATATTTACAAGCCACGAGGCACATCTTATAATCATCTTGTTTCAAAATGTGGAGCTCGAACGGGTTAAAATGGATACAAACTGAAGAATATTCCACATAATCTAGAAGATTCCACTAAATGTGATCACACCGCAAATGGCGACATGTAAGAAGATTCATAATTCAGAGAGGTGGTTGTAATTACTCAAACATAAAGAATTTTTTCATAATTTGACCTTACATCGGAGGTTGACCGTAATTTACCCTATAATAATTTATAAACATAAATATTTATTTTTTATAATATTTATAACTAACCCTTGAATATTTTTTGAAGGCGGGCACACAATTGGGTTATCAAGATGCGCGCTCTTCAGCAACAGGCTATCCAATTTTTCCGGCACCGGAGCACCGGACAGCACGCTCAACACCAGCCTGATTCCGGAGCTGCAGACCGCCTGTCCGGCCACCGGCGACGGCAACAACACCGTCCCCCTAGACAACAGATCCAGAGACTTATTCGACAACCGCTACTTCGTCAATTTGGTCAACGGGAGGGGCATTTTGCAGTCCGATCAAATACTTGTTTCCAGTGACTCAGCTCAGTCAACCACCAGAAGTATTGCCCAACTCTACAGTACAAATGCTACGGTTTTCTTTTGTGACTTCGTGAATTCCATGATTAAGATGGGGAATATTAGCCCCTTAACCGGATCAAATGGACAGATTAGAAAGAATTGCAGGGTTGTCAATTCTTGATTATTATTATTATTAGGGTTTGGTTTATTTCTCTAGTTGGGAATTGTAATGGGGTCTATCTAATAAAATTTAATTTGGGATTAGTAATTAATTATTTGTTCTCTAATATGTGATATAAAATTAAACTATATATGTTTATATAAAAAAAAAAAATTGGCTTTAAATAATTAGCATGATCATGTGATTAAATGTTTTTTTTTTAATAGATAAATATTAATAACTGGTAAAGAACTAAAAACTTGGTAAAATATTAAAATAATAATAAAACAATTTTATTATTTCTAACAAAGTTATGGCATTTGGCACTCTTATTGTTTGTTTACTCTAATTATTAAAAAAAAGTTCTTACATTATTTTTAGTAGCAAACCCCACCTTGATTAAATTTTCTTCACCAAACTATTTCAAAAAAATCATCATTTAGGGATTGTTGGCTTAAAAAATACATCTTAGTGAATTTTTGTTAGTATTAGTAAACATATAATATTTCTAAGCGATTCGAAATAACACGGTACAAATCACTCGAAGAACCAATATTTGAGTGTTGCGGATAAATTGTTGATTTTTTTTTATTTTATATTTGATGATGAAGGAATCCGCAGCCAATCATATAGTTGCACTGGGTAAACTTAGACTCTTGTATAATAGTTTGCAAACCATACGAAAGACGTAAACCACATTAGACTAATCATGTGTGATAAACTCGACCTAGCGACCGTAAGCAAAGGGATTCAAACCTGGGTCAATTAGCACATCCTAACTTGCTCGGAACGCTAGGCCTTAATTGTTGAATTTATTCAATGAATTAATAATGGATCATATGCTAATTAGTTCTCACCTTATTTCATTGTATTGGCTTATTTTCAACATTAATTGAGCAAGATGCAGTTTCGGGCCGGGCCCGAGTCTTTAACAAAGTTAATTACGTGGAATTTTCTAGTTCTAGAACTTGGATTGAGTCTTTTTTTTTTTTTATTGAATATGACAATGTATGTTTAATTTTGGGAATCTAATAAAAATTGGAGATAAAAGACAGCCATGCATAAAGTATAAATTTTCACACAATAGATATAATTAATATACTTACATGAGCCATCTATTTTGACAAATCTCTTGTCACGTGCATTGAACTTTGGTTAATTATAATAAATATTAGTTTAATTATAACTTTAGTTCATTAAACTTTACAAGAAAAGTTAATTATTTGTTTTCCACGTCAAACCAACTTAATTTCTAAAAGCATCTCAAGTATTGGAGATATATAATATATAGTTGTTGGTAAAATTTAAGATTTTTTCCCATTTTAGAATTGAATGATATAATATATGGATGAGATCTTACACCATAGAAAATATTTACAAATGCGAAGCAACATTATGATAAGATTAATTCAACAGTTGGTCTAATTATGTGTTGTTTGCGGATGGTTTTAGAAATAGATTATGGGCTTTTTTGTGCATATAATCTGTTTTTAGGTGTTTGCAAAACAAGTTTTTGCTTTTGCTTCTCTTAAAAAAAACTGTTTTAAGCTATAATTTTAAAAGCACCCATGTATCTGTTTCTTCTAATTTAGTTTATTTTCCAGCTAATTAGAAAATACCCCAACTTTTAGAAATAAACACTTAATTCCAACTTAACTCACAATCACTAAGTTCTACTTTTAAATAAGCTTTTACAAACACAACCTAAGAGTTGAATATATGTTTCGTCAAATTTGCCACAGTTTGGACCCCGCAACTTATTATTTGCCGAGGAAAAAATAAGGGTCTTCAAATTTTAGTCAAAACTAAATGAAATTGATTCATTCTTCTATTTATACGCCACCGTGGGATGCACGGGATAGCGTTGCAAAAAAGAAGAAAATTTAAATATATGATGATTAAATTGTATTAAAAAAAATTACACAAATGTATAAATTACTTAGCTGTTAAATTTAAATTACCGAAATAGCATCAAAAAGTTAAATTATTCATTTATTATCTAAGTGGTGGATTAATTCCAAGTTTTATTTATTTAATTTTTTTGGAGAAGTTGAATAATTCCAAGTCACGTTGGCCGAAGAAGTCCAATCCGATCAACAAATAAATATACATCTATATCAAGAAAATTATTCATTCATTATTTAATTGCTGGATTAAGGATATTATATGTGTGGTAAATCATTAATTATAGGATAAATTACAAACACCCCTGAGGTATGGTCAAATTACAAAAACACCCCTCTTGTTTGGATAATTACAACCACCCCTCAACTCCTCAAATTTAGTGGAATCTTCGAGATTATATGGAATATTATCACCTTTGTACCCATTTTATCCCATTCAAACTCTACATTATGAAGCAAGATGATCATAATATGTGATTTTTAACTTGTATATATCAGTTTGTGGTGCATCCGAAACTGTATTTTTACATAAAACGAGTACAAACTAGAGCACATTCCACGGAATCTAGATGATTTATGTTGAATTTGGCACCATAAGGGTGGGGGTGTAAGAAAAAATCATAGTTGAGGGAGGTGGTTGTAATTATCCAACAAGAGGGTTTTTTTTGTAATTTGACCATACATCAGGGGGTGTTTGTAATTTACCCTTAATTATATGATTGAAAATGCAGTCCAGTTGATATAATTGAATATAGTACTTGCAGTGAATAAAGAAGAAGTTTTCATGCATAGACGTTTTCTCCTCTCCAACAACTAATTAATTAATTGGCACTATAAATTAACCTAAACTCAGCAACACTTATGTAGAAACAAAAAGCAAGAAGAAAAATATATACACTATACTGCTAATTAACTATATTATTCCACCATCATGTCTGTGTTGATGAGAGTGCCAATAGCAACTTTTCTCGTGCTGATATTCGTAACTGTGTTCGAAAAAGGATGCAACGCTCAGTTGAGCACCACATTCTACGCTACCACGTGCCCTAATATATCGAGCGTGGTTCTTAATGTCATCCAACAGGCTCAACGGGCTGATGTTCGGGCTGCCCCTAAACTTATTCGCCTTCATTTCCATGATTGCTTCGTCGATGTAAATTTTCCATCTCTATTTTTTCCCTCTTTTTTTCTAGGGTTATTAGGGATCGGCATGCATGTGTTAAAATCTAGAAGAGCCACAAATATATATATATGTTCCGGTGGTGGTTGCAAAAGCTTTTAGAAACAGCTTCTGAACTTTTTTTTTTTTTGCTCATAATTTGTTTTTAGGTGTTTATAAAATCAGCTTTTGCTTTTTCTTTTGTTTCTCTTGAAAATAATTGGCTTTAAGCTATTTTTGTTAAAAACACCCGGCCACTAGACCACCGGTTTATCTATTTAAGTTAATTTTCTTGCATACTTGCAAACAGTCACTAACTTAATTCGGTTTTTGAATAAGCTTTTTGCAAACACCACCTTATTGTTCCCGATATGTACATATCGAAATTTATAAAAATTAGTGTTAATAAACAATAACAATAGACAATTAGTTAATATTGTCTCCGAAATCTCAGGATGGATATTCCGGTGGTTATATATTTGAATGGGTGAAGTACTAATTTGTTTGTGTTCATTCGTCAGGGCTGCGATGGATCGCTTTTGCTAGACAATGCAGACGGCATACTCAGCGAAAAAGACGCGTTCCCGAATGCTGGTTCTGTCGACGGATTCGGTATAGTAGATAACATGAAAACAGCCTTGGAGAGTGTGTGCCCAGGTGTGGTCTCGTGTGCAGATATTTTGGCACTAGCTTCTCAAATTTCAGTTAACTTGGTAACTACATACAAATAATTAATCTTTATTTCATGCGCATAAGTACTTATAAATTAGTAACTATTAATTATTTTACTCAAAAAAAAAAAAAAAAACTATTAATTATTTTCAAGTTAATTAATTTGAAATATGGTATTATAATTAATTAATTAATTAATTAGGTAGGAGGTCCATCATATTCAGTACCACTAGGAAGAAGAGATGGCAGAACAGCAAACAGAGCAGGGGCAAATACGGAACTTCCAAGCCCTTTTGCCAACCTTGATGAACTCCGATCCAATTTCAGCGCCAAGGGTCTCGACTCTACTGACTTGGTCGCTCTATCAGGTATACTTACGCCTCGTTTGGTTGGGATGATTACCCATTATTAACTAAAATAATGTTATCATAGGCATATTTTTTGTTAGACGTCTCCTAGTCCAATAAAATTATTAGATTATTTAATCTTATTTTGTCAAACAAACGAGGCCTTATATTACAAGATGAAATATTAATCATGAAAAAACACAAATCCAAATTCAAGATTTTGAATACATATTTTTACTATATGGTGCAACTCAGACTTGCACTAGACGTTATTTTTGTTCCTCATATTCGTCTTATAAGTAAAATACTAATCCTTTTTTTTTTCATTTTGGAAATCGGAATGAAATTTTTTTGTTGCAAAGTCAGAATTTCGCGAATCGGAATCAGTTGAATTCGGAAATTATGCTCCGATTTATCCTCTTAATATAAATTAATATATTATATTCATACTATAAATATAATTTCCCAAAACAAATTGAATTATTTTTTAAAATTAAAATCGAATCATAAATCAAAATTGTATAAATAATCCCAATTCCGAGATGCAAAATATTTCAGGAATATCGAAAATCGAGATTAAAAAAAATAGGTTTCTAATTCAAAAAGTTTTGGATTTAAAACGGAGAAATTCTGAAACTCAACCAATTTTCCGAGTCAACTTGCAAATATTATTTATCATTGTTTATCTTGTTTTTTAGACAGTTTTATCCCACCAATCAATAATACAATTGGGTTTTTTCATTAGATTATTTTTTCTTATATTGGCTAATCATATCTTGACAACCAAACGAGATCTAATAGTATATATATCGTAATCTCAGGTGCGCATACATTTGGGCGTGCAAAATGCAACACATTCAGCCACAGGCTCTACAACTTCGCCAACTCCGGTGGGCCCGACCAAACCATAGAACCTACTTACCTGGAAACGTTGCGACAAACGTGCCCTCAAAACGGCGCCGGAACCACCTTAGAAAATCTTGACCAGTCAACGCCCGACGAATTCGACAACGAATACTTTGAAAATCTGCAGAGCGGGAAAGGCCTTCTTCAGACCGATCAACTATTGTTCTCTTCTACTGGATCCGATACAGTTGCTATTGTTGACCGGTTCGGTGATAGCGAAACCGAGTTTTTCGATGCTTTCGTCCGGTCCATTATTAAAATGGGCAACATTGCCCCGCTCACCGGAACTCAGGGAGAGATCCGAGCTGATTGCAAGAGGGTTAATTAATTAATTAATTAATTATTTATTTAAAAATAGTGTGCTTCGTCTTTTTTTTTTTTTTTTTCCTACGTTTTGCAAGTTGTAAGTTTAATTTAAATAAATTGTAATTTTGAGTTATTGTTTGATGAAAGTTGTGATGTGGAAATTTAAATATGTTGTAAGTATGTTTTATTATTTATAATTCATAGAAAATATATAATAATAAATAGTCTAATAACAAACATTAAGAATAATAAAATATCAAATATAATATATAGATAAAGTTGAAAATTTATTATTCGAATTAAGTATTGAATATCACCACTCTATTTATTGGAGATACGTGCTCAAGAGGTCAAACCATGGATTGGTTAAACTTTAATTGGTTGTTAAAAAAAAAAAAATATCAACACTTGAGTCTTTCATTTATTTGTCTAAGAATTGAATTATATATAGTTCCTCAAATTTGCCACAATTTGCACCCTGCAACTTATTATTTGCTGACGAAAAATTAAGGGTCTTCAAATTTTAGTCAAAAATAAATAAAATAAATGAAATTGATTCATTCTTCTGTTTATACGCCACCGTGGGATGCACGAAACAACGTTGAAAAACGGAAGAAAATTTAAATTTATGATAATTGAATTGTATTAAAAAAATAAATTACACAAGTTAAAATAATAATTAGTTGTTAAATTTAAATTACCAAAAAAGCATAAAAAAAGTTAAATTGTTCATTCATTGTCAAATTGGTGGATTAATTCCAAGTTTTATTTAATTATTTTTTTTGGAGAAGTTGAATAATTCCAAGTTACGTTGGCCGAAGAGGTCCAATCCGATCAACAAATAAATATACATCTATATCAAGAAAACTATTCATTCATTGTCTAATTGGTGGATTAAGGATATTATATGTGTGGATTAGGTATATTAAATAAAAATTAATAATAATAAATCATTAATTATATGATTGAAGATTGAGTCCAGTTGATGTAATTAAATATAGTAATTGCAGTGAATAAAGAAGAAGTTTTCATGCATAGACGTTTTCTCCTCTCCTACAATTAATTGTCACTATAAATTAACCTAAACTCAGCCACAATTGCATAGAAAAAAAGAGAGAGAGAAGAAAAATATATACACTATATACTGCTAATTCACTATATTATTCCACCATGTCTGTGTTGAGAGTGCCAATAGCAACTTTTCTCGTGCTGATATTCGTAGTTGGGTTCGGAAAAGGATGTAACGCTCAGTTGAGCACCACATTCTACGCTACCACGTGCCCTAATATATCGAGCGTGGTTCTTAATGTCATCGAACAGGCTCAACGGGTTGATGTTCGGTCTGCCCCCAAACTTATTCGCCTTCACTTCCATGATTGTTTCGTCAATGTAAATTCTCTCTCTCTCTCTCTCTCTCTCTCTCTCTCTCTCTCTCTCTCTCTCTCTCTCTCTCTCTCTCTCTCTCTCTCTCTCTCTATATATATATATATATATATATATATATATATATATATATATAGAGGTGGTATTTGCAGAAGCTTTTAGAAATAGCTTCTGAGCTTTTTTCTTTTTTTTTTATTGACTCATAATCTGTTTTTATGTATTTATAAAATCAGCTTTTGTTTTTCCAATTGTTTCTCTTGAAATAATTGGCTTTAAGTTATATATTTGAATGTGTTAAGTACTAATTTGTTTGTGTTCATTCGTTAGGGCTGCGATGGCTCGCTTTTGCTAGACAATGCAGACGGCATACTCAGCGAAAAAGATGCGTTCCCGAACGCTGGTTCTGTCGACGGATTCAGTTTAGTAGATACATAAAAACAGCCTTGTGAGAGTGTGTGCCCAGGGGGGGGTCTCGTGTGCAGATATTTTGGCAATCGCTTCTCAAATTTCAGTTAACTTGGTAAGTACATACAAATTAATTAATTAATCTTTGTTTCATGCACATAATTACTTATAAATTAGCAACTATTAATTGTAATTTTCAAGTTAATTAATTTAAAATATGGTGTTATAATGAATTAATTAGGTAGGGGGGCCATCATATTTAGTACCACTAGGAAGAAGGGATGGAAGAACAGCAAATAGAGCAGGGGCAAATACGGAACTTCCAAGCCCTTTGGCGAACCTTAACGAACTTAAATCCAATTTCAGCGCCAAGGGTCTCGACTCTACTGACTTGGTCGCTCTATCAGGTATACTTAGGCCTCGTTTGTTAGACGTCTCGGAGTCCAATAAAATAATTGATTTTCATTTCAATTTTAATTTTTGACTAATCGTATTTTGTCAGCCAAACAAGGCCTTATATTACAAGATGAATATTAATCATGACAAAACACAAATCTAAATTCAAGATTTTGAATAAATATTTTTACTATATGGTGCAACTCAAACTTGCACTGGACGTTCTTTTTTTTCATCGATTTGTCTTATAAGTAAAATACTAATCCCGATTCACTTCCAAATTTTTTTTCATTTGGAAATCGGAATGAAATTTTTTTGTTGCAAAGTCAGAATTTCGCGAATCAGAATCAGTTGAATTCGGAAATTATGCTCCAATTTATCCTCTTAATATAAGTTAATATATTATAGTCATATTATAAATATAATTTCCCAAAAAAAAGAGAGAGAGGAGTTTGAATTAGTTTTTAAAATTAAAATCAAATCATAAATCAAAATTGTATAAATAATCCCAATTCCGAGATGCAAAATATTTCAGGAATATCGAAAATCGGGATTAAAGAAATAGGTTTCTAAATTCAAAAGTTTTCGATTTAATTCGGAGAAATTCTGAAACTCCACTATTACCATTCTTCACCTTCATACGCTACACATTTTTTCTTATATGCTACGGTAGTTTGGTTGGAAAGATTAACTATATATGATTAACTAAATAACAAGTCAATGACTTTTTGAGTCAAAGTCGCAAATATTATTTTATCATTTTTTATCTTGACTTTTATGTTTTTTCATTAGATTATTTTATCTTATATTGGCTAATCATATCTTGACAACCAAACGAGATCTAATAGTATATATATTGTAATCTCAGGTGCTCATACATTTGGGCGTGCAAAATGCAACACATTCAGCCACAGGCTCTACAACTTCGCCAACTCCGGTGGGCCCGACCAAACCATAGAACCTACTTACCTGGAAAGGTTGCGCCAAACGTGCCCTCAAAACGGCGCCCCAACCACCTTAGAAAATCTTGACCAGTCAACGCCCGACGTATTCGACAACGAATACTTTGAAAATCTGCAGAGCGGGAAAGGCCTTCTTCAGACCGATCAACTATTGTTCTCTTCAACTGGAGCCGATACAGTTGCTGTTGTCAACCGGTTCGGTGATAGCGAAACCGAGTTTTTCGATGCTTTCGTCCGGTCCATGATTAAAATGGGCAACATTGGCACGCTCACCGGGACTCAGGGAGAGATCCGAGCTGATTGCAAGAGGGTTAATTAATTAATTATTTGAAAATAGTGTGCTTCGTCTTTTTTTTTTTTCCTACTTTTTTTCGAATTTTTTTTGCAAGTTGTAACTGTTTAATTTAAATAAATTGTAATTTTAAGTTTTTGTTTGATGAAAGTTGTGATGTGTAAATTTAAATATGTCTGAAGATTATATTCAAAAGAATGAGTAAAAACAAGAAATAATGTCATTATTCAAACACTCTAAAAATTAATCCCAAAAATAAGATATAACAACTTATCAGCTCTTAAAATATCTTATCAGACGTAAGAGCTTATAAGTTGTTTAAAATAAGCTTAGCCAAACACCCTCTTAAATTGCGCCAATAAAATAACTGTAACTAATGTTCTTGAGATTATAATTAACTGCGTCTGAGGTTCTACAAGTGGTATCAGCTCATTGTACATTGTCTAATATCTATACAAAAAAAAAGGCAACTTAGAATTAATACACGCCTTTCAATAAATCAGAAACAACTATATTACATCTATGTCCGGAAAAAAAAAAAAAAAAAAAAAAAAAAAAACACGATACTAGGTATCTAAGTTTGTTGCGTTTGCCTTTGGCTCAACACGAGTTGAGCAAACAACAGTTGGTTCCAAGTGTCGGGGACGCCAGGTAGGCACCAATGGCTACAATCTTGGTGAGTTTCGAACAAGCGTTTCTCCTGGACCGTCGCGTTCGGCTTTCTATAAACCGAAGGGTGCGCATCGCTTCTATAGTTTGTCATTCGCGTAACGTTTAGGTAAACCACGGGTGACTTTAGCTTCTCCATCGACTTATCGAGCATTTGCGGTATCGGAGGACTCAATTCTTCTATACTCAACAGATCCTTCGCATCCTTGATCGGCTCTCTACTATCACATCGTCCACCGGAATTCCACTCTCCTTTACTGCGATTTACGAGGGAAAGTAGACAAACATATTAACTAACATATTAACTAACATAGAACATAATTTGTTTAGCCTATGATGTTTTATTTAGTTTTTTTTTATTATTTAATTACCTGAAATGAGAGAAGGAATAACCTCGGAAAAAAACACGGGTTTTCTTCGGATCTACGTTGGATTCGACCCATCTTGCCCAAGTGGACATTGCCTTATCGAATGCTTCGACAACGTCGAGTTTTTCGTGAACATGGTCGCCTTCTTGATAGTATCCTTTCCTACAAGATAGATACAATCATAGTACTCTATATATCAATTATTTCAGTTCATTCTTAACAAGATTTACGAAGAATTAAGAAAAAAAAAATCGACGAGAAAATAAAAATACCCTTCGGATGTTTTCTCATGGGTCCACCAGTTCCCGGTGTTGAATACAAGCACGTCAGCATCTTTATACAAATCGTACGATTTTTCAACACGGTCGAGCCGAAGTGTTTCTTTAGTCGAACCGTTTTCTATTGGCATTTCCCATTCTTGGACTAGAAAAGCTGATCGAATATATTCCACCGAAACATTATAATCCTACATCCAAAATAAAGTTTTTAAAGAAGAACCCAAAACGAAAAACCCGAAAAAAAAACGCAAGTGTACATATATGTATATATACCGGGAATAGGAAGGAGTAAGTCCCTTCTTTCTTGAATTCCTGTTTACCAGAAGCCTCAAACACTCTGCTCTTATCCTTAACCGAATTCCGCAACAAACAAACCATCGATTCGTACATGTTTCTGTTCAAAGAATCGCCCACGTAAACTATCCGCTTCCCTTTCAAGAACCGAAGCATCTTGCCACCGTCGAATCTGCCAATTTTTCGACATTTCCAAAACACAAATTCAATCACAAGTACATTTTTTTTCAAAACAACAAAAAAAAAAATAAAAAAAACGGAATCTTTATCACCACCTAGGCACATTGCAATGATTCGGCTGCCAACGCAACTTCTCGTAACCGGTATCGGGCCTTCCGTTCAAATAGCAGTTAAACGATTCGTCGATGAAAGGGCAAGAACCCGGTTCGTAAAAGGGGGGAGAATTATCTCTCACCCATTTCCCATCAAACACATCACATTTGCTCATCAATTCAACCCATCTTTTTTTCTTCTTCTTCTTCTTCGCCGCCGTCGATTTCCCTTCGGACAAAGTCGCATTTCTCGAACCGTTTGAAGAAACACGAGATTGGTTTAATTCCGGGTTAAAAACGGAATCTTTTGCCCTGGAAAGATTCTGCTGTGATAAATGATTATGGTGCGGGAAATAGGAAGAGAGTTGCGACCTGTTTTTTATGACGTTTTTGAACCACTGAGAAGAAGATTGATGAACGTGGGAGTTTCCGAAGAGGAAGATGATTGTGCAGGCGAGGAAGATGAAGGCGAAGGAATATGCGAATGTGATGGATCCCTTTGTCCGAAAAGTTGGTGTCCGGATTATGGAATTGGGCGAGAAAAGGGCGTTCTTCAGCTCCATTGCGATTGCGATTTGCTGTTGTTGATGTTGTTTGCCGCCATTGTTGCGGTTTTATTGTTGGTTGGTAATGGAGGAAATGCCCTAATTGGGAGAATCTGATTGTTGGTAGATTTTAATTTGAATTTCAGAGGGGACACACGTATGTAGGAATTTCAAATATGTAATAATACTACATGTTAGAAGTAGAAAGACAATTGACTAAATATTTTTTTTTTTAAATAATAATAATAATAAATTTAAAGAATTAAAAAAAAAAACGAACATCTTCTTCAGGAAAGACCAATAACTCGTCCAGAATCGGCATCGATATCAATGTCGCTCTGTGGCAATCTAGGCATTGTTTTGATCATTGTCCCAACTAAAGGATATATAAATCCAGCTTCCAATGCTTCCTCTCATCTCTTCAACACATTCGTCAATTCTAACTCTAAATCATCGATTATTCGACATATTTCTACAACTACTAGCTCAATGCGACTTGGAACGATTATTTTAACAACATAACATAGATTCTAGTATAAATTTCCGATATTTTCTTTTACAATTAATATTAACAAAAATTGCAAAAACCTTATTTGTTGTAATCGGTGTTCAAGGCAATGGGTTCCGTCGGTTCGGTAGAGGTGGCAATGTGGCTCGGTTCCACCTCTCTCTTTCTTTGGAAATGGGAATGGAGCCTATATTAGTAAGGGGGTTTAAGATATAGGTCCCTGATGACAAAACTTATTAGAACTAAATGACAAGTCTAACTAAACATTTGCTTCACATCCTTTATAAATTTTATTCCGAAAATGCCCTCCACACACAAAAAATGAAATATGCACCAAGTGATAGTTAAACTGTATTTATCATTTTTTTTGTTCTACATTTAACATTTTTCATTTTTTTATCTAGAATTTTGTTATTATTTTTATTAGAACACGTTGATTTTTTTTTTTGCATTTTCTTATTTTTTTTCTTATTTTTTTCGACAAAATCTTGAAAATTATGATTTTTTAAATTTTTTCGACCGTAGTCTTCTATAGAAATCCGTAGGAAATCGTAGTAGTCCGTTAGTCACGTATAGAAACTCGTAGGTAAGTGTAGTAATCCGTAGTCACGTATAGAAACTCGTAGGTAAGTGTAGTAATCCGTAGTCACATATTCTTAAAACCCTAATTCATCTTTTCAACCCTAGCCGTCAGACACCATAGACACCCATAGACACTCACAGACATCTATAGACATGAAATCGGAAAATTTTAGATCCACCCCACCAAACCGTAGATCTCCTCCACCAAACCATAGATCTACGACGCCAACATCACCCACGCCGCTAAACATGCCACAAACCCCACCCACGCTGTTGTTGGCATCCACATCCCACCCCCAACATCGATCGCCACCGGCACCATCCCTCAACCCCCGAGTGCCGCCGCCCAACGAGCGCCGCGCCTCCTCCGAAGCCGCCGCTGCCCAACGAGCGTCGCGCCTCCTCCGAAGCCGCCGCTGCCCAACGAGCGCCGCGCCTCCGCTGCCCAACGAGCGTTGCGCTTCCTCCAGCACCGCTGTCATAGTTGTCGCTAGATCCACCACCAACCATAACCGTTTCCACAACCAAGCCCCTCGCCCAGAGTTTCCACCATACACAGTGTTTCCCTGCTTATGTAACCAATCCACTTCTTCACCGTCGACTAATTAATAGATCTATCAAAAATAAGAAAAAAAAAATAGAGAAAAGAGGAGATGTTGGGTTGGCGGAGGAGATAAATGTATAAGAGAGAGAGATAGAGGGGGGAGTGGTGCTCTGGAACGATGGAGAGAGAATGGGTGGGTGGGGCCGCTGTAAGAAAAAAAAGTAGAGAAGAAATTAGAAGAAAATGAAACCTAATATTATATTGGTTATATTGAAGGGTATTTTTGGGTTAAATAAAAATTAAAGGATGTAGATCAAATTTTATTTGGAATTATGGATTTAGTTAAAATATTTTAATTGAGGCTGTCCCCCATATCTAATTAGGTTTGATTTTAGGGGTGTCAAGCATATTACCCCTATTAGTAATTTCATGTTTTATATTTAGTAAGTTATTGTAAATTTTGATTTTTAATTTAATATGGTCTTACGGTAAGACTCTTACCACTTACCAATTTAGATGCTTCAAAGGGTCCCTTCAATAAAGCATCTTATATATTAACATTTAAAAAGATCTTGCAGATATTTCGATTCCAAAGAACGATGACGATGACGATGACGCTATATCTTCAATCCGCAAATTCTAGATTATTCAACATACTAACAAGAGAGGAAAAAAAAAAAAAGAAAAAAAAAAAACATCACAAAAATACAACCTATGGAATGGAGGAACTCTTATTGACCCATAGTCCATCTTCATTGAATCACAAAACACCAAAGCATACAAAAAAAAAAAAAATGCAATCCCAAAAATCGAACATCTTCTTCAAGAAAGACCGATAACTCGTCCAGTTTCAGTGTCGATATCAATGTCGTAAAAGCAAGGCCTAGTGGGCAAGCCAGGCATTGTACTCATCGTCCCAACTAAAGGGTAAATAAATCCAGCGCCAATGCTTCCTCTCACATCTCTTATCGGCAGGACAAAACCACTAGGAGCACCCTTCTCCGAAGCATTGTGTGAGAACGAGTACTGCGTCTTTGCCATGCAGATTGGCAGGCCCGAAAATCCTTGTTTGCTGTACATCTCTATCTGCTTCTCCGCCTACCTCATCCAAAAAACCAAATATAACAAATTAAACGAAAAAAAAAGTCGACAACTGCGTTTAGATGGATCGTGTGCGATAATCTATTCACATGAGGGGTTTCTGGAGTTCGACATCTCTGCACTTATTCTAATTATCACAAAAACTCACTACGTTATTTTTATTACCATAAAAGTTCCTAAGATCGAAACTCAAGAGCAAATAAACGCATGGAGCTCACAGTCTGCGCGGACAGTGATCTAAAAAGAAGGGTTTATTGCATTTAGCACCCCTGCATTTTCTCTAATTTTCAAAAAAACTCCCTGTGTTAAGGGGGTTTGTGCTAAAACAAATGCATCGTAGGGTTTTTTTTTTTTGGAAAATATTTATAAAAATAGGAATTTTTTTAGCAATTCCTTATAACACAGGGGTACTAAATCCAATAAAATCGTAAAAAGAACGTAAAATAGGAGGGTTTATGCAGATAAAAATTACGAAATGACACTTCCAAACTCAAGAAGAAACAACTAAAAAGCTAAACATGTACCTGTTCAGAATACTCGACCCCACTTGCACCATACGACTTTGCTATTGCCTCTATTTTCTCTTTGATACTTATATCTAAAGGATATAAAAACGTCAAAGGTTGTGTAACACTTTCACACGCCTTTTGAACCGCAATTCCAAGATCCACCTGAGAATCGAAAAAAAACCAAAATAAATATAAATTCAAGGTACGACAAAACCCCGTTAATATTCCGTTCCACGAAAAGTAAATGCTAGATAAAATAGTAAATTAGTTAGTCAGCTAAAAAATGCTAGCTAAAATAATTGTTTTCAGAATGATGAAACTAACCGCGCCTTTCCCGCCATGTGCATGATGAGTACAAATAACAGCATCAAAAGCCCCCGCCGACAAAGCCGCAGTTCTCACAGCATTGAGCTCCGCTTCAGAATCCGTCGAAAACATATTAACCGCCACCACAACATTAACACCATAAGCCTTCGTGTTCTTAATATGCCTCGCCAAATTAATGCACCCCGCTTCAACAAGAGCCACATTCTCCGTCACGTAGGCTCGGTCCAGCGGCCTCCCAGCCACAACATCGGGCCCGCCACCGTGCATCTTCAAGGCCCGAATAGTAGCCACAATCACCGCACACTGAGGCTTCAATCCGCTGTACCTACACTTTATATTCATAAACTTCTCAGTCCCAATATCCGCACCGAACCCCGCCTCGGTCACCACAAACCCACCGGGGCCCACAAGCTTGAGGGCAATTTTGTCCGCAACTATCGAAGAGTTGCCGTGCGCGATATTCGCAAAGGGGCCCGCGTGTACAAGTACGGGCGTGCCCTCAAGAGTCTGCATTAGAGTAGGGTTAATAGCGTCTTTCATCAACACCGCCAGTGCGCCACCGACTCCAAGGTCATCGGCGGTGATGGGGTCGCCACCCCTACTATTTCCGACCACCATCTTTCCAAGGCGGGCCCGCATATCAGGTAAGGAGGTCGTGAGGGCTAAAACCGCCATGATTTCACTAGCTACCGAAATATCGAACCCCGTTTCTCTAACCATGCCCTTTTCTTCGGGCCCTTGTCCAATCGATATTTTTCTCAAGAACCGGTCATTAACGTCCATGACTCTCCTCCACGTGATGGAATCGGGGTTTATGTCCAGCCTGGCGAACTGCTTTGCTTCGGTTGGTGTTAGGTCTTCGGGGTTAGATTTTGAGATGCCGAGTTTTTGTAGACGGCCGAGCATGACTTCATTGAAGGTTCTTTTGCCTTCTTTGTTCGGCGGGCACAGGCGGTTGAAGAGGGCTTTGTCGGATTGGGTTGACTCATGGAAGATTCTTGTGTCGATGGCAGCGGCGAGGAGGTTGTTGGCGGCAGTGATTGCGTGGATGTCTCCGGTGAGGTGGAGGTTGAATTCGTCCATCGGGATCACTTGGCTGTAGCCTCCACCGGCGGCACCGCCTTTGATTCCGAATGTGGGCCCCTGTGATGGCTGCCGGAGGCACGTGACTACCTACGGAAAATCGAAAAAAAAAACAGATGATAAATTATCAGAAGAAAGAAGGGCAAATCAAGTTTGATTGAATACCTTTTTGTCAAGAAAAGCTCCCAAAGCTTGACAGAGACCGACGGTGGTGGTGGATTTGCCTTCTCCGAGGGGGGTGGGAGTAATACCTCCGACCACCACGTAGTACCCATCTTCTTTACCTTTAAGCTCATCAATCACTGACAACAGAACCTGGATACCTCAAAACAAAATCGAAACCCAAACATCGGAAATCCATATATACAATCTACATGAACCAAAAATGCCCTAAAAAATGGGGGAAAACAAAACCAATCGGAAGAGTGAGATTTTCTAATGTTACCTTAGCTTTGTATTTGCCGTAGAGATCGTAATGCTGAGGGGCGAGATCGAGCTCCTGGGCGATGTCGGAGATGTGGAGCGGCGCCACCGAATTGGCAATGTCTATGTCGGCCGGCACCGGCGATGAAACCTCGAGTTTCCTCAATGTTTTCCCCATTTCGGATAGTCTGGGATGCTTTCTTCCGTTGGTGAGGGGTGATTTTTGTAGATTTCGATCGGGGCACGGAATTAGGTGGGAAATGTTGGATGTTAGATGAGAAGAAATTGAGCGAAGAAACATGGGGGAAATTTCTGCAGATTGTCTCTTATCTAGTGAGTGGAGCTCGGGATGTGTGTCTCCACTGTTGGGGTCGCACGTGGGGTGGACTGTTGGCAAATGTTTATCTGCCACGTGTAGACGACAAATATTATTTTTTAAAAACAAAATAAAAAATAATTAAAATGTAGGCGGCTGGAGATGCGGGGTATCGATCCCCGTACCTCTCGCATGCTAAGCGAGCGCTCTACCATCTGAGCTACATCCCCAAGCGTTGACTCTTTATAGAGTTATTAATTTGACTGTATTATTTAAAAAAAAAATTAAAAACAATCAATGAAAATAAAATCTAAATAAATAAATTGGAGATGCGGGGTATCGATCCCCGTGCCTCTCGCATGCTAAGCGAGCGCTCTACCATCTGAGCTACATCCCCTTGACGACTGTACGTTTACTAATTTATTATCTTTATAAATGCAGACAAAAAACTGAATATGAAAAAAATTACTACTACTTAACGCAGACGAAGAAGAAAAGTGGAGATGCGGGGTATCGATCCCCGTGCCTCTCGCATGCTAAGCGAGCGCTCTACCATCTGAGCTACATCCCCATCATGCCAATTCATTTCATTAAAAAATATTTGATTTTATGCATTCCAGTTGAAAGAATTTCCAATTGCCACAATAATGCTGCCCTCACTGTTAAATATGTTGTTGGAGCCAAAAGTTATGTGTCATTGCATTTTATTCAAATTGAAAAAAAAAAAAACGAAAAAAGGATTCGTTTATGCTTCCAAGCTGGCCATTTTTCAAGAAACCCTTGGAAGAAGAAGTGAAAAGCTTATTTGTTGAAGATAACTATTTGTGTCTCTGCTGGTTTTATTTGATGTTCTAGTGAATGAAATTTAAGGGTAAAGAACATTAAATAATTTTATTTGGCCAATCAAGTAAAACTACATCTTTTAGAGCAAGTATGCAATTCATTTGGACAAACGAGTAAAGAACATTAAATAATTTTAGTTTGGCCTAATTCCATGCACCTAAAAAGTACAACCGAAAGGAAGACTTCACATGGAATTAAGGTTAAGTAGTGTGTCTTTTAAGATTGTTTTATTTGTGTGCTAGTTTATAACACTTTTCGGCATATAAGGTTTCAAATTGACGTGAGGTAAAGCCATAAGGTGCTATGGTATGACCTAGGGTCGGAGTTTTAGGCGAGCTGATGTTTTTGTAACCTAATATCCCATTAAATACGGTAGACCCATATGAGAAGGTAATTAGGTCAAAAACCTTAATGAAGCTGGACCCCGGTGGTAGACCGAGATTCCGGCGGAGTTGGAGGCTGACGCAAGGAGAACCAGGTTAACATCACGCTTACGTCATAAACCCAACGAACAGAGAACGATCACAAATCATGCGAGGATATTTTTGAAATATTAAAAAGTAAAAAAGATTTTTTAAGTATAAAAATGGTCAAAAACAACTTTGAAAATTTTAAGAGTTGAATAATTCAGGTGCATATCCATTAGCATGGCATCATTTCAGGTGAAATAGCTCATACAATAGATCCACACTCATTCACTGCCATAAATACGAGGGAGAAAGAGCGCCCCCGGCACCAGAAACACAACACGAGAATCGAAATAAATACCAGAGCATGCATCTTCTTGCTTTTTTTATCCCCAAGCGAAATTGGGGCAAGTATCTACAAGGGCAAAATGGACCACAAGAATGTGAAGAATGCTCTCTTCTTTCCTTCAATTCAAAACACTAATGGTTTTCGATAATAATACATGAGCACAATCTGTGATCGAATCCTTGACTCAAAAAAACATACTAATTTACACGGTTTTTCTTCATTCCTTCATATTCTGACGCTCCGATCCAGTTCAGAATATCAGATAAAACCGTTCCATTGTTTGTTGCTTCATTTGCAAAAGACACTGTACACGAAAATTAAAAAAAAAAAAAAAAGGAATATAAATTCTTCATACAGGCATCGGGTTTTGGGTCCACTATTCTAAGCTCCTAGCATAAATCAACTCCAAGATAATCAGAAGAGCGACTTTACATCAACCTGTAAGGCAGTTAAGAAAAACGAAAAATACGATCAGCTTGATAAATAGCCAGTTCAATGCATAAAGGACAGTCAAAATGAAATACTTTGTGCTTCAAAATAGCAATCAATTGTAAGAACTATATGTAGAAGTCTAGAACCAACAGCGACTAATGATCGAGTATGTACAACACTGCGAAACTTGAGCCGAGCATTTGACAATCAAATTTTAAAAAACTCTTGCTTTACGCACTTTATAACTTCAATCAAATTCCAAATGGGAACACAAGTAGCAAATCTCGATAAAGAACAAAATATCAAACTCGATTACTTAATTACTTAAATAAAAACCTAGACTGAAATCCCAAAAAATAAATTCGATCCCATGAAGATCTTACTGTGTACCATGTTGTAGAGAACAATCCATTATCCTATTTCGATCTGATGGTGTTCTGACTACAACAAGAAACTGGAAATTTAGACGTCACGAAACAATGAATGCTTGTTTAAGTGCGTCAATTTGAAAGAAAAAAAAAAAAAAAGTGACGGAAAGGATCAAACCGCTAATAATAACAATACGCCGACTGAATAAGCATAAAAAGAAACTAAATTTTAGTACATTATTACGTCGACTCATACATCAGCAGAAACAAATTTACCCTGTCGACAAATTAGCGGTAGAAAAGTTTCGACTTTTCATAGTTCACATGCTCCGTACAAACATATATTACCAAATTCATGATGATTGGCCAATCAAGTTGAACACAGACAACACAAATACAATAAACACATTCTGCAATTACCTTAAGCAATATCAAATTCAATAAATAACTTCAGCAAAACAATTATATCATGAAACGAATCGGAAAGGCAGATATATACTATAAACTCCCTCACACATAATTCATAACATACCAAAAGATCAAAACCGATGCTGCGTCAAGCGGCGTCGACCATCAAGATATCGCCATCTTCGTCACGCATTTCATCGACACCCCTACCACTAACTTCCCCACCATTATCACTCGAGCCTCGTCTACTGGAGCCCGATGCAGTAGCAATTGAAATCAGATTGGCCTCCCCATTAACCCTCCTCAACCTCGGCTCTCTAACCGGAGTTCTATCCAGAAGCAAAAGTACATCACGATCCACCTCCCAGCGGTGCGCCCATGGGTCAATCGCCTTCTTTTTCGGCGCGGATTCGGCTGGCAATTTGTGCCGGCACAAGGGGCAAGTGTTGCTCCTTTGAAGCCATTCAACAATACAATCCCTATGGAAAAAGTGCTCGCACGGCAATTTATTGACTGTTACAAAAGTACCTGGATCTATCTGGAAATCCTCCATGCAAATTGAGCACGATTGAAGAGACCGGTCTGAATTTGGGGGAAATATTTTAATCGGCAGCGAGCGAACGAACGATTTCAAAGCAGGTGTAGATTGATGGGAATTGGGGGTTGCAAATGATAGGAGGGAACTCTCGGAATCGGAGTCGTCGCCGGAGTCGGAATCATCGGAGGTCTCATAAATGTAGAAGTTTGGGCCAGGGGGGAAATCGGAAGTCGGCGGACGAGGGGGAGGAGGTATCGACGGCGGCGGCGGAGAAATGGTGTGGTTAGGGATTAGGTGGCGGTGATAGCATCGAGGGCAGCGGAAAGAGGAAGGCGGAGAGGCGGATGCGGTGGCGGTGCGGGTTATGTGGAAGGAGTGGTTGCAGTTGTAGCATCTGTATGATCGGCGGTGTGAGGGGGCGGCGACCGCAACGGCGGCGGAGGAGGAGGAGGAGGATGCGGTGGCGTCGACTGACGGAATTGAACGGAGGGTGGGGGGCTCCGTCGTTAGTGACGTCATTGCTTCGTTCCCCCGCGGTGACTTCTAAACCCGCGTGTCTAGTAATTTTCTTCAACTTATAACTCGTATATATACTAGCCACATAGCATAAATTTTGCTTTTTTTTTTTTTTTTTTTTTCTTTTGCTTTTTTTTTTTCTTTTTTCTTTTTCTTTTTTTTTTTTATTTTATTTTTTCCTTTGAAATTTAGTGGATAAGTCAATTCGTACTCTGTTAGGTATCCGTCTAGCTTCGTTTCAGATTTGATAATAATACTTATTTTGCCAAAACGGTATAGCTGGGTATTTTTTCGTTCCATCTCGAATTTAGTTGGTACATGTATCACAGTTTATGCATGAAACGGGCCTGACAGATAGGAGACGGTGGAGTTTTTAACACGTGTAAAAGACAGATAGGATTTGATAAAATTTCTAAATATGGTCGTTAGACGCGCTCCGTTAGGGATCCGTCTTGCTTCGTTTCAGATTTGAAAATAATACTTAGTTTGCCAAAATGGTATATTCGGGTATTTTTCCGTTCCATCTCGAATTTAGCTGGTACATGTATCATAGTTTATGCATGAAACGAGTTAGACAGATAAGAGCATATATAGTTTTTAACACGTGTACTAGACAGATAGGATTTTATAAATTTCTAAATATGGCCGTTAGGGGTGACGATTTAACGCGCGCTCCGTTAGGTATCCGTTTTGTTTCGTTTCAAATTTCATAATATTACTTATTTTGCCAAAACGATATAGTTGGGTATTTTTCCTGTTCCATCTCGAATTTAGCCGTACATGTATCACAATTTATATGTGAGACGGACGAGACAGATAGGAGCCTATACAGTTTTTAACACGTGTACAAGACATACATGATTTGATAAATTTCTAAATATGGTCGTTAGGGGTGACAATTTAACGCGCTCTTCATTAGGTATCTGTCTTGCTTCGTTTCAAATTTGATAACAATACTTATTTTGCCAAAATGGTGTATGTGGGTATTTTTCCCACTCTATCTCGAATTTAGTTGTACATGCATCACAATTTATATGTGAAACGGGCGAGACACCTAGGAGACTATATAGTTTTTACACGTGTATAAGACAGATAGGATTTGATAAATTTCTAAATATGGCCGGCCGTTAAGGGTGACAATTTAACGCGCTCAGTTAGGTATCCGTCTTTCTTCGTTTCAAATTTGATAATAATATTTATTATGCCAAAAGTGTTTACGTGGGTATTTTTCCTATTTCATCTCGAATATAGATGTGCATCGATCACAATTTATACGTGAAACGAGAGAAATATATTAGGAGTCTATAGATTTGCTAACACATATACAAGACAAATTGCATTTTATAGTTTCTAAATATGCTCGTTATAGGTGTAAATTTAACGTGCTCTGTTAGATATTAGTCTTGCTTCATTTCAAATTTGATAATCATCATCATTTTGCCAACACGGTATACTTGGTAAGTTTCTCTCATAATTTTTGCGTGAAAATGGGTCACAACAAATAAGATTCAATAAAAGCATTTAGCACGTGTACGAGACAGGATATGATCCGATAAAATTTTAGATAGTCTCAAGGCCGTAGCGTTGTATGAGTTTTTAATGGAGTAAACTACAACCGCCCCTAAGATAAGATGTGAATACGAAAAAAACCCAACTTTTTTTTTTTAACTACAACCCCTTGATTATTTTTTTAATTACTTTCTTTTTTTTTTGCAAATACACGAAATATGTAGGATTTTGTAAATTTATAGGTGTACCGTACCGTGTATGAGTGTATAAGAGTGACTAGATTATAAGAGTGATTTTCTTTCCTAATTCATCCATATCTAAATTTAAATTACAAAAGTTACAAAATAATTGAATTAGTATTATTTATTCAATATTCTTGAAAAAATACTTTGAAATTTCAAACAAAAATTTATATTCCAATTAAAATATTTATTCAATATTTTTAAAAATACTTTAAACTCAAACGACTAATTTAGAAGAGTGAGATTTTTTTTTTCTTAATTCGTCCCTTCATAATTAAAATCAATTTCAAATTAAATTATTTATTTATTTAATATTCTTTAAAAGTATTTATAAGAAGAAGACCGTTATTTTACAAATCTTTCTTCTCAGTTTCTCTCTCCGTCTCTCCCTCTCATTTTTCACACACAGTTCCGGCGGCGCTCGATTACGGCGGCGTCGCTTCAATTCCCAGGTGAACTGGTACAAGAGTTCTTCTTTATTTCTCAATTGATTTCCCCCCTTTTCTTCTGCCTTTTTTCATTTCTCTTTTTTTTTTTTTTTTTTTTTTTGTTCCGTCGCAACATGGGTTATGCCTTAAACCCTAATCTCCTTGAAGTTTATGCGAGTCTTGTACATTCCCTTAATTTCGCAAGATTCCTGATAATGCGGGTCAGAATTTTTAAATTTAATGTTTTTCCTTCGTTGCTAAACAACGAGAATTGCCCTTTCGGTTGGGACTTCATATGAAAGTTTAAGTAATTGAAAATTCTATTTTGCTTCATGTTTCCTTGATGATCTAAAATTTATTTGTTTTTTTTTTTTTACTTAATTTAGTTAGTAATGGTTCTGGAGATATGCAATTTAATGAAATAGAAGAAGAAAATTCAATTCGTAAAATTAGATCAAATGCTGTCATAAGTTTCCAAATGGAAAAATACTTTCGTTTTTCTGTTAAATAATAATAATAAAAAAATGCGTGCATTTGTTATGACTTCTTATGTTGTTGTTTTTTTCCAGAAATAATTGTATTTTGTTACCAAGCAGTCCCTCCTGAACAAGGCATGCCTGCTATGAAGAAGGTTCGTATAGATGATATGATAGCTCTACCGTTTAATTAGTGATTTTATTTTCACGAATTTCTTACACTCTGTCCCGGTTTGTTGAGTGCTGAATGCATTAGTATGCCTTCGCGTGTAAACTTATCTTATTTTTTATTTCATAACCAGAGTGCTGAATGCATTGGGATTGGGCAAGTATTCAATAAACTGGTGACGGAGATCGGAAGTCCAGTTGATTTTGAACTTCCCCAATCATTAAATAAATGGAAACCTACTTCTTATTCATTTATCAGGCGCAGTATCCTTAATAGTTAGTTACTAAATTAACTTCATATGCCTAACATTAATCTGGTATTTTTTTATGTTTTTAATCCTGTCAGCAATCTTCTCCCTCCCAATTTCTACTGTTTATTAAAATATTTTTTTGTTTGTTTAATCTTAACTACTTCAAGATGTGTATCTAGCTAAGAAGACGAAAAGGCGTTTGGGGGATGATGGAATCTTTTGTTCCTGCAGCTCGTCACCTGGATCTTCTGGTGTTTGTGGTAGAGATTGCCTTTGCGAGTACGGATCACTGTGATTGAGTTTTTATGACAAATTTGGACTTTAAATTGAGCCTGACAATTTGATGATAACAGATTACCTCTTCTTATCATTGTACGTTTACATATTCGACAATGTTTGGATTTATGAGCGATCCGACGTTTCTTTTCCAACGTACTATGCGTGCATTTGGCTGTCAATCTGGGACCATCTCATTGATTTTCCTAACGTGCTTGAAATAAATAAAAAATACTTTGCTTCTTCTTACCACTGTTTCACTTCTATTTAATTCACTAGAGAGTGCATGAAAACTTGTTTAGTTGTGAAGAAGGTTTTGAATTCTTTCGAATATGGGCAGATCCAAGATCTACGTTTTCCTCTACACTTGATATTTTTATAGTTTGAAACTTGGTACCCTTCCCTATTGGTCTATCTGCTTATAGTAGATATTTTTGGTATGCAATGATTATACATGCTACACATTTTAGAGTGAACAAGTTCTTAACGTGGATCAAATAGTATATTTTCTTGATTGATATCTTTGTTTCCTGTTACAAGTGTGTTGATGTCTAGCTGCTCTTCGGCCTGTAAATGTGGGAGCTCATGTCTGAATAAGCCATTTCATCGGAGGCCTGTGAAGCAGATCAAAACCGTGCAGGTGACAATTCTCTTTGTTTATTAAATGGTATTAGCAATTACTGAAACTGCAGATTGTACTTTGTAGGGTGGTTGGTTGTTTTCTTGCATTATTTTCCCAGTGGCACTGTTTAACTGAAAACTGTGGTGCTAACGAAACGGTATCCGAGTGTCTGGAGCAATTGATCCGCTAATGTCTTAGACTTCTTTTAGAATTCTATTTGCATTGTTGTGAGATTCTTGATACCTGTTGGAGTAACAACTCGTTGATGATCAGTTTTAGATTTTGTATTGCAGTTATGTTTCGTTGGAACTTGGAATTTTACTTTGAAGTGTCATTTCTACAGTGGAATTTTAGAACTTGATTGTGTACATCCTCTGCAAATAGCTTTATTCCGTACATCCTTGCACATCTATTTTAGGTTGATTGTGTACTTGTTGACTTAAACAAAACCATGACTAATCAATTCTACTGCTGCCCTTTTTCATGATTCAAAATGCAAATGTATTTAATGTGATTTTCGTCGCATTATAGCCTGGCTTAATGATTTGTTGTATAGATACACTAAACTGTTGAGTAAGATGAAGTGCCTTTTTTCAGACTGAGAAATGCGGAATGGGTATAGTGGCAGAAGAAGACATCAGGAAAGGAGAATTTGTGATAGAATATGTCGGAGAAGGTAAATATTTTTTAAACGAAGATGTGCATTTTACAGGAGCCAGTTCTCAGCTGAGTGCGATACTTTATTTTCACTCTTGCAGTTATTGATGATATAACATGCGAGGAAAGACTCTGGAAAATGAAACACAAGGGAGAAACAAATTTTTACCTCTGTGAAATCAATCGAGACATGGTTATCGATGCCACTTATAAGGGAAACAAGTCTAGATACATTAATCACAGTTGCTGTCCCAATACCGAGATGCAGAAATGGTTAGGCTGAATGATGATCTTTAGTTTCTTGAAGTGAAAAACACATTTTATTTTAATAACTTCTCTAGCAACTCTTGATTTTCAGGATGATTGGTGGTGAAACAAGAATCGGAATATTTGCCACCTGTGATATTAAGAAGGGCGAGCATCTGACCTATGATTATAAGTACGAGCTTTCACAGTTTATTTTAACTTGTTCGCTTTCAAGAATTTACATCAGTATTTTGGTCTAACAAATCTGGCAGGTTTGTGCAATTTGGAGCAGATCAAGATTGCTACTGTGGTGCTGCAGGTTGCCGAAAGAAGTTAGGAGTTAAACCAAAAAATCATGCTTCGGATGCTGCACTGAAAGTAGTAACATGTCAAGTGGCTGCAAACTCTCCGAAAGCGAAAGCAGTTATATCAAATAAACCTGTAAGATTTACTTATTTTACATACAGAGAGGATGACGATTAAACTGAAACTAGATGCTTGGAATTTGTGTACCGTCGTATGTTAGGATCAAGAGTTAATAGTAATCGACTAGAAGAAGCCATCTAGGTTTTGACAAGATGGAATGCCAAGATGTTGATATTAAGTAATAGCAAATCTATCTGTATCTACACAAAAAACTAAAAAAAATCGAAATCTGAAAAGAAATGAAGATAAAACACCCTTTCTAGTGTGCCGTCGCATCTCTCCACAATTTGCATCCACTAGATGAAACTTTCATGTTTCAATCACTTTTACAAAATGTAACAGAAACGGAACACCATCTATAAGTAAATTTGGGGCCAAATCAAAATAAGGACATAGTTACATGAATATAGATACGTTCAAGTGGGAATATATATATTTTTCTTTAAATCATTGTGTATCACACACACACACACACACACACATACACACATATCTATATATTTGGTTAAACGGGGGACTAAGCGGCTGCATTATTTTTTTGAAGGTATATATGAATGGAGTTCCTGGTGTAGGTGCGCTACTCCCACTTCTCAACAGCTTTTACTTTCCTTTTACTGGGAAGAATACACTTAGTTTCTATTTGGCATTCGTTGTGTAATTTGTGTTGCGATTAATTTATTTCCAGGAGGTTTAAGGAACAATTCTTCTCAAAGAAAAAAGAAGCGCCGGAATTGCATCGGTTCAGTAATAAGAATTTTTCACATTCCAGATAATAGGTATGTGAGATTATATCATTCTTTTTCTTTTCTTTTTTCCGAAAACTTTCCTCTCTCAGTTTGATATTATTCGGTTCTTCATATTTATCAGGTCCTTTGGGATAATAAGACACTTTGACAACACCAGGAGAAAACATTTGGTGAGGCACAATGTCACATTTTTTTATATATATATTATTTCCAACTGAAGGATAGTTCATAAAAAAATCATTTTTTCTAAGTTCAGATTATGTTTGAAGACGGAGATTCCGACTTTCTAGACTTGTCGAAAGAAGAATGGGAATTTTGTCATTGTTAAATACATTGTCAGGTAACCAACATACGCTTTGCTCATATAGATTTTACGACATGTGTTCGATTTTGTGCAATGGAAATTTACGACATGTTTGAACCTGGGATTTTGTACGTTTGGTTCTGCAGGTGTGAGGAAGATGTGCTATATAATGTTTACAGTGAATGGAGGAGGATTAATATTACCTATAGATTTCTTATTTTTTGCCAATAATTTTTTGGGCAATACATATGTGATATATTGTAATTCTTTATTTCGTTTTATTTTGTGTTCAATTTGTAATAGCAATCTACAAGTGTAATCTATATAATAAATAAAATGGTTAAATACAGTTTACACCCATAAAATATATGGTGGTAACATTTAATCTTTAAAGTTACAAATGTAAAATTTACCTCTCCATTAATGTATTTGGTGGAAAGACTTTGAGTTTAAATGATGCGGCATTTTTCTTTCTCAATATATATATATTTAAAAAAATAAAAAATAAAAAGAATATATTTAAAAAATTAATATTTAAAAAAAAAAAAAAAACATTATCTTATAAGCTTAGTCGAACACCTTTTGGCTTATCAGATCAAACTTAAACGCAAATTTAAAAGCACAATCTCTTTTGGATAGTGATATACGCAGGTCAAATTAAACATTCAGGCACTTTTTTACCATGGTTTTTTACCTTTTTACCATTACTATTTACCTTTTGTACTATTCCTACCAAATCCTATAAAATATAAAACTCAACATTCAAAGTGAAAAATGTCAGATATTCAACAATTTTTGCGATGGATCCAAACAACTTAGACCCGAATGTAAGTTTTTCGTTTTTTTCCCGAAAATTCATCTACTCGTGTGAATTTACGTGAGCACTTGCCAAGTGCTCGTGTAAATTCACACGAGTAGATAAATTTTTTTTTTTTTTAATTAGCTCGTGTGAATTGACGCGAGCACTTGGCAGGTGTGCTCGTGTGAAATCACACGAGCAGAACGTCTCTGTTCGTGTGAAATCACACGAGCACCACAATTTTTTTTTTTTTTTTTTTTTTTTTTTTTTTTTTTTTTTTATTCTTTAGTTTTATAATTTGCTAATTACATTAATATAAAAACAGGAAGTATACATAGATGTGGATGAAGATATTGAAACATTCGAGCTACATGATTTCAGTGAATTTTTCACAATTTCGACTGCATTTGATAGTAAAGATGCACTAGTCGAGTAGGCGATGAATATGGCCATCAGTCATGGACATGAGATTAGGCGACAGTCTTACCACGAGGGCCGACAATATTTGACTTGCAAAAGAGCCTATAAGAGTCGAGGAAAAAATGCAGAGGTCAAAACAAGCCGGAAGTCCGGTTCAATAAAGTGTAAATGCCCTTTTGCGCTATGGGGTAAAGAGGGTCGTGATGGATTATGGCGCCTTACCATAAAAAATGGCAAGCACAATCATAATCCTCATAAATATCCACAAGGACTACGTTCGCTAAGTCGCCTGACTAAAGAGCAACGAGAAGTGACAAAGATACTGAAAAAGAGCCATGTGAAGCCGAAGGAAATTTTGCATCATCTGAGGCAGATGAATCCGGATACGGCTGCGTCCTTGAGAGAAGTGTACAATGAATCACAGAAAATTAGACGAGAGTAAATGAAAGGAAAAACAGTTATACAACATCTGTGGCACGAACTAAGTGAGAGTGGATACAGCAAATGGCATCGAACAAATCCAGCTGGTGATACAGTGCAAGACGTTATGTTTGCGCACCCTGATTCAATAAAGCTTTTGCAGTTATTTCCAATACGTCATCCAGATGGATGCAACGTACAAGACAAACAGGTAATAAATATATAAATATGTATAACAATATATATATATATATATATATATATATATATATATATATATATATATATATATATATGCTCGCATGTTTTTGCACGAGTACACCTTCTAATTAAACTAATTAATTTATTAAAAAAAAATATATATATAAAAAAAAAAAAAAAAAAAATTTTAACAATCGTGTGAATTTACACGAGCGCATCCAATGCGCTCGTGTAAATTCACACGAGTAAAAATCCAACTCCCATTTTTTACGAAATAAATTAAAAAAAAAAAAAAATTATTTAAATTCACACTCGTGTGAATTTACACGAGCGAAGTGGTTGCGCTCGTGTAAATTCACACGAGTGTTGCTAAGCTCGATTTTTTTTCGTTTTTTTTTTCGGATTCGTAATCTACATAACAAGAGGATCGTAAAAACGTAAAAATTACCTCCGATCTGTTGACGATTTGCACGGGCTTTGCAAAAGAAAATCGAGAGGGTTGAGAGAGTTTTTTGAGTTTTTTACCTTTTGGTTTTTGAGAAATGGTAAAAAATGTGCCTGAATGTTTAATTTATGCCTGCACAAATCATTTCAGATCTCTTTTCGAACAAATAAATAGCTCCAATCTCTTTTGTCTCTCTCTTGAATTTTTATTTCAATACATTATTCTATTCCGATTCGGTACGGTAGTGAATTTTAACCTCCTCCCCCATTATTAAACCCTAACTCGTTTTCCCGCCAATTGAACCCCAATTTTGCGCTGGTTTGGCGCTATCGATTCCCACTCGGGCCATCCACTCCTGCTTTTCCTTTCGGAGTAGGAGCTCTGTAGCTGAAGAAATGGCGCCACTGAGTTGGAGGCACCAGACTCTGATACAGGTCCTGCTTTCGCGGGGCCCACTCAAGGAAAATGACTTCTCTTCCATCTTCTCACAAGTCATCGGGAGAACTTCAGGTTAATTACACGTTTCTCTAATTCCAATTTTTTTTTTTTTTTTTTTTTTTTTTTTGTTCAACATACGATTGTTGAAGCACAATATATGCATATGTATGTATATGTATGTATCAATGTATGTATCTATCTGAAGAGTTTATGTTGCTTTTTTTAGGGTATGAGAAATTCGTTAGTTCTAGTACAATTGATTGTGTGTGTACTGTGTACAAGTGATTTGATTTACTTGATATGTGTAAATTGAAATAGGATAATATATTATACCGGGCTGTTGATTTACTTGATATGTGTTATTTATTATATGTGTTGTTTTCTGCAGGGCCACAGCAGCAGTTGCTTAATGAATATCTGCGCAAGATAAATACGGAGTTAAGTTATGTTCAGTTGGAGTTGCGAGCATGCCGAAACCAATATGATGGCAATGTGTATTATGGTGTCGTCAACAATGTCTCGGATGAACAGTCCAAACTCGGAACTAAATACACAGTTCCTCAGATTGCTTTCTACAAGGGCATTGTGAGCTTCTTTATTTTCCTTTCCCCATATTATATATGTATAACTTCTTTAGGATTTTCGTAAGGATTGTCCAATAAGATGTCGAACTGGAAGCTTGCTTGATGTTTAAGGAGTTAACAGAGTTAAAGATACGTAAAAGAATATATAAAATAATAGAAACAAAAGAACGAAAGAAGTTTGTGCACATTATTCTTACTTCAAGATTGCATTGTTGAGAGGCCTTTTGATGTGTTGGCTGAAGAATTAAGTCACTGTGCTGGCATCGACGAAGCTGTTTTTGTCTTTAGTTCATCTCCTTGTATATTTTTTTATTTTTTCTATAGGAGTAGTTCAAATATCGTATGTGGTAACAGCATTTCGGGCTACCATAGTAGAACATGGACAAATCCTTTTTTCTTTGAGGGAATAGCTATACCTTTAGTCTTTTCCTTTGTTGTACATTTGGTGTCAAATCAGACTATTCATAAATTTCATTTCCCTTGACATATTTGCTGAATCAACGAAACAATTTCTTCCAGCTCCTGGACATTTGGCTGATTCGTATTATGGGATCAAAAAAATAAGCATTTGGTGATTAAAAGCTAAAATCCAGATTATTTTGCTCCGTTTTTTATTACTACTAAAGTATCGTCTCAATATGGGAATTTCTTTTAGCATAAATACACACACATCACACACACACACACACACACACACACACACACACACACACACACACACACACACACATATATATATATATATATATATATATATATATATATATATATATATATATTCATGCATGTGATTTACTCTTGTCTATATATTTTGTCTATTCCGATGTTAGTTTTTTTACAATGTTTAGTGAGATTGTAATGTTTTTCTTCTTTACTTGATGTTTATTTGTTTTGGAAATTTATATTAGGTTGAAGCTATTATACAAGATGCGGAAGCTAGAGGCTGCATTTTGAATACTGATGCTCTAAACATACGGTTGGACACACAGGTTTCTGGATACCTTTTTTACAGTTTTTTGTTGTGAATGATATTTTCTTAAGGAGTAAAATCCTGTCACTCAATCGATATCAATACTTGAAGAACTTGGATTTATTGGTCGGACTGATTCTTAAGTGTAAACTGTTTGGATATTATATTCTTGAACGACCATGCTTTTGTAGGGGGGATTAGTGATAGTACAACTTTGATTCCTATACTTCAATTGGACTTTCTGTACGTGTTGCTTGTCCTTTCAACTTATCATGATGTTGTAATTCTTATTCTTGTTCAGCTATGTTTTTCGGCTATGTTTCCAACCATATTTAATTTATGTGCAAAATAATACTGTCAGTCCTATAAGTTAGCTGCAGGCGTGGTGCGAATATAATCCAATTGTTTTATGTGAACATGCTACCATATCTGAGATATAGTCTGGCATTCATTCAGTTCTAGAATAAATTCATGGAAACTTCGATGACTGGAGGGCATGTGCATGTCACTTTCTTGGTAAATTGTACCGTTGAAGGAAAATGATTGTTATTCCACTTTCCTCTTCTTGATTTTTTTTGATAAAACAGGTTCCACAAAAATGTACGCCTGAATTTAAAATCCCAATTCTGCAATTGTCTAATTTGGTGCCTAAATTGCTTGGGATGGCCTTATCGATAGTTGATAGGATTCTTTCTTGGAGAGAATTCACGAGTAATTTAACTGATACTTGGTTCTTACAGTTGCACCATATGTTGGACTTTTTGTAAATTGCAGGTTCATGGGGTGACTGATTCAGAGTCGCAGGCAGTCCAGATTCCTCCTGCATTTAAGAATTTTTCCATGTCGCAAAAGGAAAAAACTCTTGAACAATTGGTAAAAGACAATTGGCTTTGTTCAATGCCAGATGGAAAAATTGGTATTGGAGTAAGATCCTTTCTAGATCTCCGAAGTTGGTTTCGTGCCAACGAAGTGCCTGCATGCGAAGTTTGTAATGAGGCTGCAGTTAAGGTTTGTCTTTTAGGCTGAAATCTGATTTTATTTTCAGACTTCCTAGTTCCTACAAATTTAGTGCGCAGTTATTTATGCTTACTAAGCTTTGCAATGTTATGGCAACCTTCTCTTCCGATTCTTAACTTAAACATTGTATGGGAACAATACGACTCTGTATAGCCTAGTTTCGTCAATCTGTGTTCCTGAATTATTTACTCCTAAGATAAATTATCAGTAGTCAATTTATGGATTTGTGAATTTCAGAGTATCAATTTGTGGTTTATGTTCCAATTTTTTGAAAATCTTTGTTGTGGATTAATCAGCGAGTGCCGAAGTCGCGCATTACGAAATGGTGTATTACATCATAACTTTCAAATATAAATAGTGTTTCTGTTAATTTATCCCCAAAATTTGTGTGTGGTTCTCATGGAATCACGGCCTATCGGGTCCATTTATTCTACCGAAATGGTAAACTCATGTTTGTGTTTTCTGTATAATATCATGTGGGCAGGCTCAACTTTGCCAAAACGAAGCTTGTAATGTTCGACTCCATCCGTATTGTCTGAAAAAGAAATTCTCTCAACAAAGGGTACGAAGTTGTTTCACTTATCCATACCCTCACTATTCTCTCTATTCTACTATGATTGTCTGAAATTAATACACCAGAGTCGACGAATTCGCAGGTCGAAAGAGTTTGTCCAGGTTGTGGAACACAGTGGCATGGCATCAAAGCAGAAGCTGTAGAAGAACCGGATGAGAATATTCCTCCCTCTCAACCTTCGATGAAAAAGAGGCGTAGGCCCCACCGAGAAGATAATGCCGACAGTGAAGAATATTCTTCTCAAGCTTCTTTATCCAATGTAAAGAGGGTGACTCGTAGTTCTGCTCGCCGCGGTGCCAGCTAAGGCAACTCTGCCTGCTTACGTGGCAATTCCTCCCTCGGATAATAAACCTTGTGTAATGTGTTTTCTGATTACTGTGGCTTTTTTCAGATGCTGCAAAATGGAGTTTTTGGAAATTTATTTTTTTTTAAATTTTTCGATGTAAATTTTGGTATTGTATTACAGAAGGTGATAGTTCCGGTATTTTTGTAATATTAGATATATATTGCTGCCACTTTCTAGTGTTGGAATAGTATGTATATATTTTTTGGAATTTAGGCATCCCATTTTGAATGGATTTTATTGCAATTATTATTACACTGGATTGATTAAGGTTGGCATGGCTACTCATTGGTCAACCGCAAGAATAATTATCTCATATTTCATGGATTTCTTACACTTTTGAGTTCATCATTTGTAATTCATATGGAACAGGCTTCAAAAACCCTACCTTACAAATAGTAACTGTTCTCTTAATGGTAATTGAGTATTTTTTTCCTTTTTTTTGGGAAAAGAAAGAAAGAAAGAATGAACGAATCTAAGTTACTGTAAATTTCGTTTTATAGTTAAATCTCTATTTACTAATATAGTCATAACTAGCAAAATTCTACTAATTTAGTGAAATATTAAATTATTTAACTAATAATTTAGTACATTATAGAAAATTGAACCAGATCATGTCTTTCCTCAATGTTGACAAAATAAGAATGGGTAATTTGCAAATTAAAAAAAATTCTTGGATGCTTAGACTTGAAACAGGTATGGACATAATTGAAGAGATGAATAGTACTAGTGAATAGTGATGATAGAGGATAGGTGCATTGAACCATGTGAAGAGGCAACTGTTTTTTTTTTTTTAATCAAGATTCTTGGCCCCCATGCACCATCATTTAATGCCCCCCACCTGGTCTCTCTCTTAATTATTAATTTTAACCTGTGCAGCTTTATCACCACTGTTTAAGGTAAAAATTGAGAAATACAACAGTCAATTTCACTTAATGTATATCCTGACTAGAGGCACAACCTGAATCCAAACAGTAAGATTCTGCTACTACACACCAGCACCACAACAGAAGGCAGCCAAATGAAACTTATTATAATATTTTCAACTTTTTTTTCTTTCTCAAGTATATATAATCTCTCTTAATTTCTCGTGGAAATTATTAAAAATGATATTAAGTTGCCTCTTCTATTTCAGTCATTTCATTTCAACAGCCTCATCACTCCAAATTAAATTACAGATACTGGACACTTGAAGGTAAAATCAAAAAATAAAAATCACAAAACTTCGAGATCGAGATCGAGATCGAGATCGAGAGAGAGTTGACAATATAGATAAAGTGTTACTGCAGCTGAGTAGCAAAATATACAAGGATAAGGGGATTGATCTATTAGAGCAGCTAGTGATACATTGCTCCAAGAGTTCTATTTCTACTATGGTTAGTCAGCAAACTCTACATCTCTACTTTTCTAAACATAAAATTAAAATGCATTCTTCTTCCCAAAGGGCTCTGGCTCTGTTCCACTATACATACACTGACACACACACTCATTACATGGGAATATGCATTTCTACGATATTTCGTATCGTCCTCAAGGCCTCACCGACACCCACTCGTAACGCCCCGCCAGAGGTAACTCTTTCCCAAAGTCAAAATTGTACCTAAAAACATATATTGTGTGAGAAGAATTGGATTATAGACACATATGGATTAAAAAAAAATCGGACGTACTTCTCGATAAAATGGCGCTGCAAAGGCTGCTCCTCGCGGGCAAAAAACTCCTCCAATTCACGAGCACAAGGAACATTAAGGAGAAGGGCATTTTGAACTTTTTGAGTAGAGTGTGTCGAACGTGCCTGCTTTGTAGTAGAACCAGGGGTAATTCTGGTATCGGTAGTCTCAATTAAACTGCACGGAGTGCTTTCCCTCGTTCCCCTGTTGAAAATTACACAACTGATCAGTACATTATTTAATCTCTTCATAAAATTTTTTTTTTTGATAATGATCAATCATAGATAATCGAAAAACGGGACAAGATAAAATTGCAGATAATGTCTAATTAACCATTGCCACAGTGTACATTTTTCACAAGAGCTATACTGTATATTGCAATTTATCCAGCTAAAATAATATCTTCTTGTTAAAAATCAGCAGTAAAACTGATTATAATTAGGAAAAGGAAAAGAAAGAAATGGAACTACAATTATTGAAGGTGCTAACTTTGTCTGTGCAACTTTTGTGGACACTATAAGTCAAGTCAAGTCAAGTGGTGGGGGCTGACAAAGGCAGGCAAATGCCAAAAAAATGTTTATTATCATTAAAAAGAAAAAAACTATATTCAGTATTCAGTCACAAGTCACAAATCACAACCCTTGTGCTAATCTTTCTGTGAAAGCAATTTCCATATCTGACATTGAATAATGATTTGATGCATAAACAGTGACTAACCCCACTAGCATTTATGGCACTGAAAAGAATGGGAAAGGGCTATTCCAATAAATATACATACATATATATGTATATATATGTGTGTGTGTGTACGCATGTGTTTAAAATATGTATTGAATGAATAAACTCATATGGTAGGGTGAACTGCACAAAATAAACCTAAATATAGATAATTGCTTCAAGAAGAAACTGCAGTAGTAACCAACTCAAAGAATACTTCTCTGACTGAAACTAATTGAAATATACATCCAACTGTAATCGTACACTAGAATAAGAAACACAGATCTTAAACTCAGACAAAATAAAATATAAAAAAAAAAAAAGATAAGTCATTTGTTGTAAAATTCGATTTTGAGAAATAAAAAAGTTCCTTAAAAAGCACTTTCATATAAAGAAAGCAAGCCCAAAGGGCCAAAACTCCTTTTTTCCTCCCCAACTAAAATGTAAAAAGAAAATGAAAATTGAAAAGGGCAAACTTTTCTGCCAAATAAACACAAAGAGAAAGTAGACTTGAGGAGGTTAGGTCAAATCTTATCACACCCTATTTTTCTGCAGATTCTTAAAAATGGCAGAATTTTTTTTTTTATTTATTTTTTAAAAAAAAAAGAAGGAAAAATTGGCTTCATGGGTAGAATTTATTTTGGACAAAATAAGAATTAGGAGAGGAAATATGTAAAATTAAACAGAAGTTCAAAGGTAATTGAAATGCAGAAGTGCTTAAGCCCATCAATTATGAGGGGACGAGATAAAATAACAGAGGGTTAAACATAATTATGGCTGCCTGAGAGCGTACCTTGCCCTAGCTTCAAAATCCAAGTTATTTTCCCCAAAAGAAGTTTCAATTGACAAATCCTCCTCTTCAATTTCACCTCTGCAGCCACAACTGTGTGGGGAAGTTGGGGAATTTTCCTGCTGCATGGATTTCTCGAGGCGCCGCGAGCGTAGCTCTAGGTAACAGGCGTCTGGTTTTGACGGAGGCGGCGAAGGGGCGGCGGCGGTGGTGGACTGTAGGCGCTGAAGAGCTAGGGTTTTGGCGCGGGTGCGGACGCCGAGGTAGGATTGTGAGACGTCCATGAGAGCGACGCCGACAGTGACCTTGGCTTTCCTGGTATACTTCCCCATCTAGTGCGTGAAAATGTGTGTGTGAGAGAGTCTCTGAATTTTTATCACTGCTCCAATCAAATTTTCATGGAGAGAAGAGAGAGAGAGAGACGCGGCGGTAAAAACTAAACAAGGGCTTTAAATTGTGTTTTTTTTTGGCCTTTTCTTTTTGGGAAAACTCTATTTTTGCCCCCTCAACTAAATGGATGTTTCTATTTGCACCCTCAACTAAATGAATGTTGGAAATTTGCCTCTTTGAACTACATTTTTAAGGGATTATTCCTTCAAAATTATTTTCTATAGCTTGAAATATTCATAAATATACTTAGAGTACGTCGGTCACTAAACTGAAAATAGACAGCTTAAGCAAATAGCTTAGAATAAGAATTGTATATGAAGTGTATTGTGTTAAATCATTGGCCTAAACTCACCATCTAATCTGTTATATTATCGTCTAAACTGTTCGAAAGAACTTTAAGTAAAATGAGAAAGTAAAAGTATACTAATATGAAAAGGAATTAGACTTGAAGGGTATTTAGTAAATTACTAATATTTTTTAAACAAGGTAATTTTAACATGTAAAGAGAAGTCATTTTTACCAATCGATGCTATTTGAAAGCAAAATCGATTTTCAAGCCTAAAAGTGGCTAAGAAGATCGCCACGATCGTGGTGCACACTCACTGACCGAATATGGGGAGCATTTCATAAGATATGTGATCAAAACCAATACCCAGATCATGACCACCCAGCCCTGATCACGATCTGACAAGATGGTTACCAGTTTTCCGAGATTACCAGTTTCTCAACAGAAAACTAGATTGCGATCCAAGACACCCATACCGCATTGCGATCATATATAGAAGGGCTTATACATTTGAAAGTTCTTCTTCGATCATATATAGAAGGGCTTATATAGAAGGGCTTATACATTTGGAAGTTTCGACAGGGATCTCGAATAAGGTTTTTCAGAGGGTTTTTATTCACGAATAATTTATGATTTATCGTCTTCTTCCTTTTGACACTATGTTTGTATCAAACTGAATACATTTTCTCCTAGGGAAATGATAGTGATTTGGATTTTGAGATCTGTTATCTATTTGCATTGTTTCGATTTCGTTTATGTTTTCCTGTATTAAATGCTTCTGACTGATCACTGCCTATCAGATTGATGTTAAATAGGAATGAACTCGAGTTAGAAAAATATAGCTTAGGTTGTGGAAACGAGACGTTTAGGTATCCCTTAATGATTTGACCTAAATGTTCTCTTTACAGCAAGTTCTGAACGAAGACTTCAGGTTCAGGGGTAAACTCTAACTACACTGGAGACGGAAATTAAAGTACTTTAGCTTCTGGGTTAGCAAATAGAAATATTGCTTTAGATATCAGGTTTGCGAATCGAATGGATTTTGCCCCAAAAAGGCTTTTACAAATCGAAGTCTTTCCGTTCGATTTATCATCGTTACATTTACGATTATTTACATTTGCATGTGTTACAATGTTTATCTGCTTTCAGTAATTAGTATTAATCACAGCTCCATCCAAATTCCAACGAGTTAGATAATATTAAAAAGTAATATAGTTACATTACTTATCATTAGAATTTATAGGTACATGTGGATCGATACTCGAAATTACAGTTCACTTCTGAAAATTCAATATTCTAATAAAATATTGTTCATCCGTCAAAACACAATAACTTATGCAATTCATACATGCATGCGAAAGACAAGTGAGAAGGATGAATGTCCCTTTAGATAAAAGCTTGTTTCAAAATTGGATGCTAATTAACAACCAAAAAATTTAAATATTAAATATTTTAAAAAACATGGCAGTAGATTTACGAAAAAAGTATCGAAAAATCCAACAAAAATGTATTTGATGGGGCCTTTAGCTTTATCCCACCCCCAATAATTAATAGTATGGAAATCTATAATATCTTGAACAGAATTTAGAGAATTTGGATTCAATCAATATTTAGAATAAAAAAATGACTATAACTATCAATAAAATTTGGTCTAAAGTTGTAACCACCGTACCGTACCCCTTGATATGTTCTATTTCATACAAGTTGTACCAGCTACGAAACTATTTGCAAAAACGAAAAACCGTTGGTTAGAATTTCAAAACTAATCTGATTTTTTGTACTGATATTAAGCATTGATAATATTTATTTATAAATATTCCAGTCCCTTTGAGAGGAAACTATCTACTCTATCTATATATCTATCTATATGTTCATCAAAAACTTTTGTTGATGTACTTGTCAAACTGTTGATAACCTGAAAAAAGTATCGAGACATAACAGATGGTGATGTTAAGTACTGATATAATATTGAAGATGACCCGTGAAACACAAGTTTGCAGATCTTTGTTGTACCTATTTCCACAACTTGACGGAGCTATCATGGCTAGCAGAGGCAATCATTCCTGTCCGAGTTGACTGAGCCAAAGCCGTAATTATGTTCTCGTGTGCTGGGACTGTCATGCTTCTGTTCTCCGCCATGTTCCACAACTCCAAAGACTGCATGCATGCATCATCAACGTTTATTTTTATTTTTTAAAATAAAAAAAAAATTGTTGGAGAGAGAGAGAGAGATGATTAGAGAGAGAGAGAGAGTGATGATTACCCGCAACCCCCCAACAACCAAGATAGCAGAATAACTTGGATGAAAAACACAAGAGTAGAATTTGTTCTCATCGGAGTTGAGTTCACGGATGCACTCTCCAGATTTTAACGACCAAACTTTAATGCAGTCTTCACTCACAGTAGCCAAGTGGTCTCCATTGACATCCCAGCAAATGTTATTGACCACGCCAGAATGCCCCTAAAAAGATCACCAAAACTTTTAGCATAACAAAGAAAGGCAGCAACAAAATACACAGAATTACAAGTTTATTCACTGCACGAAGCATCGGAATAATTAAACCGAGATGCGAATATAATGAACAAACCTGAAAAGAATGTATTGGCCTGTCGTTTTCAACATCAAATATGGAAACCAACTTGTCTGATGCAGCTGCCAAAAATTGTCCAGTTATAGGTTGAAACCTCACTTGACCACTGCCTCCTTGCTGTGCATGAAACACGAGAAGATTAACTTCAAATTAACACCTCCAGAAACACAGATGATGTTGGATAAGCAGATAAAAGACAAGAAAAATAAAAGAAATAACAGAGTTAGACGCCCAACCTTGGAAATCCGAGTGCGCGAAAATGGGCTCATACTCCAATAATTTATTTCGTTTTTACCATCAGAGAAACAGAAAAGGTCATTCTTCTTAGGATGGAAATCAAGGGACATGACATGGGAAGTATGACCTGTATAAGTATGCAGACAATAGCTTGGCTGCACAATAATTAAATAGAGTAAGTACTTGTAATTTCAGTAAATAAATGCAGAATTATCAGAATACAAACTCCTACGCTTGGTCTTTTATTTAGAATTGGTGAAGTGTATTGGGAACTTAGAATGGGAGTTAAAACTTAAAAGCAATGTGTTGTGCTTTTCAGGAGAAATATTAGTGTGTCGTCAAGATGCTTTTAGTTATATGTACGTGTGTGTGTGTGTTTATATAATAATATAAAATTAAAAAATGTAAAAATGATAGATCATAGGCTGCATTTAATATTGAGAAAAGGGTAAAAAATGTATTCAAAGATGACAAAAGCAAAAACAATTGTACGTGGGGGAAAATAATCTTTGCCTAAACAAAGACCAGACAATTGACCTAGGTTGAATTGCATAGATGTTAAAATATGAAGGCTAGATTGAATTGCATAGATATTAAAATATGAAGGCATAAAAATATAAAAATGAATATCAGATTGAGGGAATGATATCATTACATTAGTAGCATCCCATATTCTCACGGACTTGTCGAATGAAACTGTTGCCAGCTGAGTAGAATTTGGCCGGAAGCGAACATCCGTAATTAAGTATTGATGTTCTTCCATCGTATTCTGTGTTTGCAGAGTATCCATATTCCAAAGAACAGCCTAGTTCAAGAACCACGAAGAACAGGCGAAATCAGAAGGAAAATGTGGGCAGACACTAAATCTAGTAATGCATGTATAAGAAAGTATAAAATAGAAAATTAAGACACGTAACTGCATCCAAAAACAAACGTGCAAAACAACAATAGAAGACAATGACATCCACATTGAAACTTATGTTGAGAAGGCAATTTTCTAGGAACCAACTTATACCTTTTTGTCATGCCCGGCACTAGCCAACAACTTCCCATCTGATGAAAAATGGCAACAAGCCACTTTGTTTTTTGCTCGTATGCAACCAACTTCTCCAAATGAAAAACCTGCAAATAAGACATAAATCATGTGAAATTGTTGCACTGGAAGTTGGCATTAAGCGGGAGAAACATAATATGAGACCACCTTTAGAAGTCTCCATTTTATGCTCAGCATGAGTCTGTTTTAAAGAGCCATACATATTTCCGTCCTCGCCATCATTAGATAAATAGGATTCTACATTATCTTCAAGACCACCAACATCTCCAAAATTCCCCAAGTCATCCTGTACAAAGAAAGTACAAATACGAACAGATGGGACGCATTGCATGTTGCACCAATTAGAATTCAGATTTTTCGAAGATAAATCTCTGAATAGTAGCTTGAAAAAAAAATAGCATAATAGATGACCAGTAATATCTGAAAGGTCCCGTATTAGTATGTCTAGAAGGTGATACCACAAATTGAAAAACAATTGAAACAAATGATAAATCCAATCTTACTAGTTCGTGTGCAGATGATGCAACTCCACCAACTCCAGCTGCACTGTACATCATCATACTCTTGGGCACGTTATTGACATGTTTGATTCCAGCACCAGGTGTATGTGTTGACTGTGGTGAGCCCGGAGAACGGCCTGCGGTATTTCCAGTACCTGTACTGTTGGCAGGTCCAGATGAAGATTGTTGTCTCCTTTTCTTGTTGTTCTGTTTCAGGTTAAAGCAAACGTCCTCATTATTTTTGTGAAGAGACGTAATGAGAAAAGATTTGTGTATTTTATTATACAAACCAAGGAGATATTTACTAAGAAATACAATGAAAGGAAAATAGACACAATCAATATGATTGATTTGATAGCCATAATCTATGCCTATAAAATCCCTCCAATTAAGCAATTCATACAATTTTCAAGCAACTAGACAGGATAATCACAAGAATAAGAAAAAAAAATGTTATGATTGTTCTGACACGAGTAGTTACGGAATCAACTGATAGGTTACTTCACACAAATTGCCACATATGACATATGAATCTTTTTTCATTGTTCAGCCAACAAAATCGGATCAAGTTTCACAAGAATGAACTGACCTGTTGCAATTGCTGCGGCTGCTGCAACTGATCCTGTTGTTGAGAGGAAGACTGCTGCATTTGCGCCATTTTCATCATCTGCTCAGGATGACAAACTTTTAATTTGCAAGCATATAGAAAAGACGAATATGAAGAATTTATCATATCTTCAAAAAGATTAAACTCGACGAAGGGACAGTTACATTCTTGAAGGTGCACAAATACTTAAAAAGAAGAAGGCATAAATTTCACTACCTAGGGCAATGGGAGGCTCAATTTTTACCTCAAAATGAGAAACAAAAAACTTAAAAGAGGCATGAAATCCAGCAAAAAGAAGAGAAACAACAAAGGGAGAATTTCAAGCCACTATTTAAGATTACATAGCATTGCCAGGAACAAGTAACTAAATATAGTAGCAATAAACAGCGACAATAAATAATTTGGCCCTAAATTTATAGGAACTCGGTGATTTTGAACAATATCATTAATTCACAACATCAGCTATAAGCTGGAATGCAATACATTAGTTTGCATAAAAAGAATTAGTTCATAAAGAACACACACAAACATAATAATTATATATTACAACAATTGATAACATTGCATCAGATTTGAAAAGGAAAAAATGTTTCCTTTCAGGCGAAGGGTGTGGAGAGAAGTAATATATACGAACTAAAATGTTTGATCATCTTAAGGATAGATGTTAGCGTGTGTATTGGTAAAATCAACTAAGTATTTTCCAAAACATTATCTTCCAATAGAGCCAATTAAAAAAAAAATCAAATAACTGTTCCCATCTCTGAGTGTAAATGTCGGAGAATATAAATGTAGAATTACAACTAAGACTGAACAAAACTCAAGCAGTTCTATTGCACCAGAAAATAGTGTCCTACTAGCCCATAGGTGTACATGAAGCTAAACAAAAAGGACGATTGCATTGTTCAGTCCTTTTTCCATCTATAAGAAAGATACACTTTCCTCCAAGACAAAACATTCACCAAAATGCATAAAGATTATGTGGACAAATGTCGTTTACAAAATCAGGTCAGGGACAGTACTTACCTTCTGTGAATTTGATTGACCATCTTTTGCATTAAAGTTACCCCTTGGTGCTCCAAATCCGTAGTTGGGTGAATTTTCAAGGTTCCCTTGTACCTGAGCTTGTGCTAGAGCCTGCTGTGGTTGTGAAGCCATAAGAAATTGGTTTTGGGTCGGCAAGTTGGGCTTCTGTAAACCCGAACTCGTCCGTAATTGGTCGATCCCCTGTATGATCTTGAAGCATCAGCACTTGAGAGTTTTCTCGCTTAAGCCAGATAATTCCTCGAGAAATAAAAAAATTGATAGCTAAAGCAGAAGAAACTCACTGTCATAGGCCAACCCTTCAGTGGAAGTTCACCGACTCCTTGATTCAACCCTGAAACAAGAATCAAATTTATGACGATTCACATCATCAAGTCAAATAGCCAACAAACATCAGAGCCAGCCTAAGATTCAGATGGAGCAACAAAGAAATTGCAGATAACTTTTGGGAACATACTTCGATACCTAAATATGCTTTTGCAAATTACTGGTATAAGAAAATAAAAGGTACATCTTAACATTTGTGTAATTGAACTTGCAAGATAATTATTTGAATATCTTAGAAAATGGTAAAATTAATTATCCTTGCCTCCCTCCCTCCCTCCCTCCCTCGAAAGAAAGGACATGAAGCGCTTATGGAACACCAATTTTATTACCTGCACCACCAAGTCCAGATTTGGACTGAAGAATTGCCTGCCCATAAAGTGATGATGCGTCCAAAGACAAAGATTTCTGGGTCGCACCCTCTCCTGTAATGCCCTAGAAGAACCACAAATTAAATGGTTACAAGTGTTTCAAACAGAAGAGATGAATTTAGTAGTTACAGTAGCCAGTTGCTGCCTTACTTGCATTTGCTGCATGGCTGCAGATATGCCTCCAGGATTTCTTTGCATCAAGTGCCTGAATCATCCCCACCAAAAATAATATGACAAGAAAATGTAAAGATCTATAATAGTCCAATTTATAAACTTCAATTCAAATAAGTCGAATGAGACAAAAGTCAATGTTACTCTTGTTGACTTGAAGCAGACTTGAGAAGTGCCATCCTGTTAGCCTCCATAAAGCCCTGTGGTATCTCTGAATCCATTGAAAGAGGATGCTTCATGCTTTCTTCGTACATTTTCAGCATTCCTTCAGAGTTCATGGGACCGAGTGGAGGATGGTTCGGATCCCTTCTCTGTAACTGGCCACCGCGCTGCTGCATGTGTTGCAACTGCTGCATCTGATGCTGCATCTGAAGCTGCTGCTGTTGTTGTTGCTCCCTCGTCTTATATAGCTGAGTCTAAATATAGGTGGAAATTCCAAATGAAATGAAATTTCCGTATATACAATTGCGGCATGCGATAATAAGAAACCTGAAATAAGAGAACCAAAACCAAGTGCAGATTTTTGAAATACCTCTATATAAGCTGCAGCTGGTTCAGAATGCTTTGCATTTTCCCTTGAAATATAGATGTCCCAAAAAACAGACCACCATTCAAGAAGGAATCCTTCAGGAGTATCAATAGCTAAAAACACAATTAATTGTAAAAAAAATCAGATATCATCCCATGGTTCTGAAACCAGAAACAGAAAGCAACTCAGTTTTTCCAACCAACTTCCCGAGCATAAATAATACAATTTCATAACATCTAATAGATTCCTTACCCATCGGACCAGTAGCTGAGATTGAATTTTAAAGCATAATGCATGAAAAACTTACCTACAGGATCTGTAGCAACTTTTCCTTCAGTCACGAAAGCTTTGGCTGAATTATACAATTTTCTTTTCAAGAAATAGTCATGAATGTAGACATCAAGCCTGGAAGAAAAAGAAAAAAAACAGAAGTCTTAACCAGCAGTGATCCTCTGCTATTTAAATAAAATACACACAGTCCAACGGAATTTTTTTGTCAGTCTGCCAGAACAATGTGAAGCAAATAGTCATAGAGAAGAAGATCTTCTGACTGAAACAAATAAGCTGCTTCCACCTACCAACTCAATTATATTTCGACAATGTTGCCACCTACTAGAATTTAGTATTGTTTTCCTATTCTCATGAATTCAATCACATAACTTAGAGCACTTCCCAATTTTTTGCCAAGAGAGAAAAGATTCTCCTGGTTCCCATTCTTAATACTACCCCGAGTGTAAATTTAAAGAGACAACAATACAAACTAAATAGTCAAGAATCATTACATCTTATCCGCTTCCCAATTACTAGTCAGCGACATGATCGTTTCTTCAACAAGGGATTCCGCAAAATTCTTCTCCGTCAGACACTTGTCTCACGCTGAAACCAAGACAAACGAGCAAAAATAAGCACAGAAACGAGAAATCATAAACTCACTCACCAAAAATAACAGAAATCACACTCTACGTTGAAAAATTCCCACCCGAAAACCCTAGGTCGAACTAATTTCGCACCACAAAAATTAAAATTCACTTAATCCCAACGAAGCCAGAAAAAATATCATTCCGGAAGGAAAAAAAAATACATATGTATATACTCACTTTTTTTTCAAAATTCACGTCTGAATGTCTTAAATTCTCAGTTACAGCTTCTCCTTTAATTACTAGGAATCGTGACCCTGAAATTCTCCGTTGAAAAAATACTCACCAAAATTCACTTTTTTTTTTCACAATTCTCCGTTAAAAAAACACTCACCAAATTCGTCACAGCAATCGTTACACTGAAATTCAATTAAGCTTCTCCTTAACTACTAGGAATGTAATCCGACAAAATTTTCTATCAAAAAAATAAATAAAAATCCGACAATTCAATACATTACAATGATGCTACGGCAATTCTCAAAAATCCTATTAATTTTTTTTGTTTTCCAATTAAACAAACATCTAGAATCTTACCCCAAAACGAAGTTGCAGACGAAGAGAAGTAGAATTCGCAAGTTCTGGTGAAGACGAAAGGCGGCTACGTGAATTCCTAAACAAAAAATAGCTGGAAAACCAATCGCGGAGGGATCTGAGCCTTAGGTGTGGGAATGTGAAGGAGAATCAAATTTGAGAGATATATATAGGCTCTAGGCTCGGTTTAAGGTTGGGAGTTGTATGGCAGGAGACTTCGTGTGGACTCATAACACTGCTCCGAAGCTGCGGTTGTGTGACCGAGCCTTTGAAGTTTATCTAGGTTTAACTAAGTTTTACTTGTATGCTATTTTTCGAATATTTTTATATATAAAATCTTATATCTAAAACTAAGAAATAGGAATAACATATTTGTAGAAAAAAATTAAAATTAATTATATCTCTTATTTTTCAGTCTTTTTTTCTGTAATGACTTTCATTGTTTAGATTTGCAAATCGGCTAGGAAAATCTTAATCCACTCGCATATAGGTTTTTTTTTTCTTTTTTTTTTTTTTTTTCTTTTTTTTTTTTGTAAACAATTTATTTTGTGGTTAATATTTCTTACATATTACAACTAAACGGAAGTTGTGTAACTTTAAATCTACGTATTTTTGTCGGGATTTGTATGATCATATTTGTAGGAATATTAATGTTACAATGGTAATTTAAAATTCACAATTAATTATTTTAATATAGTATAATTTATTTATTTTTAACATAATTTAATTATTATATATCTAAATTTTCTTCCTTTTTGAATGCTAGCAGTGCATCGCACGAGAAGAATTGCTAGTAGGTATTAAATAGGTAATGACATTAATATTTTTAATAAAAATTAATAAAACACAAACATTAAAAAAAAATCATTTTCCTTATTTAACACCACACACGTAGGGGTGGAACTCGGAGGGAATTGAGTGGAAAAGAGCCTTTTTGAAAAAAAAATCAAAATTTTTCGGAAATAAAAAATGTATTCCAATTTTCGGCCAAAAAATCGGAATGCAAAAATTCTCCGATTTTGGAATGCCTCAAAATCGACGAAATTTCAGAAATTACATTAGTTTATAATCTTTTGTTCCAAATTCTTATAGAATTAAAATTTTCACAATATTTTTCTATCTTTTGCATAACATGCAAGACAATCTAAAAGAGAGCTCGACAAAACGTAATTAAAAAAAAGTAGAAACAACAAATTGAAACATAGATTTTCTTATAAAAAAAATGCAGCATACGTTTCTGATAGATATTAATATTTTATAAGGTTTTAATTTACTTGACTATACGATATTTATATTTTTCATATGAATTACAAAATATATTATAAAATTGTATTACTTACTTTAAAAGAGGGTGAATTGCTCTTTGCACACCATAACTAACCCTAATTGGCGCTTTGCACTAGACACGACCACGGGGCGGGTCGGATCCGGGTCCAGGTCGTACCTGCCGGGTCCGGAACCGACTTTTAGGGGACCCAAAACCGACCTGTGGGGAGGTGGGTTCGGGTCCAAATCAGTTTTTTAAAAAAAAATTCAAAAAATAATTACAAAAAAAAAAAAGAAAAAAAAACTTAAATTGAAACTTGAAAAAACTTAAGATTAACTTTAAATTCAAAATTACAAAAAAAGAAATATTGAATTTAAATAGTAAATAATTTTAGAAAAAAAAATGAAACGATTAAGATCTTGAGACATAAACTAAATAATATGAAAGTTGTGAAGATTGGATTAGGGGAATTTATAAGTGAAAATAATAATTGAGAAATTTTTCAAAAGTTCAAAATTAAAAAAAATCAAAATTCAATTTTTATTTTAAATTTAATCGTAATTTTTTATATTTTTCCAAAATTAAATATACATGCATTTGTTATTAGTGGATAATTTTAATATAATAATAATGAACATGACAATTAGTAATTTATTAAATATTAGTTATACAATTATTATAATCATTTTACAGTGTTATTTATATTTATATAATTATAGTTTCTGAGTATTATAATAAGTTATTTTGCCTGAGTGGTTAGCACTATGAAATAAAAGGTTAATCATTACCAACTTGATCTTGTTGCTCCTGACAACAAACATGCGTGAACCATTTCACGAAGTATGTGTTCGGATAGGCCAAAGTCTCGATAGTTAGCTCTTGGTCTTCCGGTCGAAAAACAACGGCGATGAAGACGTGTAGGTGCACTATTCCGTGGTGGGGATTGTAACTTTCCATAAATTTCCCATTTGTCACTCAATGCTGGAACTTTACTTATTTCTTTTTTTGAGGATCTACAAAATTTACTAAACCACTCGGGCCACTCGTGTTTGAACTCCAAACTCAACATATTTTGGTGTTATTACACTTAAAATTCGGGTGGACCGTCGGGTCTCGGGTCCAATAAATCGGGATCCGAAACCGACCCATAACTCTGGTTCGAACTCCCAACTCAGCATTTTTTGGTGTTATTTATTTTACTTAAAATTCGTGTGGACCCGACGGGTACTCGGATCGGGTTCTCTGGTCCCCCCGCCGGGTCTCGGATCCAAAAAATCGGGACCCAAAACCGACCAATACTCTATCGGGTCCGGGTCTGGGTCAATGGTCAACATGGCGGGGTAGGGCGGTCTTTGGGTCGGGTCCGGGTCAAACCGAGTCCGTGGCCGTGTCTACTTTGCACCCTCACATTTCAAAACTAGCAATGTCCACCCTTAATTCGTATTTCTCGTGGCACAATGCACCCTCATCAATTTTTTATTGTGCGATTTAAACCCAAAAATCAATATATCACGATATTTTAACTTATGTAAAAAACAATTTAAAGTTTTATTCTAAATAATATATTTAATTTCTATCAACTAGAGTCTAGACATTTAAAAATAATACTAATGTCCTACAATTCTTATTCTATTTTTAATTTTTTAATAAAATATTAATTTTATGGAAATTAGGAATTTTAAATTATTCTGAAAATTGAAATCGACTCAAAATTAGAAATTATATATACATTTTTGCTTCGATGCAAAACATATAAAATAAATCATCAGTTATATTTTAAATATGTATATATGTAAAATAATTAAATAATATTAAGTAAGTAAACAAAATATAAAGAATGATGAAAATTCCTTCAATATTGTAAAATATCGCGATATATTGATTCTTTTTTGCTAAAATGTTACTAGAAATTGAGGTAGGGTGCATCTTGCCATGAGATGCATATTTTAAGGGTGGGCTTCGCCAATTTTAAGATGTCAGGGTGGAAAACACCGAATACTGCTAATTCACCCCTTCAAAAAACAATTTAATGTACTTATTACTAATAAGTAATAGCATTATATTTGAAAGACTTCTTAGTTTACTGCACTAAAACAATTCTATGAAAACACAAAAAAAGCCAACAAAAATTTATTTGGTGGGGCCTTATATCTCACTTCCACTTAATTGAATGTCAATAATCCTCAAACAAGGCCCAGTTCGAATTTCTTTGTCAAAGCTTTTTTGAACATGTCATGGTTTATGCTTAATTTGGTTTACGTCACTCATTCAATCTTACGAGCTATTGCACGATAACGAAGTTTATCCAAACGAGTTTGTTTGTTTGCTTCGAAAGTATTTGACCCACAAATACGCATAGAAACTCAGAAATTTGTGTGTTCTTCGTTTTAGTATTTAATCTCGTGAAGAAAGATGAAAATAGGTGAAGAAGAAGGAAAGAGACTTTTAGCTTAGAAAAAATATAGGGACTTCTAGCTATTGTATTTATTCAAACCTAAGACATTTGGATTTAATATAATCATGTCAATTTAATTCCCATTGCTATATAGAAGCAAAAAAATATGACAACTTTCAGCTGAACTCTATCAGAATTCACGAAATTTGGATTCGATCGATATTCAGAATGAATACTATCATAAAACTTGTTCAAAATTTGTAATCACTGTACCCATCGATATTTTCTATTTCTTACAAATTGTACCAGCTAAGAAACTATGTATAAAACGAAAACGCTAATTAGAATTTTAAAACTAATCTGGTATTTTTGTGGTCATATTATATGCATTGATGATGATTTTTATATACATAAGATCGATGGTGATATAAACTGATATATTTCTTACTATATCCACAACTTGCAGATCTATATGAAGCTTTCCGACCAGCAAATTCTGCACTATTTCCACAAGGTGACGGTGTTATCGTGGCTAGCAGAGGCAGTCATTCCTGTCACAGGGGACTGCGCCAAAGCTGCAACTATGTTCTCGTGTACAGTGATTGTCGTCAACCTTCTGTTCTCCGACACGAACAAGAAATCCAAAGACTGCATGCATCATCAACGTAACGTTTATTTTTATTATTCAAAAAAAATAAATTAAAAACTGTTGTCATAGCCATTAGGAATTAATCTCAAATGTGAATGTGTGATTCTGAGAGAACATGCCACCACAAGCCTGGGGTGTAGCAGAGAGAGAGAGAGAGATTGATTGATTACCCCCAATCCTCCTACGATCAAGATAGCAGAATGACTTGGATGAAAAACACAAGAGTAAAATTTGTTCCCAACGGAGTTGAGTTCACGGATGCACTTTCCAGATTTAACCGACCAAACTTTAATGCAGTCCTCACTCACAGAAGCCAAGTGGTCTCCATTAACATCCCAGCAAATGTCATTGACCACACCAGAATGCCCCTTAAAAGATCACCAAAACTTTTAACATAACAAAGAAAGGCAGCAACAAATATAATGAAAATACAGCGAATTATAAGTTTACTCACTGCACTAAACATCGCCATTAAATACTTAAAATCCTCACCGAGATGTAAATATAATGAACAAACCTGAAAAGACTGTGTTGGCTTGTCGGTTTCAACATCAAATACGGAAACCACCTTGTCTGATGCAGCTGCCAACAGTTGTCCAGTTCTAGGTTCAAACCTCACTTGACCACTGCCTTCTTGCTGTGCATGAAACAGATGATGTTGGATAAGCAGATAAAAGACACGAAAGAAAAAAGGAATAAAAGAGTTAGACGCCCAACCTTGGAAATTCGAGTGTGTGAAAATGGGCTCATACTCCAATAATTTATCTCGTTTTTACCATCAGAGAAACAGAAAAGATCATTCTTCTCAGGATGGAAGTCAAGGGACATGACATGGGAAGTATGACCTGTGTAAGCATGCACACAATATCTGGGCTGCACAAGAATTAAATAGAGTAAGTACTTATAACTTCAATAAACAAATGCAGATTTATCAACATACAAACTCCTATCTTGAATTGGTGAAGTGTATTGGGAAACTAAAATGGCTTTAAAACTTTAAAGTACTTTAAAATTTTGAATTTGTGCTTTTTTAGGAAGGCATAAAAAAATATGATTACGTGAGCAGCATCCCATATTCTCACGGATTTGTCAAATGAAGCTGTCGCAAGCTGAGTAGAATTTGGCTGGAAGCGAACATCCGTAACTGAGTTTTGATGTTCTTTCATTGTGGTATATGTTTGCAGAGTATCCATATTCCAAATAACAGCCTAATTCAAGAGCCAAGAGGTATAAGTGAAATCAGAAGGAAAAACATGAAACTTTGGGTAAATGGCAGATAATTAGTCTTAGTAAGGGCATGTATAAGACTAATGAAAAACAAACATGCAAAACAAACATCCACATTGAAACTTATACCTCTTTGTCATCCCCGGCACTAGCCAACAACTTCCCATCTGATGAAAAATGGCAACAAGTCACTTTGTTTTTTGCTTTTATACAACCAACTTCTTCAAATGAATAACCTGCAAGTAGACATAAATCATGTGAAATTGTTGCACTGGAAGTCGACATTAAGCAGGAGAAACATAATATAAGACCACCTTTAGAAGTCTCAGTTTTATGCTCAGCATGAGTCTGTTTTAAAGAGCCATACATATTTCCGTCCTCGCCATCATTTGACAAATAGGATTCTACATTATCTTCAAGACCACCAACATCTCCGAAATTCTCCAAGTCATCCTGTACAAAGATAGTACAACTATGAATAGACGAACATAATGCATGTTGCACCAATTAGAATACAAAGAATAGTTGCTTGAAAACAATGTTGTGATTTTTCTGACGGGGGAAGTTATGAAATCAACTGATAGGTTACTCAAATTGTTCAGCGAACAAGTTGCACAAGAATGAACTGACCTGTTGCATTTGTTGTGGCTGCTGCAACTGATACTGTTGTTGAGAGGAAGACTGTTGCATTTGGGTCATTTTCGTCTTCTGCTCAGGATGACATATGTTTTATTTGGAAGCATATAGAAAAGATGAATATGAATAAGTTATCAGATCCCCAAAAATATTAAACGTGAAGATTAAAAGACGAAGAGGCATAAATCTCCACAAAATTCTTAAAGAGGCATGAAATTCAGCAAAAAGAAGAGTAGCAACCAACGGAGAATTTAAAGCCACTGTTTAAGGATAAATAGCATTGCCAGGAACGAGTAACTAAATATAGTAGCAACTGCAACAAATAATATATTATGAACAATATCATTAACTCATAATATTAGCTGTAAGCTGGAATGCAATATATTAGTTTGCGTTAAAAAAAATTGTTCCTTAGGTACACCCGAACTTGATAATTATATATTATCACAATTGATAACATTGTGTCAGATTTGAAAAGGAAAAATGTCTCCTTTCAGGCTGAAGGGTTTGGAGAGAAATAATATATACGAACTAAAATGTTTGATCATCTTAAAGATAGATGTTACTGTGTGTCAACTCTTGGTAAAATCAACAAGATGATTTGTTCAGCCTTTTCCACCAAGACAAAACATTCACGAAATGCACACACAGATGTTAAGTGGACAAATGTTGCTTACAAAATCAGTTCAGATACAGAATCTACCTTTTGTGAATTTGATTGCACCGGAGATTCCAAATCTATAGTTACCCCTTTTTTGAAAGGCTGACCATCTTTTGCTTTGAAGTTAAAAGATGGTACTCCAAATCCATAGTTGGATGAATTTCCAAGGTTCCCTTGTACCTGAGCTTGTGCTAGAGCCTGCTGCTGTTGTGAAGCTAAAAGAATTTGGTTTTGGGTCGGCAAGTTGGGCTTCTGTAAACCCGAACTCGTCCCTAATTGGTCGATCCCCTGTATGATCTTGAAAGCATCAGCACTTGAGAGTTTTCTCGCTTAAGCCAGATAATTACTCAAGAAATAAAAAAATTGATAGCTAAAGCAGAAGAAACTCACTGTCATAGGCCAACCCTTCAGTGGAAGTCCACCGACTCCTTGATTCAACCCTGAAACAAGAATCAATTATGACGATTCACATCACATCAAGTCAAATAGCCAACAAACATAAGATTCAGCCTAAGATTCAGATGGAGCAACAAAGAAATTGCAGATAACTTTTGGGAACATACTACGATACCTAAATAGGCTTTTGCAAATTACTGGTATAAGAAAATAAAAGGTACATCTTAACATTTGTGTAATTGAACTTGCAAGATAATTATTTGGATATCTTAGGAAATGGTAAAATTAACCCTCCTTCCCTCCCTCCCTCCCTCCCTCCCTCCCTCCCTCCTTCCCTCCCTCGAAAGAAAGGACATGAAGCGCTTATGGAACACCAATTTTATTACCTGCCCCACCAAGTCCAGATTTGGACTGAAGAATTGCCTGCCCATAAAGTGATGATGCGTCCAAAGACAAAGATTTCTGGGTCGCACCCTCTCCTGTAATGCCCTAGAAGAACCACAAATTAAATGGTTACAGTTGTTTCAAACAGACGAGATGAATTTAGTAGTTACAGTAGCCAGTTGCTGCCTTACTTGCATTTGCTGCATGGCTGCAGATATGCCTCCAGGATTTCTTTGCATCAAGTGCCTGAATCATCCCCACCAAAAATAATATGAAAAAATAAAGATCTATAATAGTCTAATTTATAAACTTCAATTCAAATAAGTCGAATGAGACAAAAGTCAATGTTACTCTTGTTGACTTGAAGCTGACTTGAGAAGTGCCATCCTGTTAGCCTCCATAAAGCCCTGTGGTATCTCTGAATCCATTGAAAGAGGATGCTTCATGCTTTCTTCGTACATTTTCAGCATTCCTTCAGAGTTCATGGGACCGAGTGGAGGATGGTTCGGATCCCTTCTCTGTAACTGGCCACCGCGCTGCTGCATGTGTTGCAACTGCTGCATCTGATGCTGCATCTGAAGCTGCTGCTGTTGTTGTTGCTCCCTTGTCTTATATAGCTGAGTCTAAATATAGGTGGAAATGCCAAATGAAATGATATTCCCGTATATACAATTACGGCATGCGACAATAAGAGACCTGAAATAAGAGAACCAAAACCAAGTGCAGATTTTTGAAATACCTCTATATAAGCTGCAGCTGGTTCAGAATGCTTCGCATTTATCCTTGAAATATAGATGTCCCAAAAAACAGACCACCATTCAAGAAGGAATCCTTCAGGAGTATCAATAGCTAAAAACACAATTATTGTAAAAAAATTCAGATATCATCCCATGGTTCTGAAACCAGAAACAGAACGCACCTCAGTTTTTACAACCAACTTCCCGAGCATAAATAATACAATTTCACAACATCTAATAGATTCCTTACCCATCGGACCAGTAGCTGAGATCGAATTTTGAAGCATAATGCATGAAAAACTTACCTACACGATCTGTAGCAACTTTTCCTTCAGTCACGAAAGCTTTGGCTGAATTATACAATTTTCTTTTCAAGAAATAGTCAAGAATGTAGACATCAAGCCTGGAAAAGAATTACACAAACAGAAGTCTTAACCAACAGTGATACCTCTACTCTTTAAACAGTGTGAAGCAAATATCATAAAGAAAACGATCTTCTGACTTCAACAAATGAGCCGTTGCCACCTCAATTAATTCGTCAATGTGAATTCACTGCAGTACTTCCCAATTTTTCGCCGAAACAAGAAAATCAAGACAGTACTACACCAAAGAGAGAAGAGTGTAAATTGAAGGAAACAAGCATAAAAAATGAATAGTCGAGAATCCTTACATCATATTCGCGTCCCAGTCCGTCATCGCCATGATTGTTTCTCCAATAATGGATTCCGCACAATTTCTTCGTCGCAGACACTGAACCCAAGAAGAATTACATACTTGCATTTTAATCAAAACGTCCAAAAATTGAAGCACAAAAACAAGAAATCTTACAGTTACTCACCAACAATTGCAGAGATCACACGCGCGAAAAACCCTAGGCCGAACAAATTTCGCACCGCAAACAATTGAATACAGTTAAATTCACATAATTCCGACGAAGCCAAGATAAATATCGTTCCAAAATATATATATATACACAAACTCACTTTTTTCTTTCACAAATCACTTGTTAATGGCGCAAGTTCGTCTATCAAAAAACCCAGAAAATGAAAAAAATAAAAAATCATCAAATTCGTCACAGCAGTCGAGACTCTGAATGTAATCCGACAATTCAATACATTTACAACGATGCTGCTGCGGCGCTTCTCAATTTAATTTTATTTTTCCAATTAAACAAAAATGTAAAATCTTACCCGAAGAAAAAACAAATTGAAGCAGCGAATTGTAGTGAAAATGGAAGCGGAAGCACAGCTTGGTAGAGAGAGAAGAAAAATAGCTGATCATGCAGTTATCTGAGCCTTGGGTGTGGGAAATGTGAACGATAATCAAATTGGAGATATATATATAGACTCATAGGCTCGGAGTAAGGATGGGAATTGTATCGGTTGGGGACTGGGAACTGGAGGTTCGGAGTGAGGTTTGGTAAATGGGTTGGGAATGTCAAGCTGCTTTATTGTTAGTGAAGTGCAACCGGGAGTAACGGCTTCATAACAGAGTGCTCCCAATTAAATGTTGTAGTTTAATTATTTTTTGAATTTTATTATATATCGAACTGAAACCGAATCGAACCTAACAGAAACCCGAAACCAAAATCAAAATCGAACCGAATTTGCTAATAATAACTTGTTAGTACCTTGTTTGGCATAATATGGAAATAGTACTACCCCTAGATACTCACATGAGTGTTATATTTTGACGATAATTATATAACCATAATTAAAAAAACGAAAAAATAATTCGTTTATTACAAATAATCCGGTTGATTACATTGATCTCGGTCCGGTTTGGCAAGAGAGTTTATGTTATGTAGCTTCATATTGTCATTAATGTCATTAATAATAAAAACATAGACACGATTTTCCAAAAAAAAACATTCAAGAATTGTTACCACAAGAAGTCATTTGCCCAACAAAATCTTACATCTTATGTCTCTTTTCTCACGCATCAAATATGCACTAAATACACGAAATTTCATGGCCGGTACCACGGATTTTGGGGCCCTAACCAAGATTTGAAAAATTAGCCCATTTTCTTCTTCAATATTATTAAATGCTTTTCTTTTTGGTCGACCAATATTGATAATTATATGTAGCATGCAAATTTTAACTTCTCAACATATTTTTATTTTAGTTTGTAAATTTATTCTACTCTAAAATTTAATTTTATTCGTGAATGCACATCTATAATTGACAATAAGCATGCACATCATTTTTTTTTACTACTAAACTCTTTTTATAATTAAATGCAATCAAATATCAAATATTAAAGGCATAATGAATCGGTTGTAGGCCAATGTATAAGATATATATATATATATATATATATATATATATATATATATATATATATTAATATATATATACACGATAGAATAGCGATCTTTTTTATATAAATATATGGGTAAATTACGAAAACTCCTGAACTTAGGCTAAATAACGAAAAACACACCCACCTATTCATAATTAGAAAAAAAATCCTAAGGTGTGTCTCCGTCATACACCACCCCCTTAGAGTGTGACTTTTCACGGATTTTTTTTTATTCGAGGGAATAGACAAAGCACAATTTCAGATATCTTCTTTTATCTCTCACCTATTTTACAAAAGGTATAATAGACTGTACACATTTTCTGTTAAAAAAATCGATCAGCAGTTAATCAGAAGGGAAATTTTGGTTGTTACGAATAGATGGGGTGTTTTTCGTTATTTAGTCTAAGCTCATGGGTTTTTTCATAATTTACCCAAAATATAATAACAAATTACAAAAGAAGATTATATTGGAATAATTCGTACTATTGATATGTCAACTTTAGCACTTTCTTGGATGCCCTGTTTGAGAAGACCAAAAGCTAAAGTGCCATTCAAATAATTATTGCAAATTACAAAAAAGGGTCTGCCATAAATCATAATTAAATCATTGCCCCTCCAACACTGAAACCCTAAACCAGAAACCTAATTCCAGACACAAACTTAACTACTACATGTATAATAATTTCTCATCACACCAAATTAAATTATATTATTAATATCCAACTAATAACCTTGTTTTAAAATCTTTAACTCAATTGATATACAAATGGATATAAATTAAATACTCCTATAAGAACAAAAGTGCAGCAGCTATATATATATATATATATATACCATTCCATCACCTCAACATATATATAGGAGTTTTCATGGTGCATACAAATGTATATCTGATCAAGCTATACAATAATTCAAGAAAACAAAAATAATACCACTAATAAACTTCACAAAACAAATTAAACGGAAAAAGAAAAAAAGATTATGCATATATATAAACGGCGTTACAAAAAAAATTCTCCTCCGCGGCCACGTACGGTAGCAAAATGATCTGAGCTGATGAGTACTCCACTCGAAGAAATTAAAAAATAGCTCGAAAAAAAGCAAAAAAACGCGATTTTATTACCTGTTGGAAATAGGGTTCGGTCCACTGGGAACTTCATGATCACTTGCTTCAAACTCCGACCCTACTTTGGATTTACGGTTTCCTCTCTTTCGTCTATGGCGAAGATTCATCGTTCTTGCAGTTGAAGAATCTGAGAAAATTAGGGTTTGATAGTTATGGCGAGATGGAAGAGCGTTCGAGACGGTGGCCGCCATGTTTGGTGATGAGGGTTTGGAAGGGTGGTGATCACTTGTGGAGCCCACAAAGATAGAGAGAAGAAGAAGAGAGAGAAGGAATATTTGAAGACTAATTGATGGTGGTGAAGGGGAAGAATGGATGATTTTGTGGAGTGTTGTTTTTGCCATGCAATTTGGAAATGAAGAACCTGCTAATTAAGTAGCACCCCCCAAGATCACACAAGAGATCAATATCCATTCAAATGGAAGGATGGAAGAGAGAGAAAGTAACTAAGGTTAGAGAGAGAAGCAAATGAAAAAGAGGTTTTGAAATTGCATACACATTTTGGTGGAGGAATTAAGGAATGAATGAAAAAGAGAGATTTAACTTAGCATGGAAGGATATATGGAACTTTATATATATATGGTTGTTTGTAGTATGTATATTTAATATTTATTTTATGAAGAAAAAGTGATTTATATATATATATATATATATATATATATATATATATATATATATATATATATATATATATATATATATATATATATATATATATATATATATATATATATATATATATATATATATATGTATATCCATATATATATATATTCTCTGTTTTCTTTTTATTTCTTACACTTTTATATATTGATCGTTGATCTTTTGTTTCTCTCTTGCTTTGCGCTTATTTCATATCTAACATTTACATTTTTTTTTTTTTTTCTATAATGCTATATTAATTCCGATCTTATTATCCAAATTTTCTTAGAGGTATTCTGTATCTACTTCGTTTTCATCCCTTCTTTTTTCGAGTGTGTTTGGGTT